CACTTGCCTGGATTGGCCTGCAGCACCGTCCACTCCAGGAACTGCTCAACGACAGCGTGGCAGCGCTTGATGCCGGCCGCGCTGTCGCTGAACACCTTGAGGTCGTCGGCGTAGGCCGTGGTGCATGGCCGCACCCCGTCCGCCAACGCGACGCCCACTCCGTCGAGCTTCTCCAATGCTCGGAGCAACGGCACCAGCGCGGCGATGAACAGGAGGGGGCTGAGTGGACAGCCTTGGTACACGCCCACCTCCTGCCGCACTGGTTCCGTCGCTCCGTCGGCCGCGTTGCCGACGACGAAGTAGGAGTCCTCGTAGATGTCGTCGCAGCGCTCGACGAACGCACGCTCGACGCCGAGCAGGCGGAACACATACCACAGCATGTCCTGGTGAACGGACCCGAACGCGGTTTGCAGGTCGTACCAGACCTGGTACAGCCTGCGGTGCATGCGTCGGGTTTGGTCCAGGAGCGTGGTTGCCACGAAGTTTTGCTCGTGGCAACCATTGTACGCCCTGAACCCCTTCTGCGCCATGAGCAGCAGCCCGTTCGCCTCCAGGTACGCCGACAGCCGACGCGCCAGCAGACCGCTGTAGAGCTTGTAGATCGCGGTCTGCAGGCAGATCGGCCGCCAGATCGCTGGGTCGTTGGGGTCACCCTTCTTGTGGATGAGGCGGACGAACCCCACCTTCGACGGGGCAGGCACCCGGTGGTGGCGCCAACAGAACTGGAAGGCTGCGTGGAGGAGGGGGGCCAGCTGCGCCGCGAACTTCTTGTAGATGTCGTATCCCACGCCGTCGTGGCCAGGGCTGGAGTTCGCGGCCGCTTGCATGAGCTGGTCCTCCACCTCGTCCATCGTCAGCTCGTCCGTGAGCGCGCTCCGCCGCTCCTGCGGTGTCCCGACGTCGGCCATCGCCCCGCGGAACAACGCCCCGCTAGCTTCATCTGGTAGGAAGTTGATGCGGGGCGAGTTCACCGCCGTGAAGTGCTCGTGGAGCGTGCCCGTCCCGTAAACACCTAGCAAGCTAAGTACTTATGGGAATTGCAAAAATGAATGTGAACAAGACCCCACCAAAAGCAGGGAAACCAGTTTTCACGCTGATTAGAACAGATACTACACTTGATCTTAGCCAAAAGGCCGAGAAGGTCCACAACCCTAAACAGTGCCAGCTGTTCCGTTGTGACGTCGGATAAGTGAAACTTTTAAATTGCAAAAAGCTGCGGTGGATAATGCCAAACCTATCAATAGCATTATAAAATATAGCACTAGCATTACGAAATATAGCGATAGAATTACGAAATATAGCGATAGAATTACGAAATATAGCAATAACATTATAAAATATAGCAATAACATTATAAAATATAGCAATAGGCTGAAATATGTCAATATTAATAGTTGATGCAAAAATACAAGTAGAGGAAACGGAGAAGATAAGTGTAGTGGTTGGCCTCGCGGGGGAGGTGGTGAAAGCCCCCGGAGACCGTTCCAAGAAAAACTAGCAAGCTAGCATTCTCGGATGTTCCAAAAAGGCACTGACCCAAAGGCACCCCGTATTTCAAAATTTTCAAATTTCAGAACTTTTCATCCCAGTTTGTATTGGTTTAACTAGACCTCATAGTACTTCCTAATACCAGTAACTAGCCCTTGGAAAATGTGACTCTTTGCAGGTTTCTCCGCGAAGTACCACGTGCGCCACATACACTCGTCTAGGTAGTCAGCTACCACTCTTTTCCGCATACCACGAGCAGCTTTGATGCGCTGCTTGATCTTCACCTCCCAGACGCCCTCGATGCGGTTCGTATGGGCGCCAGTCGTGGGGTCCTTGAAGTGTTTCGTGTGGTTTACCCACAGGTGTTGGTACCGCATCCCACGCAGGTGCCTGATGTTGATAAGGGTGTATAACTTTCCTTTGTTGCGCCCACTCTGGACTTGGGTCACGTACGCCTTAAACATATCGGAGACAATCAAAGTACTGATAAACATGCATAAAGAGTTAGATATCTTGTCAAATCATACGCAGTTGTACAGTCATTACCCAGGTTTGATGTGAGCTTTAATCAAAGCAGAGTCGGCTTCGTCCGGTCGTTATAAACGACACGAGCGAACCACTTTTTAGTGGTTCGGTCGACTCCGCCGAAGACCCAGAAGTCTGGGTGGCGGGTACCACGTCGGTACTTTTGCTTCTTCTTCAGGGACGTTTCGTCGATCTCGACCACGTGCCCAACCCCTCCGATCTAGCAGTTTAACATCATTGTTCAACCCGTTAAAAATACAACCCAACACTGCTAACTAAATAATATTTAGCAACAGAATAATGTACGATTTTACCTTCGGCAACGTCCGCTTCATCTCGGCGGTGCAGATGTCCTGGGCACAGACATACCACTGCCCTGCCATTGTCGGCGGCACCTCTGCCTGCTGTGCTGCCGTTGTGACTGGGTGCTGGAACGCCCAGAACAACAGCAGCTTGATCAGCTTCGAGAGGGAGCTGATGACCGGGCAAAGAAGGAGGAGGCCCGTACGCTTCTCTCCAGACGGCACCCCGTGCGGGAGCAGCGCCAGCGCGTCCGCTTCACAGCGACGTACAACGTCATGCCATTGGTGCAGGTAGAACACAGAGGCGCGCTTGCCAGAAGCCCCACTCGCTGCGCCCACTCCAGCGCGCCCTTCTCCGTCGCGCACGCGCTCATCACAGAGTTGAAGGTGAAGAGCGCGTTGGAGGAAACATCATACTCGTGGGGGCTGGGTGTGGCGAGGGGGCTGCGACCCGGGCGGGCGGTGTACGTGGTGCGAGAAGTGCGGGGGGCCATGGTGCCGTGCTGGATGCGGGGTGATTCTGGTTATGTCGCACTGATTCTTTGTTGCCAGAAGTTCGAAAGTATAATTTAGTTCTGATCTTTCTGAAATTTGAAAATTTTGAAATGCGGGGCGCCTTTGGGTCAGTGCCTCCAAAAATGAATGTGAAAAAGACCCAACTAAAAGTCGGGAAACCAGTTTTCACACCGATTAGAACAGAATGTGTGTTCGTGTTTACCAGTTAGTAACCTCTCCGTAACTGAAATGTAGGCTAAAATATGCATGTCACTAAAGGGAGGGTGTTTGTGTCTTCCTGGGTTTTTGAAGGGCGGTTCCCTACCTGGGTAGTGCCCTGTTGGTCAAATGACCAGCTTACCGCCGTGCCCGAGCCTGCGATGTGCGCCGCGCCCCCCCCCCCCGACCCACGCGGCGCTCGCGAGGCGTTGCCACTCCGTTGTCCGTCGCGGTGGCGCCGGCAGTGCCAGCCCCAGATGCGGTGGCTGGTGCGGATGCAGTGGCTCGACAGCTGAAGGTCCAGCTGTCGAGCCTCGCGCTTGTGCAACTTCAACTTCTCCGTGTAGGTGTTGCAGTTGCTGGGCTGCACCGAGTCCAGCGACTCGTACACGATCGCCGCGGTCTGCACCTGCCACCCCTTAAGCCGCAGCTCCACCACGATCGGTTGGTACTTAAGAATCTTGTGATTGTGGCTGAGCTGCAGTGAGGAGTGGCGGGCGCCGGTCGCGTGCTCTTCGAACGTGACCGCCAAGTCGGTGATCACCATCTTCTTGGCGGCCACGATCCGTAGTACAATGTCCGGCCGCAGGGCTGCGCCCATGTACTCGGGCACTGTCTGGTTCAGGCGCAGCTCCGCGACCGGCTTGCCGCGCTCGAGCGCGTTACGGATCTTGGACCCGATCTGCTTCAGGGCGTCGTCATGACGCTGGCGGAGTGCGTCCATGTTGGACTCGCAATGGTTGAGGACATGGGCCAGCGTCTCGGCCGAGGAGCAGGTCGGGTCCCTGCAGGCCGTGTGGGCCCGCAGGTGCTTACGCTTCAGCGCCGAGTTGGTGTCGACTTGGTTGAGGCGGGCCTTCACGCCGAAGCGGTAGTCGTCGTCCGACAGGCCCGCCACCGTCGACACGAACTTGGCGCCGGCACCGCCGTGGGCCCTCACCGTCTTGCCTTGGTCCGCCAGACCCTTCCATCGGGTCTGGTGGCGGATCTTCATATGCAACTTTACGTGCCGCAGCACCGACTTGTGGTCGAGCCACTTGGCGTGGTGCGGCACGCGGAGGCCGAATGGGTCCTGGCCGTTGCGGTCGTCCTGCACCGCCAGGCTGAGGTGGTAGATGCGCAGCCACCGCTGTACGTCGGACCACAGTGACCCGATGTCGCCGTGGCGGCGCAGCGCCTCCGCGTGGGGCGAGGCGGCGAGCTCGGAGTTGAGGAAGCACCGCACGAGCTCGTCGTCACGCCCCCGCCAGTGTTCTTCGCGGAGGTGGTGGCGCTTGCGGACCACCTGGCACACCTGTGCGCGCGCCACCTCCCGGATCGCCGGGTCCTTCGAGTGCAGCGAGCCCCAAGCCACCGCTCGACGTTGGTGCGTAGAGCACCTCGTTGGTTGCCGAGCGGGGCAGGCGTAACAGATGCCGCAGGCCCTTGGCTACCACACGGTCAAAGCCCTGTAGCTGGGACTGGAGCGGGCGGAGGTGGCGAAGCGCGTACTCGACCTTGGGGTAGACGTAGGTCTTGAGCGCCTTCACCACCTGCCACGGCGCCAACCCCGACTGCATCAGCGCCACCGCCTCCCGCTTGATCTGTTGTAGCTTGGGCTCGAGCTGGAGACGGTGGCGGACGTGGTCAAAGCCGTCGCCCACGCCGAGGTAGGGGTAGCTGTCGTGCAGCTTGATACTTGAGACCTCCTCGTCGTGGAGCGACAGCTTCATGTCCTTGTCGTGGGCGGGGTTGCCGCGCGCGTTGCGTGTCACGGCCAGGAAGGCGCACTTGCCTGGATTGGCCTGCAGCACCGTCCACTCCAGGAACTGCTCAACGACAGCGTGGCAGCGCTTGATGCCGGCCGCGCTGTCGCTGAACACCTTGAGGTCGTCGGCGTAGGCCGTGGTGCATGGCCGCACCCCGTCCGCCAACGCGACGCCCACTCCGTCGAGCTTCTCCAATGCTCGGAGCAACGGCACCAGCGCGGCGATGAACAGGAGGGGGCTGAGTGGACAGCCTTGGTACACGCCCACCTCCTGCCGCACTGGTTCCGTCGCTCCGTCGGCCGCGTTGCCGACGACGAAGTAGGAGTCCTCGTAGATGTCGTCGCAGCGCTCGACGAACGCACGCTCGACGCCGAGCAGGCGGAACACATACCACAGCATGTCCTGGTGAACGGACCCGAACGCGGTTTGCAGGTCGTACCAGACCTGGTACAGCCTGCGGTGCATGCGTCGGGTTTGGTCCAGGAGCGTGGTTGCCACGAAGTTTTGCTCGTGGCAACCATTGTACGCCCTGAACCCCTTCTGCGCCATGAGCAGCAGCCCGTTCGCCTCCAGGTACGCCGACAGCCGACGCGCCAGCAGACCGCTGTAGAGCTTGTAGATCGCGGTCTGCAGGCAGATCGGCCGCCAGATCGCTGGGTCGTTGGGGTCACCCTTCTTGTGGATGAGGCGGACGAACCCCACCTTCGACGGGGCAGGCACCCGGTGGTGGCGCCAACAGAACTGGAAGGCTGCGTGGAGGAGGGGGGCCAGCTGCGCCGCGAACTTCTTGTAGATGTCGTATCCCACGCCGTCGTGGCCGGGGCTGGAGTTCGCGGCGCTTGCATGAGCTGGTCCTCCACCTCGTCTATCGTCAGCTCGTCCGTGAGCGCGCTCCGCCGCTCCTGCGGCGTCCCGACGTCGGCCATCGCCCCGCGGAACAACGCCCCGCTAGCTTCATCTGGTAGGAAGTTGATGCGGGGCGAGTTCACCGCCGTGAAGTGCTCGTGGAGCGTGCCCGTCCCGTAAACACCTAGCAAGCTAAGTACTTATGGGAATTGCAAAAATGAATGTGAACAAGACCCCACCAAAAGCAGGGAAACCAGTTTTCACGCTGATTAGAACAGATACTACACTTGATCTTAGCCAAAAGGCCGAGAAGGTCCACAACCCTAAACAGTGCCAGCTGTTCCGTTGTGACGTCGGATAAGTGAAACTTTTAAATTGCAAAAAGCTGCGGTGGATAATGCCAAACCTATCAATAGCATTATAAAATATAGCACTAGCATTACGAAATATAGCGATAGAATTACGAAATATAGCAATAACATTATAAAATATAGCAATAGGCTGAAATATGTCAATATTAATAGTTGATGCAAAAATACAAGTAGAGGAAACGGAGAAGATAAGTGTAGTGGTTGGCCTCGCGGGGGAGTGGTGAAAGCCCCCGGAGACCGTACCGCGATTGGCTAGCAAGCTAACCTAAAGCAGTAGTTCCAAAAATGAATGTGAAAAAGACCCCACCAAAAGCAGGGAAACCAGTTTTCACACCGATTAGAACACAATGTGTGTTCGTGTTTACCAGTTAGTAACCTCTCCGTAACTGAAATGTAGGCTAAAATATGCATGTCACTAAAGGGAGGGTGTTTGTGTCTTTCTGCCGGCTGCCTGCATCGGTGGTGGGCCCGGAGGCGCCGGCGCTTGAGTACACTGTGCGTGTCGAGCTGGTTCAAGCGGGCGGCCACCGCGAAGCGATAGTCAGCTTCCCACATGCCTCGCGGCCGCGTGAGGAAGCTGCTGCCGACGCCGCCGTGCGCGCGTGCCGTTCTGCCTTGGTCGCGCATGGCCGCCCACTTGGTCCAGTGCCTGTGCTTGATGTGCAGCTTCACGTGCCGCAGGACCGTGCGGTGGTCGAGCCACTTGTCGTGGTGCGGCACGCGAAGCTGCAGCGTGGCCGCGGCCGTGCCGGTGTCGGCGCACGCCGGCGCGGTCGCGAGCTGGAGGCCGAGCGTGCGGAGGTGGCGCTGGACGTCGACCCAGAGCGAGCCGATGTCGCCGTTGCGGCGCTTCGGCGGCGCGTCGGGCGACGTCCCGAGCTGCGAGTTGAGCAGCAGCTCGCACAGCTCCTCCTCGCGGCCCGCCCACGCTTGAGTGTCCAGCCGGTGGCGCGCGTCGGCGATCTGCCGGAGCTGCACGCGCGCGATGCGCTGGATGGCAGGGTCCTTGGAGTTCAGCATCTGCCACCCATGCGCGACTTGCAGCGCCGCGTGCAGTTCCGTCAGCGGCAGTAGGCCCAGTCCGCCGCGCGACACCGGTGCGTAGAAGCACTGCGCTGTGGCGGAGGCTGGCAGTCGCAGGAGATGGCGGAGGCCTCGCGCGAGGTGCCGGTCGAAGCCCGCAAGCTGCTGCTGGAAGGGGCGGAGGTGGCGAAGCGCGTACTCCACCCGAGGGTAGAGGTACGTCTTCACCGCCTTCACCACCTGCCACGGTGCGAGGCCCGACTGGAGCAGCGCTGTCGCGTCATCCTTCAGCTGTTTGAGCATAGGCGCGAGCTCGACGCGGCGGCGCGTGTGGTCGAAGCCGTCACCGACCCCCAGGTAGGTGTACGAGGCGCTCATGTACAGCGCGGGGATCGGCGACCCGTCCAGCTCCAGCTTGAGGTCGTCCGCCGGCGTACGCCGAGGCACCGGGGCAGTCATCGCCCGACAGCGGCACTCCCGTGGCCGGCAATCGCTTCAGCGCGAAGAGCAGCGGACTGATGGCAGCGTTGAAGAGCTGTGGGCTGAGCGGGCAGCCTTGGAAGACTCCCACCCGCAGCGAGATCGGGGCCGTTGTGCCGTCGGCGGCGTTCCCGACGACGAACGCCGCGCTCTCGTAGAGCCCCTTGCACATGGTGACGTAGTCCTCGGGGACGCCGAGCCGCGCGAGTGCATCCCATAGCAGCGTGAACGGCACGCTGCCGAACGCGTTGCGGAAGTCGTACCAGACTTCGTAGAGCTGGCGGCGCTTGCGGCGGGTCTGGTCGACGAGCGTGGCCGCGAGGAAGTTGTGCTCCCCGCAGCCGTTGACCGCTCGGAAGCCCTTCTGCCCCGGGGCGTGGCGGTCGTTCGCGTCCAGCCACCGTACCAGCCGCCGCGCGAGGACCCCCGTGTAGAGCTTGTAGATGGCTTGCTGGAGGCAAATGGGCCTCCAGTTCGCCGGGTCCTCGCGCGCGCCCTTCTTGTGCAGCAGCCGCACCACCCCGAGCTTCCAGCTCTGGGGCACACGTTTCGCCTCCCAGCACTTCTGGAAGGCGGTGGCGAGCACGGGCAGGAGCTGCGCGGCGAAGTGCTGGTACACGTCATAGCCGACGCCGTCGAGGCCGGGGCTGGAGGTGCCGTGGGCGTGCTGCAGCTGTGACTCGATATCGTCCTGTGTCGGCGCCTCCGTGAGCCGCTCCCGGAGCGTCAGGAGCGAACTCCTGGCTGGGCGTGTTGACGCCGTCGAAGTACCGCCAGAGCTCATCGCCCGGAATGGGGCAGGTACCGTCGTCTGTAGCGCCTGCCGCTGGCGCCGCTGGGTCCGATGCGGCGCCGGCGCTGGAGGTCGCTGTCTTTGGTGTCTCCCGCTGCGCGCGTGCCTTGGCCAGGATGTCTTCGACGCAGGCTTTCTCGTCCGTGTCGAACCGGTGACGCAGGTGCTGTTGGTCGATGGCCGAGTTGACGCGGCCGACGCGGCGGCGGGCTCGGCGAACAGCCGTGCGGTCTCCGGGCGAAGCCTGCTCCACGGCGTGGAGATCGTCCAGGGCCTCGTCGAGGCGGTGCTCGCGGTGGTGTCGAGTCACCCGCGGCGGGCGGCGGCGACGTCGCCGCTTCGCTGCACCAGAGCGCCCGCGGCGCCTGCACTGCCTCCGTCGCGCCGAGTCCTGCTGACTGGCGTCGCCATCGCGCTCGTTGTCTCCATGTGCATCGCCTTCCAGGCTGCGGCGGTCCTGCCCTTGGTCGTGCAGCGGGCGCTGCCGTCGCTGTTCGCCTTGTTGCCGCTGCTGCCGCGGGCACTGGCTGCCTTGGTGCTGCTGTCGCTGACGCTGGGGACGCGGCTCGGGGCGTCGCTGGGCCTGGGAGTACGGCTGCAATTTGTCGTACAGGAGGTGCGGGAGGGCTGTGATGTAGCCCTCCGCCGACTCCCAGTCACTGGCGTCAGTGATCTTGGCCGCCAGCGTCGCGCCAAGCCGCTCCACCGTCTCGCGGGCAGCGTCGTCCTCGGCTTCGGTGAGCTGGCGTAGTCGGAGGCGGGGTCGACGCTGCGGAACTGCGTCCGGCCCGATGCGCATGGCTGCATAGACCTCGCCGTCGTCGATGTCGGCGAGATCCTCGTCCTCCGGCTCCTGCATCTCGATGTTGGTGTCGGCCGCGGGTGTCGGGGGCGGAGCGCGGGGTGTCGGCTGGGGCGGCAGCACGGGCATAGGGTCCAGCGTCGTGTTCGTACAGCCGTCGCCTGCCGTGTGAGCGCCGCACTCCATCATCGTCCGGCGGAGGTCGAGGGCTCGATTGGCCAGGCGGTCGGCATGGGCATTCGCTTGGCGGTCGATGTGGTGGAGTGAGAAGCTCCCCACCCGCGCGAGCTCTACCTTGACTTGGTCGCGGAGGCGGCGTAGAACGGCGTTCCTCGCCGCGAAGATGCCGCGCACCTGCTGGATCACAAGGGTGCTGTCGCCTTCCACCCGCAGCGACGTCGCTCCGTGGTCGGCAGCGGCTCTCGACCCGAGCAGCAGCGCCGAGTACTCGGCAGTGTTGTTCGTTTCGCTGCTGCTCGGCATGTAGTGGGAGCACGTCCACACCACGGAGCCGTCGGGCTTGAACAGCGCTGCACCAGCTCCGCCGGGTCCTGGGTTGGCGCGGCAGGCGCCGTCGAAGCGCAGCAGCCACTCTCCGGCGGTGCCGCTGTCCACGTCCATCGCCGCCGCTGTCGCCGTCCGGTCGGGTGCGGCCGCCGGGTTGTCCTCCTGGTTTGCGTCCCTGGCCGTCAGGTCGGCTCCGTCCGCCGAGGTGTCCTCCTTGGTCTCGCCGGCAGCCGTCGGCTCTGGTGGGAGCAGGCGAGCGGCGATCCGAGACGCCACCATGCGGCGCGGCAGCGGTGGGCCCCAGCGAGGCGCTGGAACCTCACCGAGACGCGCAGCTATGCGGGTGGCCACCAGCTCTCGGGGCAGCGGAGGTTCCCAGCGTGGTGCTGGAATGGCACCAAGGCGCGCGGCGACACGTTCAGCGACCAGAGCTCGGGGTAGCGCTGGCCCCCATCGTCCATGGCTCGGCTGCTCCTGCACTTCAACAACTTCAACTTCGGGATGAGTGGGGCTCGCAAGCGGGGGGGACGCTGCGAGCTCCGGGGTTGCTGGTTGGGGCGAGTCGGGCGTGACAGTGGCCGCCGCGAGCTCCGGGGTTGCTGGTTGGGGCGAGTCGGGCGTGACAGTGGCCGCCGCGACGGTGGCGTTGGCTGCGGCAGCGGTGGGGCTTGATGTCCCTGCCACTGGCGGAGCCGTAGCCGGAAGTGCAGTCGAACGGCCGGCGCACGCTTGCGCGTGTTTAGCTGCCGCTGGCCGCGACGCAAAGGGGGTGCCGCACGCGCAGCCCGCCAGAAACTTGTCCTGGAAGACTGCGCGCCGGTGCCGAGTGGTCCGATGCCTCTGCAAGGAGCTGAAGCTGGCTGCCGTGAACGTGCACAGCGTGCACGTGAAGCGCTCCGCGTTGTGCACGTACACGGCGAGGACGGGAGCTTGGCGGGCGCTTGCTGCTGGTGGCGTGTGCGCCGGGGTTTGGTTCTCGGCTCCGTCCTCGTCCACGAGCTGCAGGTGCTCGGCCGGCTTCTGGGCGTCGGCGTCGTCGTCGCTGTTGAGGCGGCGGCGCTTGCCGTCCGGGCGTCGCTCGCTGGGCCGGCGAGGCGATGGGCGGCGCTGCCTGGGCCGGACGCGGCCTTGGTCAACGTCCATGGGCTCTGCGGGGGAAGGCGCCGCCTGCGAGGCGCGCTGTGCGCAGGCGAGGGCATGGCTCGTCGCTGCCATCCGCGAGTGGAACACGAGGCTGCACGCGCACCCGCTGTCGAAGATGTCGGAGAAGCGGGTGCCGCGGTGCGCCGATCTGCGGTGGGCGACGAGCGTAGCCAAGTTGCCTGCGACGTACGCACACACGCTGCACTTGAACTCGGTGGCGCTGTGTGCGTACGTCGTCCGCACCGGCTCCTGCGCGGCGACTTGGTCGGCAGCCCGAGCCGCAGCGTCAGTTGCAACTGCCGCCTCAGCAATAGCTGCAGCAGTCGCAGCCGGCGCGGCTCCAGGCGTTGGCATGTCGGCGAGCATGCCGCCCGCCCTGCCGGGCCGGGGCAACACACTCGCAGGGTCCGGGCGGGGCTTGGCGGCGGCGGCGGGGTCGTCTTGGCCGTCCGCGTCGTCGCCGTCGTCGTCCTGGGCGCGGCGGAGGTCGTCGGGGCCCTGGCTGCCCGTGGGAGCGAGCGCCGTGGCGGCTGCGGGCGCTCTACCGACGGGCAGCCTGCCGGCCGCCCTGCCGGGTCGGCCAGCATCATCGGCGGGGTCTTGGGGGCTGCTGGCGGCGGCGTCGTGGCCGTCCGAGGCTTCGTCGTCGCTGTTGCTGTCGTCGTCCGGGCTGCTGGGCCGCTGGCAGGCCGCCAGGGCCCGCGCCGTAGCCGCTGCGAGCGCCGCCCCAGGCGCTACCCAATCGGGCAGCCTGCCGGCCGCCCTGCCGGGTCCTGCCAATTCGCTGGGGGGTCCTGCGGCGGCGCCGCGCGCTGGAGGGGCTGGCGGGGGGTCTTGGGCAGCCAACCGGCGCGCGTGGGGGTCCGTAGCAGGCGTGGGGGCTGCGCAGGAGCCGTCGCTCCGCGCGCCTCGCCGAAGCGCCGCATGCTCGAGGCCGTGTTCTTCGGCCGTGGCGACCGTGCCGCGCGGCGCACGAGAGGCCCGGGATCCTGGCATAGTGAGGCCAGGTGGACGGGGCCCGGTCCCGCCTGGCGGACGGTCCGCGGGCCCGCGTCCGCTCGCCGTCGCCGCGAAGCGACGCGAGGTTGAAGCGGCGGACCGGGCCTCGGCTTGGCCGCCAGAGGGCCCGGCCCGCGGTCCCGCAATGGGCGCAATGGGCGCAGCGGGTCGCGGACCCGTGCCCGAAGTTGCGCCGGCCAACTCCTCGCCGGTGCCGAGCAGCGGCGCCGCGCGTGGAGGGTCGCCGGGGCCATTTTCGGCTCCGGCCGAGCCCAAAACGGGGGCGGGCGGATCCCCAATGCGTAACCGAAGCCCTAGCGGATCCGCCCCCGCCCGGACGTCCGCCAGCTCAGCCGCCCCAGCCCCGTCGCTGGCCGCGCTATAGAAAGACGCGTCGCTGGCGAGGCTGGAGTGGCTGGCCGTGGAGCACTCACTGTCGGTGGACGGCGAGCGCTCCCGGGGCTGCCAGTCCGGCCACCAGAAGCGCATGCGCCGATGCGGTGGTGAAGGGCCGGCCCGTAGGCAGAAGAAGGAAGAAGATAGAGAAGATAAGTGTAGTAGTTGGCCTCACGAGGGATGGGTGAAAGCCCCCGGAGACCGTACCGCGATCGGCTAGCAAGCTAACCGAAAGCAGCAGTTCCAAAAATAAATGTGAAAAAGACCCCACCAAAAGCAGGGAAACCAGTTTTCACACTGATTAGAACAGAAAGGGTTAATGTATTACCTGCCGGTTAGTCCGTTGCGTCCTGGTAGTGACTACCTGGGAGTCCCTAATTGGTGTGTAGTTGGTGTACGGGTTGAACCAATCGGGGGGTCGGACCATGTGAGCCGGTGCAGGGTTTCCGAGGGCGGTTCCCTACATGGGTGTGGCCCTGTCGGCCGCAATGGGCCTGGTTGCCGTCTAGCGGCGGCCGGAGCGCGACGGAGTCCCCCCGGTCTCCGTCACCCGACTGCCCCTGGTGTCTTGGCTGGGGCGCTTGTCCCCCCCTGCTTTTGGTGGGGTCTTTTTCACATTTATTTTTGGAACTGCTGCTTTCGGTTAGCTTGCTAGCCGATCGCGGTACGGTCTCCGGGGGCTTTCACCCATCCCTCGTGAGGCCAACTACTACACTTATCTTCTCTATCTTCTTCCTTCTTCTGCCAGTCCAGCCGCTTCGCGTCTCGCTTGAGCAGCCCCAGGTGCTCGGTGTAAACCGAGCGGTTGCCACCGGCGACCGCACCAAGCGAGCCGTAAACGAGCGCCGAGAGGTGCACCTTCCACCCTTGGCGCTCGAGGTGGCGCTTGATGCGGTCGTACTTGGCGCGCTTGTGTGCGGCGATGCGGGCCAGCGCTGAGCTGTCCGGGTCCTCGCCCACCTGCTCCTCGAACGCCACGGCCAGGTCGACCACCGCCACCGTCTTCTTGGTGTGGTTGTACAGCTGGAGGTCGGGCCGTAGCGCGGGGCCAGCGAGCGAGGGCACGGTCTGGTTAACCCGGAGCTCAACGCGGTCCTGCCGGTCGCCCGACGATGACGCGATGAGCGCACGCTCGATGGTCTTGAGTGCGTCGTCGTGGCGGCCGCGGACCGCATCCATGGTGCCCGGGCAGTGGTTGAGCACATGCGCCAGCGTCTCCACCCGGGAGCAGCCCGGCTGCCTGCATCGGTCGTGGGCCCGGAGGCGCCGGCGCTTGAGCACACTGTGCGTGTCGAGCTGGTTCAAGCGGGCGGCCACCGCGAAGCGATAGTCAGCTTCACACATGCCTCGCGGCCGCGTGAGGAAGCTGCTGCCGACGCCGCCGTGCGCGCGTGCCGTTCTGCCTTGGTCGCGCATGGCCGCCCACTTGGTCCAGTGTCTGTGCTTGATGTGCAGCTTCACGTGCCGCAGGACCGTGCGGTGGTCGAGCCACTTGTCGTGGTGCGGCACGCGAAGCTGCAGCGTGGCCGCGGCCGTGCCGGTGTCGGCGCACGCCGGCGCGGTCGCGAACTGGAGGCCGAGCGTGCGGAGGTGGCGCTGGACGTCGACCCAGAGCGAGCCGATGTCGCCGTTGCGGCGCTTTGGCGGCGCGTCGGGCGACGTCCCGAGCTGCGAGTTGAGCAGCAGCTCGCACAGCTCCTCCTCGCGGCCCGCCCACGCTTGAGTGTCCAGCCGGTGGCGCGCGTCGGCGATCTGCCGGAGCTGCACGCGCGCGATGCGCTGGATGGCAGGGTCCTTGGAGTTCAGCATCTGCCACCCATGCGCGACTTGCAGCGCCGCGTGCAGTTCCGTCAGCGGCAGTAGGCCCAGTCCGCCGCGCGACACCGGTGCGTAGAAGCACTGCGCTGTGGCGGAGGCTGGCAGTCGCAGGAGATGGCGGAGGCCTCGCGCGAGGTGCCGGTCGAAGCCCGCAAGCTGCTGCTGGAAGGGGCGGAGGTGGCGAAGCGCGTACTCCACCCGAGGGTAGAGGTACGTCTTCACCGCCTTCACCACCTGCCACGGTGCGAGGCCCGACTGGAGCAGCGCTGTCGCGTCATCCTTCAGCTGCTTGAGCGTGGGCGCGAGCTCGACGCGGCGGCGTGTGTGGTCGAAGCCGTCGCCGACCCCCAGGTAGGTGTACGAGGCGCTCATGGACAGCGCGGGGATCGGCGACCCGTCCAGCTCCAGCTTGAGGTCGTCCGCCTTGAGCACGCCGCGGCGGTCGCGCTGGATCGACATGGCGGAGCATTTGCTGGGGTTGGCCGCCATGCCGGTCCAGCGGAGGAAGTCGGCCACGAGCGCGTGCTGTCGCTTGATGCCGTCCTCGGTGCCGCTGAAGATCTTGAGGTCGTCGGCGTACGCCGAGGCACCGGGGCAGTCATCGCCCGACAGCGGCACTCCCGTGGCCGGCAGTCGCTTCAGCGCGAAGAGCAGCGGGCTGATGGCAGCGTTGAAGAGCTGTGGGCTGAGCGGGCAGCCTTGGAAGACTCCCACCCGCAGCGAAATCGGGGCCGTTGTGCCGTCGGCGGCGTTCCCGACGACGAACGCCGCGCTCTCGTAGAGCCCCTTGCACATGGTGACGTAGTCCTCGGGGACGCCGAGCCGCGCGAGTGCATCCCATAGCAGCGCGAACGGCACGCTGCCGAACGCGTTGCGGAAGTCGTACCAGACTTCGTAGAGCTGGCGGCGCTTGCGGCGGGCCTGGTCGACGAGCGTGGCCGCGAGGAAGTTGTGCTCCCCGCAGCCGTTGACCGCTCGGAAGCCCTTCTGCCCCGGGGCGTGGCGGTCGTTCGCGTCCAGCCACCGTACCAGCCGCCGCGCGAGGACCCCCGCGTAGAGCTTGTAGATGGCTTGCTGGAGGCAAATGGGCCTCCAGTTCGCCGGGTCCTCGCGCGCGCCCTTCTTGTGCAGCAGCCGCACCACCCCGAGCTTCCAGCTCTGGGGCACACGTTTCGCCTCCCAGCACTTCTGGAAGGCGGTGGCGAGCACGGGCAGGAGCTGCGCGGCGAAGTGCTGGTACACGTCATAGCCGACGCCATCGAGGCCGGGGCTGGAGGTGCCGTGGGCGTGCTGCAGCTGTGACTCGATATCGTCCTGTGTCGGCGCCTCCGTGAGCAGCTCCCTGAACCTCGACGCGGCCGGCAGGTGGGTCATAGCGGAGCGGAAGGCAGCACCCGCCGGGGCGTCCGGAGCGAACTCCTGGCTGGGTGTGTTGACGCCGTCGAAGTACCGCCAGAGCTCATCGCCCGGAATGGGGCAGGTACCGTCGTCTGTGGCGCCTGCCGCTGGCGCCGCTGGGTCCGATGCGGTGCCGGCGCTGGAGGCCGCTGTCCTTGGCGTCTCCTGCTGCGCGCGTGCCTTGGCCAGGATGTCTTCGACGCAGGCTTTCTCGTCCGTGTCGAACCGGTGACGCAGGTGCTGTTGGTCGATGGCCGAGTTGACGCGGCCGACGCGGCGGCGGGCTCGGCGAACAGCCGTGCGGTCTCCGGGCGAAGCCTGCTCCACGGCGTGGAGATCGTCCAGGGCCTCGTCGAGGCGGTGCTCGCGGTGGTGTCGAGTCACCCGCGGCGGGCGGCGGCGACGTCGCCGCTTCGCTGCACCAGAGCGCCCGCGGCGCCTGCACTGCCTCCGTCGCGCCGAGTCCTGCTGACTGGCGTCGCCATCGCGCTCGTTGTCTCCATGTGCATCGCCTTCCAGGCTGCGGCGGTCCTGCCCTTGGTCGTGCAGCGGGCGCTGCCGTCGCTGTTCGCCTTGTTGCCGCTGCTGCCGCGGGCACTGGCTGCCTTGGTGCTGCTGTCGCTGACGCTGGGGACGCGGCTCGGGGCGTCGCTGGGCCTGGGAGTACGGCTGCAATTTGTCGTACAGGAGGTGCGGGAGGGCTGTGATGTAGCCCTCCGCCGACTCCCAGTCACTGGCGTCAGTGATCTTGGCCGCCAGCGTCGCGCCAAGCCGCTCCACCGTCTCGCGGGCAGCGTCGTCCTCGGCTTCGGTGAGCTGGCGTAGTCGGAGGCGGGGTCGACGCTGCGGAACTGCGTCCGGCCCGATGCGCATGGCTGCATAGACCTCGCCGTCGTCGATGTCGGCGAGATCCTCGTCCTCCGGCTCCTGCATCTCGATGTTGGTGTCGGCCGCGGGTGTCGGGGGCGGAGCGCGGGGTGTCGGCTGGGGCGGCAGCACGGGCATAGGGTCCAGCGTCGTGTTCGTACAGCCGTCGCCTGCCGTGTGAGCGCCGCACTCCATCATCGTCCGGCGGAGGTCGAGGGCTCGATTGGCCAGGCGGTCGGCATGGGCATTCGCTTGGCGGTCGATGTGGTGGAGTGAGAAGCTCCCCACCCGCGCGAGCTCTACCTTGACTTGGTCGCGGAGGCGGCGTAGAATGGCGTTCCTCGCCGCGAAGATGCCGCGCACCTGCTGGATCACAAGGGTGCTGTCGCCTTCCACCCGCAGCGACGTCGCTCCGTGGTCGGCAGCGGCTCTCGACCCGAGCAGCAGCGCCGAGTACTCGGCAGTGTTGTTCGTTTCGCTGCTGCTCGGCATGTAGTGGGAGCACGTCCACACCACGGAGCCGTCGGGCTTGAACAGCGCTGCACCAGCATCCCTGGATAGCATTGCAGTGACTCAGCCCCATATCTATGCATCCAACGACTAACAAAAGTTAATCAAAAGGATGTTAGTGCGATACAGTAGCGGCCTATCCTAAAGTGACCACCATCGCATTATAAAGGAACGAGTCCGAGTCGTCCAGGCTTGACAGATCTGTAGAGCTCGATAATGATCTGTTCGGACTGCCCATTCTGGTGGTGCTTTTACGCATGAGCTTGCTGAGCACACATGATAGCTGAGGATTACAGGCTGGGTGTATTTTGAGGTGAATGGTTACCAATGATAACGGCCAAATCTCGCCTGTTTAACAATAAGCTTCCCAGCACTGTGTCAAACTTTAATCGCAACAGCCTGTTGCCTCGAATTGTGAACGCGCGACCCCTCTTACTGCGTGGGCGCCAATTTCGGCAATTAAAATAATAGCGGAACCGACAGTCAAGCGATCTGCTGATACCGGCAGCCTCCATTTTGCGTTTTGTGTCACACGATGTAAGAATGGACCACCGGGATTTAATTGAAGATCGAATCGATTTAAACTACAATTACTTGTACACTTGCACTCGGACAACACGAAAATTCGTACTCCAGAAGCTGTGTCAGTTCCAACCAAACTTTCCCCCCTGTGAGGCTCCTCCCTTAGAGAGCGAACCCCCAAGATAAGGGTTCCACCTACCACCATGACTCCCGAATGCTCATTCTCGAATTTCCCAGCTACACCCACAGCCAGCACACCAACCTACCAAACCCACCTCTCAACAACCAGCAACTCCGCCATGGTTCGCCTCACCAAGCTCTTCGTGTCGGCCTGCTTCGCCACCCTCGTTGTTGCCGACCTGGCCAGTACTCATCCTAGCGCTCACCACGCGTCCAAGTCGCACCAACAGCTCGCTGCACGCAAACTCTTTGTCAACAACGGCAAGCGGCTTCTAGAGCAGTCCTCCAAGTCCGAGCAAGGCCGCAAGCTCCTCGACAAGGCTGCGGCGCGCCGAGCCTCCATGCTCGAGAACATCCAAGCAGAGCGCTGACGCCGCCTGGATCTCGCCACCGACCTCTCCACCGACCACGAGTCAAGCCTCACGGGGCTCACGTCGTCCGTCGACCCGAGCACGCTTTTCGGCGACGACGTCGCTTGCCTCCTGGAACCTGAAGTGGCAGAGGGACCCTACTACGTCTCCGGCGAGCTCATTCGCACGGACGTGCGGGAATCACAACCTGGTTTCGACCTCTACCTCGATCTGCAATTCGTCGACGTCAACACCTGCACGGTAGTCGACGACCTCTACGTCGACTTCTGGCACGCTAACCTCACGGGCGTCTACTCGGGCGTGATCGCCGAGGGTACCGGAGACGACAATGACGCCACCAACATCAACAACACCTTCCACCGCGGACTCTACCCCACGGACGAGGACGGGTTTGTCTCCTTCGTCACCAAGTTCCCGGGCCACTACACTGGCCGCGCCACGCACATGCACATCATGACGCACTACAACGGCACCTTGCTCGAGAACAACACGTACTCGGGCGGCGAGATCTCCCACGTGGGCCAGCTCTTCTTCGACCAAGACCTGCTCACTGCAGTGCAAACCACCGACACGTACGCCGTCAACACGTGGGAGATCACGGAGAACGCCGACGATTCGATCCTGGCGCAGGCGGCCGCGGACGACTTCGACCCGTTCGTAGAGTACGTTCTGCTAGGCGATACCGTCGAGGACGGTCTTCTGGCGTGGATCTCCGTGGGCGTGGACATGACGAGCGAGTACAGCGTGCAGACGGCGGCGACGTACACTGCGGATGGAGGTGTGCTGACGACAAGCACGGCTGTTGGAGGAGGCGAAGGGGTCATTGGTGGCTCCTTCATGGGCGCCGGGTCCGCTATGTCAGCTCCTACCGTTGGCAGCGCTCCGAGCATTGTTTAAACTGCGGTGTCAGTGAATGTTGCGTGTCATCTCCAGAACGTCTCGGCCGACCAATAGTCATTGACCGATGGTCATTCTCAATAGTAGTTGGCGTGTCCTTCCTTGCCTTGCTGTTTAGCTGTCCGTTGGTTTCCTTCCGTATCACTTAAGCTTGTGCGTCATTAGATCGTCGATTGTGGACACGATCAACAAAATGCAGTCTCGCGGCCATTCCAGGCGACACCACCTCCATTTGCGTAGGACTTCAAGGTCTGAGTTAAGACTACTGCTGAGCGCCATCTTTTCTGATTGCAGCCCACATATCTGATGGCCATCGCCTTCACCGCTGCACTGCCGCGCCTGACGACCAGAATACTGCGCCACATCTGAACGCCCGGTGATGCCCGACCTATCCGATCTTCCCACTCTCCGCCTAATAGCGCACCTCACACCGGTGATGTCTGCAGCCTCGGCATTCCGCAATTCTCCAGCAGCGACGCACTCCTCGACACTTCTCCGATGATCAAGTCGCTGGTCGCGTCCTGCGTAGCACTCGCAGCTCTCGTCTCTCATGGCGCCACGGCTGTCCACCCCATTGCCCAGCAAACCGCTCAAACGGAGGGTGAACTCGCCGACCGCCAGCGATTCTTGAACCACAGCCAGCGCCTTCTGGCTGCCTGCTCCAACTCGGAAGCTGGCAGAAAGCTGCGAGAGCAGAGCAATCTACGCATCGCAGCGAAGCTGCAGGAGCTGCGAGCCACCCGACGTCGACTGGACGCTGCGACGGTATTGGCGACGGCCCACAAGACCAACTTCACCGATGTCATTGTGAGCACGTACCTAGAGTATCTGTTCGGAGAGGATGACAGTGTCAACTGTGTGCTGGCTCCGGAGGCCACCCAGACCAGCTTCTACGTGAAGGGAGAGCTCTACCGACAGGATATCACGGAGGACTAGAGTCTTTTGACGGAGCTGCAGTTCATCGACGTCAACACGTGCACGCCAGTGTCCGACCTGTGGATCGACTTCTGGCACACCAACGCAGCGGGAGTGTACTCTGGCGTTGTTGGGTCGGCAGCTGGGGAGAGGTCGAACGCGTCGAATGCGGATGCTACCTTCTTGCGGGGGCTCGTCCAGACAGATTCGTACGGACTGGCAGGCTTCACCAGCATTTTTCCGGGTCACTACGAAGGCCGAGCCCCACACATCGACATCGTCGCCACCTACGGCGGCACGTACCAAAACAACAATACGTACGCTGGAGGCTCCACTATTCATGCAGGTGAGCTCCTCTTCGACCAAGATCTGGTCTCGGAGGTGGAGGAGACGTCGGCTTATGCCAGCAACAACCAGAACTTGACGCTGAACGAAGTCGATGAGGGTCTCGCTGAGGCGGCAGCTTCAGGGTACGACCCTGTCGTGGAGTACGCTTTGCTCGGCGATACACTGGAGGCCGGCGTCTTCGCGTGGATTTCGATCGGGGTCGACTTGACGGCGAGCAACAACGTGACAGCTGCGGGCGCACTGACTGCTGATGGCGGCGTTGAATATCGTTAGCTAGCGATATCGTATCGCGCACTTGTGAGTCGGCCAGGCAGGTTTGGCCCCTTCAGTGTTTGCATGCCCATTCCCGCCTCCTACTGTTCATATAAAAGTGATCAATTAAAAGTTGAGCATACTTCCCTCCAGAACCCATGTTGAACGTATCGGACCACTCACTCCGTTAGCACTTCCGCGCTTTGAACGTCGGTCCACATGAGCACATTCTCCACGTGTGTCGGTGTCAATCCTAGGGTTTACTTAAGCGGGAGAGATCCCGCTTAAGTACAAACATTACTTAACTTAAGCGAGAGCTACCGCTTAAGTAAACGCCGAAAAGGTGGCCGCGAACTTACGAGACCGTGTCGGAAAGACCGCGCGTGTTTTGACATAAGACAGACCCAAGCGGCGCGATCTTTTCCACACGTTCTCTTAAATTCGCGGCCACCTTTTTCAGCGACACTTTAAGACCAAGTTGTTCTTAAACCGTTGAAGTGGTGTGTAAGAGCACAACCTGCTGTTACACTGTAATCCGTTTTTTATATTACGTCTCCATTGTGGACACAGATGGCCAAAGGCCCCGCTCGGTCTCATAGCGAGTCGAAGCGAAGCAACGGCGCTCTCGCTCGCCCCCATGGGAAGCTCAAGTGGGCCAACGCTCCGTCTCGGGTCATGGCTTTGCCACACGTGGTGGAGCGCATCGAGGAACTGGCGCTGACTGTCGAGGAGACGGTGGAGGAGGCAGTGCGAGCGGACCAAGTCCAGCTGCTGAAAGAGCTGGTCGCTGACTTCAGCGGGGACGTGGCGGACGCAGTTCTAGCTGCTGCCAGGTCGGGTCGGGTGGATATGCTGGAGATACTATTTGAGAGCAAAGCCAAGTATTTCTACGACGAGGAGAGCGGCTGCAAATACAAAGAAGAAGACGACGACTATGGGCCGTTTGTGGTCGAGGCAGTTGTGCTGGCCTCTAGAAGAGGACACCTGGAGGCGGTGAGGTATTTGCACGATAAAGTTTTTTATTACAGTGACAGATTCGAAACTTGGTGGAGAATTCTCGAGGCGGCGGCAGCGCGGGGACACGCTGAGGTGGTGAAGTACGCGGTTGACTCGCTATGTAGCTTTGGTGAAGGCGCGTACGAGGAATACACACCAGATCGATCGTGGGACAATTGCCGCGCTCTCGCTCTCGCGATTTCTGGTGGACATGTGGAGGTTGTGGACGCTTTGCTCCATGGCAGCGCTCCCTGTTGGGTCTGGGATATTAACGGCGCGTTCGAGCAAGCCCTGAAGGAGGGTCATGAAGACATTGCGTGGAGTATTTACGAGACGTTCCGTGATAGGCTTTCAAGGTATGGGGACGTCGATCTGATTGTCCAAATGGTACGCGACGGTCACACCCACGCCGTCAAGAGCTTGTGCAAAACTGACTTTGGGATCGAACTAATCGGAGACGCGCTCATCGCAGCAGTGCAAGCGGCTAAACCTAAGATTGTGGAGTTTCTGCTTGGTACTGGACGTGTTCCGCCTGATACGATCGACTGGGCTTTCGAGGAAGCAGCTCGTTATGGGTCCATTGATGCTGTGAAGTTGCTATACAGCCATCGGCGGATTTCCCAGCAGGCAATTAGCAAGGCGTTCGAGTTTGTGGGCAGTCTCGTAGTGGTCAACTTTTTGTATGACATGGACCACATTTCGCTGGACGCTTTAGCCGCAGCTTTTGAGCGCGTAACTCAGCCCACAGCGTCGCCAAGATCTGAAGACGACCCTCCCGACATGTCCACAGAAGACCGAGTTGAGATTATCAAGCTTCTTTGCGACACGGGGTGCATCCCGTCCGAGTTGATCAGCAAGGCGTTCGTCCGCGCGGCCAGGAAGGGATACACAAACGTTATGGAGGCTCTACACGACGATGAATGTGTCGACTCGATGGCGACCGCCAAGGCTTTTATTTGTGCGTGCTATCATGGGCATACAGCTATCGTCAAAGTTCTGTGCGGCAAGGAAGGACTTTCTTCAGATACTGTGGCCAGATCCCTTGAAGTTGCTGCTAGTAGAGGCCACACAGGCATTGTTGAGCTGTTGAGCAGAACTCAGCGATTGGCTCCTGTCGTAGTGGCCGAACTTGTTGAGAAAGAAGCCATTGTTGGCTCTACTCACCTCATCAAGGGCTTGCACACCCAGGAACACCTTTATCTAGATGCTATTACTGATGGACTAGTGAATGCAGCGACCAAAGGGTGGGGTCAGGTTGGAGCTGTCTGCAACGGACAGGAGCTATCTTGCGAGGTGATCTGTGAGGTTTTCGTGAAAGCTGCCGGCCGCGGGTGTCTCGTAATCGTACAAAACCTGTTTCGTGAGCCTCACATTACGTGCGCGATAAAGCACGAGGCTTTCATAAAGGCTTCCAGACACGGACAGACAGAAGTTATGAAGTTTTTCGATACCAGGGCGAGTTGGTCGCTTGAAACGCTGAACCAGGCGCTGGAAGTCACGAGGGACCTCGATATTCTTCACTATCTGTGCAAAAAGATTGGGGAGGCATTGGCACGAAATGTAAACAAAACCAAAGAGCCGAAACGTAGGAGAAATCAGTAGATTTATGGAATGGTTCACTGGGTACAGTGAACCCACAGCTAATGTAGCGTACAGTGACCTGTTACTTTTAGCCTTTCGTCACTGAGGCTGGTCCTCGCTCGGACGCACCTCGCCATTCCCAGCTCCCACGTCGTGCGCCGCACCCACAGAGCCGCTGCCAGCAAGCGATAGTGGCGAGTTGTGGTCGTCGCGGTTATCGGCAGTCCTGGGGCCGTCCACACCACGACCTCCGCCGACTCCCGGCGGCTGCTGCTCGTCGCCGCCTGCATCGGGTGGGGGAGGAAAACGACCGTCGACGCTCCCATTTCCGTGCCACGAACCCTTGTCGGAGCCGTGTCGGTGTAGATGGTCTCGGCCGTGCGGGGTATCGTCTTGGTCTCCATGATCTTCGTGCTCACCAGGAAGTCCGTGTGGTGAATCGACGCGCTTGTCGTCCTGAGGCTGATCCGGGTTGCCCTGCAACGGTTTATCACTCCGAAGCGGCTCGCTGTCGGCATTCCACGGTTGCCTCCCGTTCGGCAAGTCATATCGCGGTGGCTCGTTCTGCTGCCCTCCATGCATGGGGCCGTCGATTGAACGAGAAGGCATCGGAGGCATCGCATTCTGGTCATCGCTGCCCTCCATTTGAAGGGCCTTACGGTGAGGTTCACCTTGACCGGCATCCGAGAACCGCGGCATGCCGTCCTTGCCGGACGCCGACCACGATGGAGGCGCGTTGCTGCTCGCGCCAGAAGGAGGTGCGAATCGGTCGTCCAGACTGCCACTGCCTAGCCAGAGGTGGTCGGCTGCATGACCGACAAAAGCGTGGCCTCCGACACTGAGGCTTCCGACACCGACACCAGCATCCGACGGAGGAGAGCGGTTTCCAGCACGGAAGCTGCCAGCATCGTCTCGGTCATCAGACGAAGAAGGGTCGCGGGGACTGCTCCCCGCAGAGCCGAAGCCGACGCCACTTCCGTTCGGTCCTGCGTGGCGAAGGAACTGCCTGTGGTGCGGCGAGTCTGGCTGAGTCACCCCGATATCGGCGAGGACGGCAGCTGCGGTCATGACGGCGGCGACGGTGAGCGTGAGTTTGACCATGCTGGTACAGTGTGGAGCTGAGCCGAGCTGAGTTGGGTCCGAAGGCTTGACTGGTTACTTGAAGGTGTGCTGGGTATCGCCCAAATTGAAGAGTGGGGAGGGCGAAGGCCAAGTGTTGATGAGCGTTGGTGCGGTGGCTATAGATGCCACGCCTGACAAGCCCCGGCTAGTGGCGCACCCGAACGAATGCGTTCATCAGAGCACCAGGATGGTCGTGGAGGGCTACTGCCGCTGCCGCTGCCGCTGCTGTTGCGACGTGGCTTCGGATGCCTTTGCATGCCGGGTAGCACAAGAAGCCGGTATGCTTGTCCGATCATGCGAATGCAGGCGGCGGTTTTGGCATGAGACGGAGAAGGTGTCCACAATGTTCTGAGTGGCGACGTGTGTTTTGTGGTGTGGTGTCCGTGTCGTACAGTCCAACGATCCAGTTATAGTCGCGGACGAGGAGGGCAATGGCGACAGCGCTGTGTTGGCAGCAACGCGAGCGGATTGTGGCGAAGATGGATGGCAGTGGTTGTCAAAGTGAAGCAACCGATAGGCAGGAGGGAGGGTAGGGCAAGTTGAAGGAAGGCACAGAGTGAAGGATGTTGAAGTGGTTTGGCCAATGGCCTGCGCAGTCGCCATTGCGGTCGCGCGTATGGATAGTTGGTAGACATCAGTGCACGGCAAGTTTGTGGATTGCAACTCAAGACCGTACTTTTACAGGATCATTTCTATAGTACCTTCTTTTCTATTCGACTTTCCGAATAGACAACCTCAATAACTTTGATGATCGTATTCGACTTCATTCATTGACTCGGGATGTCGGTGGTTGCAGCGCTGGGTCCTCTTTTGGACTCGGCCTCCCCCATTGATGAACGTCCGCTGTCGCTATTCCAAGGCAGCGTGAGTGAGTGGGGTGATATGAGAAGTTATTGACTCTACCCTTGCTTTTCTTATTATTTTCAACGCCCTTCTACCATACACCACAAGGCATACAACTATTCCTACCATACATTGTCATTCTTCTATACTGGATACTGCCATTCTTCTGTACTGGATGCTGCCATTCTGCTGTACTGGATGCTGCCATTCTGCTGTACTGGATGCTGCCATGTTTGAAAACGATGCTGCGGTAGCCTACCAGACTCTACGATAAACTCAGCCACTGTAGCCGATCACCAATTGCAGCCCCAACGTATTGCACGATCCGCCATTTATACACCAATGCAGGCAGGCACCTGACGAGCACCGTGACATCTAACTGTAACAGGACATGGGCAGATGGCGGCCACGGCATTGTGACCACGGAGGCGAGCAGCGGTAGCTGGTCGCACGAGTCGGGCGACGAGTGGGGCATGGCGGACGAGAGCGGCTGGCATGGGTGCGCGGTGGCGGGTCGCGAGATCCAGACGACGGTGGGTGCGGAGAGCCGCACGATCGCGATCTTGGCAGCGCCGAGAGCAGTGGCAGCCGGAACGGACGGCTGGGAGTGGCTGACGAAGAAGATCTCGAAGCTGAAGGGTCGGCAGTGCGAGCTGGCCTTCGGGCTGGAGAAGAACGAGCGGTGGCGAACGAGTGAGGACGGGGAGTCGGAAATTTGCGCGGTGAGGCGCAAGCGGTTGAGAATTAGCGCGCTTGGAGCAAGCGAGCACTTACGAGTTGGGTGGCCTGGTGACGGGTTGCCGGACAACGAACGAGGGCGAAAGCTCTTGCTGAACGAAGTACGAGGGCGAAAGCTCTTGCTGGGGGCGACAGCTCCTTCTGGACGAGTGACGGACAGGTGGTGGTGGAGTGTCGACGGGCGCTCCGCTGCTACTGACGAACGAGTGGAGGGTTAGTAGCTCGCGTGCGTGGGTGAACTCTCTTTGTATTGACTGAGTGTAGTTAGCTCTAGTTGTCGGCTGTGGGCTGATAGCTACGAGTTGGCTGAGGACTATTGAGTAATCTAGCCTCCTTAGTAAAATTGGATACGTTCGTGTGTGTACGGACGATCCGGCGCAGTAGCTCGGTTAGCTGCTGTCGGCCAGCACGGAGTCAACTTCCAGTTCCCGCGGGCGAACGAACGCAGCGGAGCAATACGATCTGCCCCACGAGCTAGGCAAGATAAGAAGCTCGTTACATAACCATCGCCACTTTACTCTAGTATCGTGGAGGTACAGAAACCACACCTTCACAACAGGTTGTTTGTTGTCAACAAATTTCAGGACTTATGTAAGTTTGTTTCAATTTTGGTAGCTTATGGTGTAGGTCGATAACCTCAGCTCATGCAGCGTAAAGTGATCTGCGTTACCTTTAGTTACTGAGGCTGGTCCTCGCTCGGACGCACCTCGCCATTCCCAGCTCCCACGTCGTGCGCCGCACCCACAGAGCCGCTGCCAGCAAGCGATAGTGGCGAGTTGTGGTCGTCGCGGTTATCGGCAGTCCTGGGGCCGTCCACACCACGACCTCCGCCGACTCCCGGCGGCTGCTGCTCGTCGCCGCCTGCATCGGGTGGGGGAGGAAAACGACCGTCGACGCTCCCACTTCCGTGCCACGAACCCTTGTCGGAGCCGTGTCGGTGTAGATGGTCTCGGCCGTGCGGGGTATCGTCTTGGTCTCCATGATCTTCGTGCTCACCAGGAAGTCCGTGTGGTGAATCGACGCGCTTGTCGTCCTGAGGCTGATCCGGGTTGCCCTGCAACGGTTTATCACTCCGAAGCGGCTCGCTGTCGGCATTCCACGGTTGCCTCCCGTTCGGCAAGTCATATCGCGGTGGCTCGTTCTGCTGCCCTCCATGCATGGGGCCGTCGATTGAACGAGAAGGCATCGGAGGCATCGCATTCTGGTCATCGCTGCCCTCCATTTGAAGGGCCTTACGGTGAGGTTCACCTTGACCGGCATCCGAGAACCGCGGCATGCCGTCCTTGCCGGACGCCGACCACGATGGAGGCGCGTTGCTGCTCGCGCCAGAAGGAGGTGCGAATCGGTCGTCCAGACTGCCACTGCCTAGCCAGAGGTGGTCGGCTGCATGACCGACAAAAGCGTGGCCTCCGACACTGAGGCTTCCGACACCGACACCAGCATCCGACGGAGGAGAGCGGTTTCCAGCACGGAAGCTGCCAGCATCGTCTCGGTCAGCAGACGAAGAAGGGTCGCGGGGACTGCTCCCCGCAGAGCCGAAGCCGACGCCACTTCCGTTCGGTCCTGCGTGGCGAAGGAACTGCCTGTGGTGCGGCGAGTCTGGCTGAGTCACCCCGATATCGGCGAGGACGGCAGCTGCGGTCATGACGGCGGCGACGGTGAGCGTGAGTTTGACCATGCTGGTACAGTGTGGAGTTTCCAATACGCAAGACTCTTCTTTTTTTTGGGGTGAACATGTTGAGCTCCTCCGGTCACGCGTGGGGGCGTGGTGAGTGGCCCCATAGTAATGCTTACCACACTCGTGGGCTTGGCCGGAGTTCTTGGTCGTCTTGTATCATCTGTTGAGAGAGACTCACGGTTGCCTGAGCCGCTAAAACGGGATAGCTTTCGTAGCAATTGCTCATCCATCGGCCCAGGAGCTTGATCGACAGACTGTCAGCTCGTCCGTTCAACAGTGCTGTGGCTCCGCCCGCGCGAATAGAGTGGGTGGAATACCTCGTTGGTGGAACACCGATCCTTGTCGCCAACGCCTTCAGGGCCCGGTTCACTTCCGCGGCGTCGAGGTCCGCACACAAATGCACCGAGCGATCGTAGCTCAGCTCCTGACGGGCACGTAGTATGTGGTGGAGTGCCTGCTTGGGGCACAGCAGCGGATCATCCGTTGCGTGCATCGTTCTCCACGCTCCTCTTCCGTACTGGTCGTTCTTCGACCCAGCCAGCCCGATGGTCACCGACACAGCAGCGCGTTCTGAAGTAGGGCACCCGGTCTTGTCCGAAAAGTAGGCGTTCGTTGTCTTCAAGCAGAACGGGTGTCTTCGCGATCCGTCTCGCTGATACTCTGAACGCCGCAGGAGAAAGAAGTATCCAAGTAGCACGGAGCCCCAGAGAAGACGGCTTCGGGGCTGAGAGGTGTCGAGGCTCCGGTGAAGCAGTCGGAGGAAGGCCGGGGTGATTGGTTGCTTCTTTGTCACGGGATCAGATACACGCTTGATACCTTGCATGAGTGGGAGATACTTGAGGATTAACACCGAGGTACCGGCGGTGGTACCACTTGATACTGGTAATCTTGAGGCGGATTGTGTCGTACTGGTTGCCTTTGCCGGAGCAGTTCCAGCCGTAGCGCCAGCAGTAAACCGCATACATTCCAATCTTCCTATCGAACTCACTGATGTCGTCGTGAATCCAGGGAGACCACTTCATGAATCCACACAATTACTCCCACTGCTTCCAGTGCGCGCGGTACTTGGCTCCGGTAATCTCAGCAACGGCGCGGTCGCGCAGCATGCGTCCCAAAGCTGAGAGAGATCGGTGTAACGCGGTGCGACCTGTACCTGTGTCCACCCATTAGAGAGGTTAGTCCATGTGTCGAACAGTGGGTCCTCATTTGACCAGGCTCGCGACCCAGCGTCTGCCATAATATTCTCCACCCCGGGGACGTGCTCCGCGGTGCACACCAGCGAGTAATTGAATTCTGCCAGCGCTATCAGCCGGTTGTACAATTGTGCGAGTGGTTGGCGGCTTGTCCGTCGTTGGGTCCATGACACGGCCACCGCGTTGTCAATCCAGAAGCAGACATGGATGGGCCGGTGCGGCGATCTTGCTGACCATATGGGGCCCCAGTGGAGCGCGGCCAATACTGCACTCTGCAACTCTCTCACGTTGATGGAGTTCACCGACATGTCTGTGGTGAACATCTGCTGCTCGGCTTCCGTGAACTTCACGCGGATAAATTGCCTTAGTGATGGCTCCAGAGCGCACAGGCCGTCGTTGGACGCGTCCATCTGCACGTGCACAGTGGGCGCAGCCATGTTGCCAAAGTGGTCGACGGGAATGCTGTTGAACCGGTCGCTGTTCTGCAGAATCAGCTGGAGCCACTTCAGGTCTTCCATTGCCTCCGCGGTGACGTGCCGGCGACCATATCTGCTGATTCGTCTTGCCATATCTTGGACGCGTTGGAAGAACGCGCGCGCGGGAGGGCAGCACGTAGTGATGTGGCGTAGGCTTCCGAGCAGGCTCAGCGCCGATGTTTTGGTCACTGTGCCGGCTGCGAGGATGGCAGCAATATTGCGTTGATCGCGCAGGATCTTGTCAGCAGGGATTGTTACTGTTCCGTCTTGCGTGTTCCACTCGTAGCCCAGTGCTCGGCCGCGTTCGTTCCAATCCGTGAACTTGCGTTCGTTGATTGCCGTCGGACCTAGCACGGTGGCCATTGCTCTGCGTAGAGCGAGGTTTGCAATGAAGCATCGGGGTCCGTCGTCGATCTCGATGCAGGTGTGGTCGTCACACCAAAACAGACCCTGGCAAGGGGATTGTGCGAGAGCGTCGTAGCCCGACCCTGCCTCGTAGAGTCCATTGATTAACTCTCCTGGCAGCGAGTACCACGCGCCACCCGAATCCGCAGGAGAGGTCGATCACGAGGTATTCGCCGATGATAAAAGCAAACATGTGAACGTTGTCCGCGTTGACCGGCACGTGCCGAAACGCGCCAGCGACATCGCCGAGCATGAGCAGTATCCGTGCGTACGCATGATCTCTACGTAGAGTGAAGATTCTCCGAGCGATGTCCCCTGGTGGGTTGTAAGAGATTCCTGGTAGATGTGATCGGTCCGTGTAGTCGTTTACCGATTCGCCTTCAGGGAATGAGTAGTCGTTTATGAGTCGGATATCGAGTGGTACTGCCCCCGCCTTGTTCACCACGCCCACCGGGGAAATGAACAGCTCTGCCCAGTGGTCTACCATAGATGCCTTCAGGACGAGGTAACGGCCGTCTTTCTGGCCCTTGCGAATATGACGCCAGACTTGTGGGAGATGGTCGTTGATGGAGCCGTGGTTGCGGGGCCGGCGTGCTTGGTTTGGCGGGCGGTGCGGGAGCCACTCGGGTATGACACCGTGACGCACCACCTCGTTCCAGCGCCCCCATTCGTCGCTCAGATTGTCCGTTGGTGGGCCTGGCAGCTCGTATAGATCTTTGTTAAGGCGCGGGTCGTATGTCGTCTCGCCTCGGATGAGGCGTACGAAGTTGGGAAGTGTTAACTGGGATGTTTCGGCCAGTCGTGAGAGGAAGGTAATCATCGAGTCGTCGACGTGGTCATCGTCTGGCTGGGTAGCTGAAACTGCTATGCCCAGGGCCGATGCCGTTTTGGCTATGTTGTTCACGATCTCTGCTCGACAGTGTACACGTAATTTTTGATAAGGTTTTAAACAGGTCTTATGCAGGTCTGGTCCTGTTTTGGTCCTACGACATCTACACGAGACCGAACGGGAAATAAGTATGATTTCCCCGGTGGTCTCGTTTGGATGCCGAGACCCAAATGGTATCACTACGAAAAACACGCTAATTTTAGACCCTCTTCACTTTGATATATAATATCGTGATATTTAGTAGTAGTAGTAGATGATATAGCTTAGTATTTTGGGGCTAGTTGACTTAGAGTACTGCTGGGGATTATAATTTGGTTCACAACATGTCTGAAATTCGGTACATGTCCGTGTGGTAGACGAATATTGCATAACAACAATGGAAACGGTGTACTAAAGGTAGAATTGGTCAATATAGGATACTTCTAGATCAATTTACCTTCCTCGTACGTTTAGTATCGAGGACCTTTAAGTTTACGAAGCTATTACTATCGTTTGAATAGGCGGTTGAAAAAGGTTATGTAAAGGCAACGACGACAAATGGAGCCCTTTAGCGGCGCCCGGTAAAGCGGTAGTCGCCATTTGATCAGAGCTGGCCCCTTCATCCAATGCTTGTTATATTCAAATCACCGTTAGTTTGCTGAGAGTACTAAGTGTACCGGACTGAACACTGGATCTCAAAATCTCGATCTAAATCGTAGTTTGGGCCATTCCAAGTTTAGGCTTACAGAGGTGGTCTATGTAACAGGGTGCTACCCTTAGAACGTCCCAAGATTTTTAATATTATTGCATGGTGGAACTATTCCATCAAAACTCGGCCTTATTGTCTATTTCAAATCTTTAGACTATTTATTCCCAACAGCATGAGATTGTCCAGGGTTGGGAAGTTGTATATCGACACTGAAAAGACAAAAACGGAAAACTTTCTATAGTGAAGGCTTCCTATAGGCTGGATTTCTGAACATTCTCAAGCACTATGCGATTGAACAGGGAGCTCCAAATTCCGTTACGTGGGATTATGCTGCTAAGAATACACAAGTTCGAATACTGACGGACTCTTATTGGCTGAACCAATTCGATCTATTAGTAATATTATGGGATTGAACGGGGATTTCCAAACATACCAGTAGTTACGTAGGTTTAGACTGGTAACAAAAACTTTTGCTGCTGATGACTCGGCCTCCAGCGGTGGCTCAAGCGTGTCCACTCAAGGTGATGTGACCAGGCTGCCCGGCGGACTTGTTCTCGGTTCTTCCCGCTATGACATGGACGACAGCGAAGCCAGCAGCAGTTTGGACGACTCTGACGCATACGACCCTGAAATGGAGACTGTTAGCAGTGAGGACGAAGGCGACGAGCTCGCAGTTCAACCTTCTGCGTCAGGGCGTCAAGGGCATGCGGGAATCGACCTCGTCGCGACAGCGCATCGCACCGTCATCCAACTCAACGGCCATCAGTACACGAAAGCCCGAGAGTCCTCGCGCACGATTTCCTTCCGGTGCAGCTTTTACCGACGTACTCCGGGGTGCAAAGGGAAAGTCGACTACAGTTTTGCGCGAGATGTGTTCTACAATTTTACGCCACACACTTGTGAAGGGACGGGCCAAGCTCCAAGCCGATACGTTGACGTCACCGAGGAAATGAAGTCCGAGGTTGATCGATTGTCGATTCGGCACCTTTCACACACGGCGCAACAGATTTGGTTGGCGGTCCGCGAGCAGCTTTTCGTCAGAGATGACAGCGCGGTTGTTCAAGGACTGACACGACATCAAGTCCGGCAACGTGTGTACCGCACGAGACGTGTTCATTTCGGTGGAAACGTGCATGGAATGGTCGAGGTTGCACCGCAGAGCCTGGTTCAAGGGACTACATTGAATTTTTTTCCAGTTCCACCACGTCTTTATGGAGGGCGAGCGGCTACAGCGTGTGCTGGGTTGGGCGGACCCTCGACTGCTGGAGTTACGTCGGTATCCGGGCTCGCAGATGTTCGTCGACGGAACTTTCCGGTGCGTCCCGAGGTCGTTCTACCAGTGTGTCGTGTTGATAGTGAGCGACGCAGCAAGTGGCGTGTTCGTGCCTTACGTTTACGCTCTTACGACTGGCAAAACCCATCAACTATACCAAAAGTTGATGCGGTTCATGAATGACTGCACGGGTAGTCGCCTTCAACCTGGGAGTGTCGTCTGCGACTTCGAGGCAGCGCTGATCGATTCAGTGACCGACCAATTTCCGCACGCCAGGGTCATCGGATGCTTGTTTCACTTCAAGCAAGCGACCCACGGCAACGCCTACACACTGGACATACCGTCTAGTATGCGCCTCCATCCGACGTTCTACGTCGGACGGCTGAAGCCATACCTGCAGCACGAGCTACCTAGCTCGGCTGAACCGAAGCAGAAGACTCGGCGGAAGCCATCATCCTCTCCAGCGCGACTTCGCGCTGGAGCAGTGGGTCGAGCTAATGGTCCAGCTCGGCCGGAACGATCGAGGCGGTCTGGGAGGCCGCCGCAAACTGCGAATACTTCAGAGCGCCGAACACAGCGCTCTGGAACTACTCCACGACCTGGACTTGGTCGTGGGGAGACGCGAGATCAGGGTCAACACCAAGTTGACCCCACACGGGGCGTGTTTCCACCACCACCGCCGCCAATTCGTGACGCACACGGCTCAACTCGATGGATAGTTGAGCGGATTGTTGGTCACAGTATCCCGAGAACGAACAGGCAACCAGTTCGTTTTTGTATCCGTTGGAGAGGATTCCCTCCCAACCAAGATACATGGGAACCGCGGAACGTCTTGCTCGAAGACTTCCCGGACATGGTGAGGGCGTACGAAGCCCACCATGCGCTATATATTGGAACGTAATGCGAGCGCTGCGGTTAACAGCAGCGCCCGAAGACACTTCGAGGGCAGATATAGGTGCCTGCCCCCGCGGCAGCGACGCACTTCGCACGTTGCCGCGCATGCTACTCAGCAACAGAGAGGTTCTCCGCTGCTGCGCCAGCAGTCTTCAACTTCGACGCGCTCGTTCCATTACGAGCGCTCTCTTCAACGTCACGCATTGACCAAGCGGTCAATGGTGGTTGACGTGCCGGGACCGGCACGTCTAACCTTGACGGGGGATGGTGTAAGGGGTTACACGCACAAGTGGCTACAGTCACTTGTTACTCTAACAGATGCGATGTCTGTTAGAGGTTCGAACACTTCCTCGACCTTGGTGTAAGGCACACCAATGGCTACATACATTTATGACCACCACGACGGGTGGTCCATACACATTTAGGATTCCTATTGGCTGAAAGCAGCATCTTTTAGCCAATGAGTGACTTGCATGTTAGCAGAATCCTGCCAACCAGCCGTTGGTAGATTCCTAGTTTAGAATATTACATTTAGAGGAAGTCAGAAACATAAAACAAAAATAGCAGTTCTCATCTTTTACCAAAACACGCTACTTGGAGTCTTTATCTTGTTTAAAGTATACTCGTGGATCTCGAGTATACTTAACTCAAGTAAAAGAAACCTACGCTTCCTCATACACGTGCGCATACGTGTAAGCCGTAGTAGTGAGCCAAGGTAGGCCCACTACATTGCAGACTCCATTCTCGTGTCGAATGTGCAGCCAAGGCACCGTATCGGCCATACGGTACCCCGTCACCAACCCGAACGCCCACTGGTCCATGGTTGGGCCATCGGGTTGGATGAACGCGATCGGGTGTCCGACGTAGGATCCTGGCCATAGCTCACTCTCTTCTTGACTAACCGCCCGGCGCCGTAGCACGTCGAGGCTTACTTCTTCTGCGAATTCCTCGTCAGCTCCGTCCGGGTCGACCAAGGAGAGGCGGGCCGTCGTCTCACCCACGGAATCGACACGGGCGTAGTAGAGTTCCGTTAGCGCCGGCACCTGCGCCGGCCCGATGAACACCAGCAACCCAGTCGCGAATCCTTCAGCGGTCGTGGTGGTCATGGCGAGGGTCGTTTCGAGTCTTGAGCGAGGGAGAAGGTAGTTGTTATCTTCGAGAGAGCGAGAAAATACGCGAGTATCTTCGAGGGAGCGAAAAAATTCGCGAGTGAGGAATCCTGGGCGTGAACTAATATCTGGCTACGCTAAGTTTAGTCGTTTCATCTTTCCGTAGCCCATCAATCCTCTTGGGCCGTCACTCCGAGATCGAGACTTGCCGTATGGAAACCCCGATATCCATCGTGGATATCCATTACTGAGCCGAGCTGAGTTGGGTCCGAAGGCTTGACTGGTTACTTGAAGGTGTGCTGGGTATCGCCCAAATTGAAGAGTGGGGAGGGCGAAGGCCAAGTGTTGATGAGCGTTGGTGCGGTGGCTATAGATGCCACGCCTGACAAGCCCCGGCTAGTGGCGCACCCGAACGAATGCGTTCATCAGAGCACCAGGATTGTCGTGGAGGGCTACTGCCGCTGCCGCTGCCGCTGCTGTTGCGACGTGGCTTCGGATGCCTTTGCATGCCGGGTAGCACAAGAAGCCGGTATGCTTGTCCGATCATGCGAATGCAGGCGGCGGTTTTGGCATGAGACGGAGAAGGTGTCCACAATGTTCTGAGTGGCGACGTGTGTTTTGTGGTGTGGTGTCCGTGTCGTACAGTCCAACGATCCAGTTATAGTCGCGGACGAGGAGGGCAATGGCGACAGCGCTGTGTTGGCAGCAACGCGAGCGGATTGTGGCGAAGATGGATGGCAGTGGTTGTCAAAGTGAAGCAACCGATAGGCAGGAGGGAGGGTAGGGCAAGTTGAAGGAAGGCACAGAGTGAAGGATGTTGAAGTGGTTTGGCCAATGGCCTGCGCAGTCGCCATTGCGGTCGCGCGTATGGATAGTTGGTAGACATCAGTGCACGGCAAGTTTGTGGATTGCAACTCAAGACCGTACTTTTACAGGATCATTTCTATAGTACCTTCTTTTCTATTCGACTTTCCGAATAGACAACCTCAATAACTTTGATGATCGTATTCGACTTCATTCATTGACTCGGGATGTCGGTGGTTGCAGCGCTGGGTCCTCTTTTGGACTAGGCCTCCCCCATTGATGAACGTCCGCTGTCGCTATTCCAAGGCAGCGTGAGTGAGTGGGGTGATATGAGAAGTTATTGACTCTACCCTTGCTTTTCTTATTATTTTCAACGCCCTTCTACCATACACCACAAGGCATACAACTATTCCTACCATACATTGTCATTCTTCTATACTGGATACTGCCATTCTTCTGTACTGGATGCTGCCATTCTTCTGTACTGGATGCTGCCATTCTGCTGTACTGGATGCTGCCATGTTTGAAAACGATGCTGCGGTAGCCTACCAGACTCTACGATAAACTCAGCCACTGCAGCCGATCACCAATTGCAGCCCCAACGTATTGCACAATCCGCCATTTATACACCAATGCAGGCAGGCACCTGACGAGCACCGTGACATCTAACCATCGCCACTTTACTCTAGTATCGTGGAGGTACAGAAACCACACCTTCACAACAGGTTGTTGTCAACAAATTTCAGGACTTGTGTAAGTTTGTTTCAATTTTGGTAATTTTGGTAGCTTATGGTGTGGGTCGATAACCTCAGCCCATGCAGCGTAAAGTGATCTGCGTTACCTTTAGTTACTGAGGCTGGACCTCGCTCGGACGCACCTCGCCATTCCCAGCTCCCACGTCGTGCACCACACCCACAGAGCCGCTGCCAGCAAGCGATAGTGGCGAGTTGTGGTCGTCGCGGTTATCGGCAGTCCTGGGGCCGTCCACACCACGACCTCCGCCGACTCCCGGCGGCTGCTGCTCGTCGCCGCCTGCATCAGGTGGGGGAGGAAAACGACCGTCGACGCTCCCACTTCCGTGCCACGAACCCTTGTCGGAGCCGTGTCGGTGTAGATGGTCTCGGCCGTGCGGGGTATCGTCTTGGTCTCCATGATCTTCGTGCTCACCAGGAAGTCCGTGTGGTGAATCGACGCGCTTGTCGTCCTGAGGCTGATCCGGGTTGCCCTGCAACGGTTTATCACTCCGAATCGGCTCGCTGTCGGCATTCCACGGTTGCCTCCCGTTCGGCAAGTCGTCTCGCGGTGGCTCGTTCTGCTGCCCTCCATGCATGGGGCCGTTCATTGAACGGGAAGGCATCGGAGGCATCGCATTCTGGTCATCGCGGCCCTCCATTTGAAGGGCCTTACGGTGAGGTTCACCTTGACCGGCATCCGAGAACCGCGGCATGCCGTCCTTGCCGGACGCCGACCACGATGGAGGCGCGTTGCTGCTCGCGCCAGAAGGAGGTGCGAATCGGTCGTCCAGACTGCCACTGCCTAGCCAGAGGTGGTCGGCTGCATGACCGACAAAAGCGTGGCCTCCGACTCTGAGGCTTCCGACACCGACAAGTGGTTGGAGACTGTGATACTGAAGGTGGAGAGACAGCGGGTTTTGATCGGTGAACAATGGACATCGCGTGACCTTTAATATGGTGTTTCGAAGTTATTCAAGGGTCCGGTTGCACGGTGGTTTGTACAGGTTCACTCCAAAACCCAAGAACAAGATCGCAATTTCGAACATCTCACGACGCAGTTAACGCAGATGTACGGCAGCCATGAGAGTCTCTATCAGATACAGCTGGAGATGGCGAAGCGAGTGCAGCAGCCCGGTGAACGTCTGCGGGACTTTGCTGACAGTCTGCGTGAGATTGGAGTCGCTCACCCAGACATCCCGGAAGACTGGTATGTCGAAGCGTTCATCCGGGGCATCAACAACACGGACTGGGCGATGGTAGTGCGCATCCAGAAACCAACGGCACTGAGTGATGCTGCCCAGTTTGCTGTAGAGAACTTTGGAGACTACGGCGAAGGATATCAAGTGAAACAGTGGCAGAAAGCAGCAGCTCTTTACCGCGGAAGACAACATTGTAATGGTTTGGCAGCTGGTGAGGCGAGAACGGAATTTCCTGGTCGCAATCCAGTGAAAATGCAGCATCAAGACGACGCTCGACCGCCCCGCTACGACACCAGAGGAAGACGTCTTGCAGATCAGCGCAACGAAGCATTATCGCCAGCCGCACGACACGCGATTGCGGTGGCGGTACGAGTTGGTGAAGCAGCAGTGCTGACGACATCACGCAGCGCTATTCGCAACTCGAACGAAGCCGATCGCATCGAAGGTGCACGACGTAGCGGTGACGCTGGTGAAGTGATCCAGGTGCGAGCAGCACACAACCCACGCAAACGGACAAGGCGCAGAAATCACAGCGACCGAATGGCAGATCCGGAATATGCCCGACGTGTTAAGGCAAGGAAGGCATGCAGCTTGTGTGGACAGCATGGGCATTGGTATTTGGAGTGTCCAGATCGAAAACCTGCGGCAAGCTAAAGCGTTGGTGAAACCTGCCAAATCGAGGACGATTTGAGAACTGGGGGTGGAGAGTAAGCAGTGGTGTTTTACGAGGACAGCCACGGACAATATGCAGTGACGTGACAAGGTACATGCGTTTACAGTGGACAACGAGGACCAAGATGCGGACAAGAAGCACTCGTTCGACAAGCAGTACAAGGACGGCAAGAACAGCAAGTACATCATGGACGCCATGGGGATGAGTGAGCCGAGCGAAGACAGAAGGATCTGGTGAGCAGTCGCCGGTGATTCAAGGACGGATGACATGGTTGCGAGCTACAACGAGACGGATACGGCGAGTGCGGGTGACACGACCAACGGCATGAACCCAACGGACGGCAGTGCGAGAGCGCCAGCTTGCACACTTGCAGATCGGCGCTGTGAAGCTCAAGCACGGAGTCGACACAGTGAAGTACAAGGGCGAACATATACGACTTAGCGGCGGCAGCAGTGCTGTGGTGACGAAGTAGCCAAGACCGGTAATCGCTAGTAATACAAAAGGAGTGCTCACTGAGTGACGCATCGTCGCGAGGACGCAAGTTGAGCCCTCGGCGGCCAGCAGTGTGTTCGTGTTGACGACTCAGATCTATACGACCGAGGCAAGTACTGTGCTGAATAAGCCTGTCGCTCACTCTGCCTTGGAATAGCGACAGCGGACGTTCATCAATGGGGGAGGCCGAGTCCAAAAGAGAACCCAGCGCTGCAACCACCGACATCCCGAGTCAATGAATGAAGTCGAATACGATCATCACAGTTATTGAGGTTGAAATGTTTTCATGTTACCAATTAGTAAATCTCTCCGTTTGAATGATCAAGAAGGTTTGTGATGCTAAAACTGTGAGTGTGGAGGATGTTCCTTGCCTAACTCGGTTCCCTTGAAGGGTAGGGCCCTGTGAGCCACATGGGCCACATTTCCGTCTAGTTGCTGGCGCTGCGTGAAGGAGTCCCCCCGGTCTCCGTCACCTGCCTGCCCCCCTGTCTTGAACGCTGTCGTTGCCTGTGTTTCATGCAGTGATCTGCCCAAATGCGGCGGCTGCATTGAATACTTGAAGCAGAGACTCTCCTATCCAGGAACTTGGCTTCTCGCTTCAGCAGTCCGAGCTCCTTGGTGAGCACTTTGTGATTCCCAATGGCTACAGCACCAAGGGCGCCATATACGAGCGCTGAAAGTTGTACGGTCCAGCCCTGCCGCTCCAGGTGCCGCTTCACGCCGGCATATTTTGCTTTTGATCTGCAATAATGGCCATTGCTGATGGTGCCGTGTCGTTGTGTTTCTCGTAGGTGATTGCAAGATCCACGATAGCTGCCGCCCTCTTCGAATGATTATAAAGCTGCAGATCCGGGCGCAGGGCAGGGCCTGGTAGTGTTGGCACCGTTTTGTCGACCAGCAATTCGATGCGGCCACGCTGGTTACGGCGCGTGGCCGCCTCGATCGCATCGGAGATCAGCTTAAGAGCGTCATTGTGACGGCCACGAACAGCATCTTCAGTTCCCTTACAGTGCCCAAGCACATGCGCCAGCGTCTCTTTCCACTTGCAGCCAGGTTCACGGCAAGTTGAGTGGGTCCGAATGTTCTGGTCTGTGAGGAAACTGTTGGTGTCCACCTGATTGAGACGCGCAGCGATGGCAAATCGATAGCCCGCCTCCTAAAGGTATAGAGGACGGGTCAGAAACGCGCTACCTGCACCTCCGATCGCACGGGCAACGCGACCTTGGCTTTTCAGCGCCGTCCATTCTCGCCAGTGGCGATACTTCAGATACATCTTGGTTTGACGCAGGATCGTTCGGTTGAGTCGTGGTTAGGAACTCGTAGTTGAAGTGCCGCTGCAGAGGCCCCCGTCTCGACGTTTGCAGGTGAGAACTCGAACTGGAGGCTGAATTTCTGTAGTCTCCGCTGGATATCCGTCCATAAGGTGGCAACGTCACTATAGTGCTTCTTTAGTGGTGCGTGGATAGAATCTTGTAACTTGGAGTTCAACACGAGCTGACAGAGCTCATCTTTGCGTGACCTCCAGTACGAGACATCCAGATGGTGGTGGGCGGCCGCAGCGTCTCGCAGTTGAGCACGGGCAATGCGGCGAATCGCCGAATCCGGGGAATGAAGTACTTGCCATCCGTACGCCAGCTGGAGCGCCCCGTGAAGCTCCGTCAGCGGAAGCAGACCAAGTCCGCCCTTTGTGACAGGCGAATATAGGAATTCGTTGGTCGAGTTCTTGGGCAGGTGTAGTAGCCGACGTAGGCCACGTTGGAGATGGCGATCAAATCCTTCGAGCTGCTCGTTAAATGGTCGCTATGTCGAAGCGCGTAGTCGACGCGAGGGTAGAGGTAGGTTTTTATCGCCTTGATAACTTGCCAAGGGGCAAGGCCCGACTGCAGGAGAGCTGTAGCATCGTGCTTTAGCTCCGTGATAGCGGGTACGAGCTCCAATCGACTCTTGACGTGATCAAATCCATCTCCAATACCGAGGTACGAGTACGCCTGATCCATCTCCAGTCTTGGAATCACCGTGTCGCCGATCTTGAGGCCAAGCTGACCGGTGATCAGCTTGCCTTTGCCGTTCCGCTCTACTTCAAGGGACTTGCACTTCGATGGGTTGGCTCGTTAGCCCGTCCACCGCAGGAAGTCCGTCACTAGAGCGTAATGACGCTCAACCCAGCCTTACTGGTGCTAAAACCTTTTAAGTCGTCCGCATAGGCAGAACCCCTGGCTGGTCGTCACCTGACAGCTTTACCCCCGCACCCGAAAGTTGATCTAGCGCGAGTAGAAGCGGGGTAAGGACCGCCGTAAAGAGGTGAGGGCTAATAGGGCAGCCTTGAAAGACACCAACTCGAAGCTGCACGGGAGCCGTTGGTCCGTCAGCACCATTCGCCACAGTAAATGCAACTCCAGCGGCACGCCTAGTAACTCCAAGATATACCACAGTAGCTCGTGTATCACGCTTCCGAACGCATTTTCCAAGTCATACCAAATCACACGCAGCTCACGTCGCTTGCGTCAGGCCTGGCCCACCAGCGTCGACGCCACAAAATTGTGCTCACCGCAGCCATTAACAGCACGAAACCCTTTCTGAGCTGGGGCGTGCCGACCATTGGCTTCCATCCAGCGAGTGAAGCGCTTGGCCAACACACCTGCGTAAATCTTGTAGATTGCCTGTTGTAGACAAGTTGGGTGCCAGTTGCTAGGGTCGGTTCGGCTACCCTTCTTGAAGATCAGCCGCACAGTACCAAGCTTCCAGCTCTGGGGCAGGCGTTGGTGCTCCCAGCAGCATTTGAATATTGCGGTCAGCGCTGGAAGGAGCTGGGCGGCAAATGACTTGTAAATATCATAACCAACGCCATCTAAGCCGGGGCTCGACCCTGGTTTCAGTCGGAGTAGTAGCTCTTCGATCTCGTCAGCGCGTGGAGCCCTCGTAAGCAGGACCGGCAACTTGGACGCCGCAGGGAGTTGAGCAAGAGCTTGTCGAAACGCAGCACCGGATGGTGCGAGCGGGTCAAACGCCACGCGAGGCGTATTGACCGAGGCGAAGTGCTGCCAGAGGCGCTCGCTGGCGACCGGGCACACGTTGGGATCCATCTCTGCAGCATCGTTCGCGGCTGAATTCGCCGTCTGGGGTGCTGCTGGCGTCCTGGCGGCTCGGGCGGTCGCTAAAATCTCCTCCACGCACGCTTTTTCGTTCTTCCTAAAACGGTAACGAAGCCGTTGCTGCTCCTGGGACTTGCGAATACGGCCAACGCGGCGTCGCGCTTTGAGGACAGCTTTGCGCGTGCTGGAATTATTGCCCTCAACAGCATGCAAATCGTCCAATGCCTCATCTAAGCGCCGATCGTGGTTGAACGGCGAGTTGCGCGGCGGGTGACCCCGCCGATCGTTCCTCCTTGGCGCCCTGCGTGATGAAGAGCATGCACCGCTGCCGTGTTGAACGTCCCGTTGCTGCCCCAGATTCTTGCCGGTGGTCGATTGGCGCTGGCGCTGCGTATGGCTACAGCTTATCGTAGATGAGATAGGGGAGTGCCGTGATATAGCCTCCCGCCGTGCACCAATCCGTGGCATCAGTGATCTTTGCAGCTAATGTGGCGCCTAACCGTTCCATCACTGTGCGAGCTTCTTCTGCCTCGGGTTCTTGGAGCTCACGAAGACGGAGGCGGGGGCGACGTTGAGGGGCCGCATCGGGGCCAATACGCATGGGCAGGTACAGATCGCCGTCGTCAATGTCACCATGATCCACGGCATCGCTGTCGTCGGTCATGATGGTGTCTGTGGTGGCGGCGTTGGCCTCCGTTACCACCTCGGTGGTGTCGGCGGCCGTATCTTGCGACGAAGCATCGTCTACAACCCGGGCAGATGTACAGTCGTCTCCGGATGGATGGACACCACAGACCATCTCCGTTCGGCGGCGGTTGACGGCGCTGGTGGCCAATCGGTCGGCATGTTGGTTTGCTTGCCGATCGACGTGATGTAGCGAAAATTGCCCAAGACGGCGTACCGCCAACTTCACCTGGTTGCGCAGGCCACGCAGGCGGGGATTGCGAGTTTGGTAGATTCCGCGGACTTGCTGCACGACCAGCATACTGTCACCTTCGACACGTAGACGTTGCATGCCATGATCGGCGGCAGCCGTCACTCCGAGTAAGAGCGCAGTATATTCTGCAGTGTTGTTTGTTTCAGCTGGTGCGTCCGAGCGAGGTCCAGCCTCAGTAACTAAAGGTAACGCAGATCACTTTACGCTGCATGGGCTGAGGTTATCGACCCACACCATAAGCTACCAAAATTACCAAAATTGAAACAAACTTACACAAGTCCTGAAATTTGTTGACAACAACCTGTTGTGAAGGTGTGGTTTCTGTACCTCCACGATACTAGAGTAAAGTGGCGATGGTTAGATGTCACGGTGCTCGTCAGGTGCCTGCCTGCATTGGTGTATAAATGGCGGATTGTGCAATACGTTGGGGCTGCAATTGGTGATCGGCTGCAGTGGCTGAGTTTATCGTAGAGTCTGGTAGGCTACCGCAGCATCGTTTTCAAACATGGCAGCATCCAGTACAGCAGAATGGCAGCATCCAGTACAGCAGAATGGCAGCATCCAGTACAGAAGAATGGCAGCATCCAGTACAGAAGAATGACAATGTATGGTAGGAATAGTTGTATGCCTTGTGGTGTATGGTAGAAGGGCGTTGAAAATAATAAGAAAAGCAAGGGTAGAGTCAATAACTTCTCATATCACCCCACTCACTCACGCTGCCTTGGAATAGCGACAGCGGACGTTCATCAATGGGGGAGGCCTAGTCCAAAAGAGGACCCAGCGCTGCAACCACCGACATCCCGAGTCAATGAATGAAGTCGAATACGATCATCAAAGTTATTGAGGTTGTCTATTCGGAAAGTCGAATAGAAAAGAAGGTACTATAGAAATGATCCTGTAAAAGTACGGTCTTGAGTTGCAATCCACAAACTTGCCGTGCACTGATGTCTACCAACTATCCATACGCGCGACCGCAATGGCGACTGCGCAGGCCATTGGCCAAACCACTTCAACATCCTTCACTCTGTGCCTTCCTTCAACTTGCCCTACCCTCCCTCCTGCCTATCGGTTGCTTCACTTTGACAACCACTGCCATCCATCTTCGCCACAATCCGCTCGCGTTGCTGCCAACACAGCGCTGTCGCCATTGCCCTCCTCGTCCGCGACTATAACTGGATCGTTGGACTGTACGACACGGACACCACACCACAAAACACACGTCGCCACTCAGAACATTGTGGACACCTTCTCCGTCTCATGCCAAAACCGCCGCCTGCATTCGCATGATCGGACAAGCATACCGGCTTCTTGTGCTACCCGGCATGCAAAGGCATCCGAAGCCACGTCGCAACAGCAGCGGCAGCGGCAGCGGCAGTAGCCCTCCACGACAATCCTGGTGCTCTGATGAACGCATTCGTTCGGGTGCGCCACTAGCCGGGGCTTGTCAGGCGTGGCATCTATAGCCACCGCACCAACGCTCATCAACACTTGGCCTTCGCCCTCCCCACTCTTCAATTTGGGCGATACCCAGCACACCTTCAAGTAACCAGTCAAGCCTTCGGACCCAACTCAGCTCGGCTCAGCTCCACACTGTACCAGCATGGTCAAACTCACGCTCACCGTCGCCGCCGTCATGACCGCAGCTGCCGTCCTCGCCGATATCGGGGTGACTCAGCCAGACTCGCCGCACCACAGGCAGTTCCTTCGCCACGCAGGACCGAACGGAAGTGGCGTCGGCTTCGGCTCTGCGGGGAGCAGTCCCCGCGACCCTTCTTCGTCTGATGACCGAGACGATGCTGGCAGCTTCCGTGCTGGAAACCGCTCTCCTCCGTCGGATGCTGGTGTCGGTGTCGGAAGCCTCAGTGTCGGAGGCCACGCTTTTGTCGGTCATGCAGCCGACCACCTCTGGCTAGGCAGTGGCAGTCTGGACGACCGATTCGCACCTCCTTCTGGCGCGAGCAGCAATGCGTCTCCATCGTGGTCGGCGTCCGGCAAGGACGGCATGCCGCGGTTCTCGGATGCCGGTCAAGGTGAACCTCACCGTAAGGCCCTTCAAAAGGAGGGCCGCGATGACCAGAATGCGATGCCTCCGATGCCTTCTCGTTCAATCGACGGCCCCATGCATGGAGGGCAGCAGAACGAGCCACCGCGAGACGACTTGCCGAACGGGAGGCAACCGCGGAATGCCGACAGCGAGCCGCTTCGGAGTGATAAACCGTTGCAGGGTGACCCGGACCAGCCTCAGGACGACAAGCGCGTCGATTCACCACACGGACTTCCTGGTGAGCACGAAGATCATGGAGACCAAGACGATACCCCGCACGGCCGAGACCATCTACACCGACACAGCTCCGACAAGGGTTCGTGGCACGGAAGTGGGAGCGTCGACGGTCGTTTTCCTCCCCCACCCGATGCAGGCGGCGACGAGCAGCAGCCGCCGGGAGTCGGCGGAGGTCGTGGTGTGGACGGCCCCAGGACTGCCGATAACCGCGACGACCACAACTCGCCACTATCGCTTGCTGGCAGCGGCTCTGTGGGTGTGGTGCACGACGTGGGAGCTGGGAATGGCGAGGTGCGTCCGAGCGAGGTCCAGCCTCAGTAACTAAAGGTAACGCAGATCACTTTACGCTGCATGGGCTGAGGTTATCGACCCACACCATAAGCTACCAAAATTACCAAAATTGAAACAAACTTACACAAGTCCTGAAATTTGTTGACAACAACCTGTTGTGAAGGTGTGGTTTCTGTACCTCCACGATACTAGAGTAAAGTGGCGATGGTTAGATGACACGGTGCTCGTCAGGTGCCTGCCTGCATTGGTGTATAAATGGCGGATTGTGCAATACGTTGGGGCTGCAATTGGTGATCGGCTGCAGTGGCTGAGTTTATCGTAGAGTCTGGTAGGCTACCGCAGCATCGTTTTCAAACATGGCAGCATCCAGTACAGCAGAATGGCAGCATCCAGTACAGCAGAATGGCAGCATCCAGTACAGAAGAATGGCAGCATCCAGTACAGAAGAATGACAATGTATGGTAGGAATAGTTGTATGCCTTGTGGTGTATGGTAGAAGGGCGTTGAAAATAATAAGAAAAGCAAGGGTAGAGTCAATAACTTCTCATATCACCCCACTCACTCACGCTGCCTTGGAATAGCGACAGCGGACGTTCATCAATGGGGGAGGCCGAGTCCAAAAGAGGACCCAGCGCTGCAACCACCGACATCCCGAGTCAATGAATGAAGTCGAATACGATCATCAAAGTTATTGAGGTTGTCTATTCGGAAAGTCGAATAGAAAAGAAGGTACTATAGAAATGATCCTGTAAAAGTACGGTCTTGAGTTGCAATCCACAAACTTGCCGTGCACTGATGTCTACCAACTATCCATACGCGCGACCGCAATGGCGACTGCGCAGGCCATTGGCCAAACCACTTCAACATCCTTCACTCTGTGCCTTCCTTCAACTTACCCTACCCTCCCTCCTGCCTATCGGTTGCTTCACTTTGACAACCACTGCCATCCATCTTCGCCACAATCCGCTCGCGTTGCTGCCAACACAGCGCTGTCGCCATTGCCCTCCTCGTCCGCGACTATAACTGGATCGTTGGACTGTACGACACGGACACCACACCACAAAACACACGTCGCCACTCAGAACATTGTGGACACCTTCTCCGTCTCATGCCAAAACCGCCGCCGGGGGTGGTTGCGAGGACGAACGGGAACTCGCGTGACGCCGACAACGTCGGCACCACCTTCCATCGAGGTCTATCGTTCACTGATTCGGACGGGTTCGTTTCCTTCGCCACCAAGTTCCCAGGGCTGTACGCGGGACGCACTACACACATCCATATCATGACGCACTCGGATGGCACTGTGCTTGCCAACGGAACGTACTCGGGTGGACGGGTATCGCACGTAGGCCAGCTCTTCTTCGACCAATCCCTCATCACGGAGGTGCAGTCCACTGGAGTGTACGCGGACAACTCGATCCGGGTCACCACGAACGAAGACGACTCCATCGCCTTGCAGTCTGCGGCTGACGACTTCGACCCGTTCGTTCAGTACGTGAAACTGGGCGAGTCCGTGGAAGACGGTCTCTTGGCTTGGATCTCGGTGGGAGTGGACATGACGAACGACAACAGCGTGACCGCCGCGGGGACGTACACTGGAAGCGATGGCACGACGACGCCCAGCGGAGGTACGGCAGCTCCTGCTGAGTCTGGGTCGACTTCTGCGACTGACGTTTCTTCGGCTGCTGCTGACATAGGAAATGGCGCTCTCAGGCTCGAACTGTGCTACGGCTGGCTTCTAGCCCTCGCACTCGTGCTGTTGCAGTAGTTGACCAAGGGATAGCGATCTGCTTGAACACCCGCTGAGTAAAGCAGTTGATCATTAGCATGTATTACCATTTGCGCTGGATTTATTTCAATGGTACGCCATTTTTGCGTTCGAGCCAGTGTTTGGGCCTGCACTGCCGAATGCACTTCCACTGATGCTATCGAGCAGGAAGGCCCCACTGCTGTTGCTCGAACGCAGGTTTGCTGACGTGGTAGACGTTGTGCTCGTCGAACCATACGCCCGCTGCGTCGCCTGCGTGTAGTACACACACACTTCGTTAGTGAACTGATCGATCGACCACCTAGGAATCCTTCTGCAGTGCGCACCTGGTATTGATACCCAGAGAGCATCGGCACGGCGTCTTCCTGGTAGTGTTGACCTGGTGCAAGACCGTGTCCGCCACCGCGAAGAGGTGCGTAGGCGTAGTTGGGCGTCGGGGGCTTGTCACGAGGGTTGTTTGCGCCATAGCTACCGCCAGACAAGGATGCGGAGGCTGAGGTGGCAGACGACGTACGCAGGCGTTGCCGCTGCGCTGACGAATTCTTGTCCTGGCGCGTGAAGAACAGCAACAGTGCGCTGGGGACGAACTCGGTCGAAAAGTGGATGGTAAACTCGTACGCAATGTGGTGGACACCCACGGGAGTACGGTACTGGGACTCCTCCGATTCCATGTATCCCGTGCCCATGCCGATCAAGTACACGGCCTTCACCGCGAACAGGACGCAGAGCAGGATGCACACGGCCGTGATCTGGTCAAGTTGTCAATAGGGAGCCGTTAGTCACCTCTCTTTAGTTAGCTAACAGCACCACATGATGATTGGCAGCACTCACCCTGCGCAGCACGAGTTGCCTGGGTGAACTGGCTGCGATGGAGAACGATGAGCCTCCCTGGCGTCCTGCGGTGCCGTTTCCGTTGCCCATGGCTGCCGACGACAAGTCGAAGAAGAAATCTTCATCTGGGCTCTGGTTACGGAAGAAGTCGATGAGCCGAATGCTGTAGTACAGGATACCGAACAGCCCCACGAAGTAGACTCCGCCTTGCAGCAAGTCGCAGCCCCTCCAGAGTCCCGCCGACGTGCTCGACAGCGCGAACAGCAGCGCAAAGCCCACGTAGAGTAGCACGTTGAAGAGGAAGAAGACGCGGCGAGGCCACGGGTGTGCCTTGCCCCAGCAGGCGTAGCACAGCTGCGCCCAGAAGAGCAGCACGAGTCCGTACATGGACACGAACAGCATGGACGGCAGCCACAGGAACAGCGTCAGCAGCTTGCAGTACACGGAGGTGGACGGCAGGGCCGCCACCTTCTCCAGCGTCGCCACTTCTGTGACCAGCGAGCACACGCGCAGCGTGGACGCCACGAACAGCAGCAGGTAGAGTCTCTGACGCATCTCGGAGCCCGTGGACGCGGCTGCGGCGCCCTCCTCCTCCATCAGCGCGGACTCGGAGCCTCCGACGACGTTCACAGAGGCTTGAGGGGCCTGTGGCACGGCCGAGTACGGCGCTTTGCCCGCTGGAACGGGCCCCGGAGCCTCGTTGGCGGCGGGGGACGCGGCGCTGGAGAGGCGCTTGCGTTTGGCCGCGTACTGCCGGTACAGGACGCGCCCGGACACCGCGCTCAGCGACAGGAACAGCAGGATGGTCAGCAGCAGCAGCAGGCGGTCGCCGAGGCTCAGCGTCTCGGGGCCTTCGCCTGGCACGGGCGCGGGGTCCACCATGTCTGTTGAAGCGGTTGCTGCGCGAGAGTGGGGGTTGTGAAGTGAATAGGGCGAGTTAGAATGAGTCGCGCATATATTTAGCTAGCTGAGATGAAGGCGAAGAAGATGAGGTGCTGTGCGCGGCGTGAACCTCGCTCGCGCACGAGATATCGACGCGAGATGAAGGCGCTTTCGACCAACCTTTGCAGACGACGGACGAAAGCAAAAAGTTAGATGCGCTCCGGTGCCACGGCCACAGAGAAAGGTACCATAAACCAGGTACATCTTCGAATGGTGTGAGGCACACGAGTTATCAGATGACGAAGTCTCAGATACCTTTATGCGGTTGAAGAGCACATCGACTTCACCGCCAAGAGCAGATTTATAAACACTTGAGCATTCCGAGCCAAGAGCTCAATCAGTGCATGCTCCGCCGGCTGCGCCTGCTTCATCGTCCTCTTCTCCGCGTCAACAGCAGCAGCAGCATGTCCACCGCTTCCTCCGTTCCATGGCGCGTCGACTCTGACGCCGCTCGTCGCTCCAGCGTCGCGAGCTTCAACGAGTTCTTGCGCTCCACGCGGTCGGCGCTGACGCAGTCCCCGCCTCCCGCGGTCGTGCACGTGTTCATGGGCAATGAGGCGGCGGACGCCGACTCCATCGTCAGCTCGCTGGTCTACGCCTTCATGCACTACCAGCGGCACTCGGAGGCGCTGCACGTGCCCGTCCTGTCCATCCCCAGAGCAGAACTGGTGCTGCGCTGCGACGTCACCGCGCTGTTCCAGGAGCTGGGCGTCGACACGCACGCGCTCGTGTTCGTGGACGAGTTTCCGTGGGGCCTCAAGTCCAAGGTGAAGGTGACGCTGATGGACCACAATGCACTGAGCAACAAGAAGATCCCGCAGCTGGGAGACTTGCGCGTGGTGGAGATCGTGGACCACCACTCGGACCTGGGCCAGCACTTGGACGCCGAGAAGCGGGAGGTGGCGTTCGCGGACGGCAACGCGCTGGTGGCCAGTACCTGCACGCTGGTCGCCGAGAGGCTGAAGGAAGCGGAGAGTCATGACGTACACAAGCTGCTGTCGACTATGTTGCTTGGAGTCATTGCTCTGGACAGCATCAATTTCGATCCGAGTGCGAAGAAGGTGACGCCGCGGGATGTGAAGGCTGCCGAGCAGTTGGAGCAGACCGCGTTCGCGAAGAAGGAGGAGTTGTTCAAGTGGCTGCAAGCGGAGAAGTTTAATCCGGCTCACTGGGGGGCGTTCACGCTGGAGAATTGCCTGCAGGTAGACTACAAGGAGTTTACGTTCTCGACGGCGACTGGTGATGCCAAGAAGGTCGGCATCAGTGCGGTGCTTATTGACTTGGAGGCCTTCGTGCTCAAGTCGAAAGACGCTGCCGCACTGCGTGAGGGTTTATCGACGTACTGCAAGCAGAACGAGTTGGCGTTCTTGGTGGTGATGACCATGTTCATGACCGCCGATGGGCAGCGCCACCGCCAGTTGCTCTTCTTCCAGGAAAGTGGTGACGACGTCAAACACTGCGTGACATTCTTTGAAAAGGAAGCTTCACTGCATCTGGAAGTTTTGAAGCTGCCCGAGACGCACCGCGATGGACATGTAGCAGCCTTCAACCAGCTCAACACGGCTGCGTCAAGGAAGCAAGTCGCACCGTTGATTCAGCGCGCCCTTGCTGAGCCTGTAGTCAAGCTATAGGGTGCCACATGGCGATAACAAGTCTGGTTCACGGCCACGAGCAGAAAGATTATCTAGAAGATGGACTCTTCTTCAACTACTGTACGCCTCCACTTCAACGTCTGCACAAGCCCAGGGAATCAATCCGTCGCGCCATCGGTGTTGACCCCTGCTATTGCAGCCAAACACATGCCCGGAGCCAGCACAACGTTGCACAGCCTCCGCCATAGCCAACTCGTCCACTTAGCGCCCCAGCACCCAGCCGCGTTCGGCGACAGCCGTTACATGCTCCCAGCTCGTCTTCATACAGACAACAGCCTCAAATTTTCGCGCGGCGTCGAGCGAAATCGACTATGGCGGCCAGGCGCAGCTAAAATAGTTACTGCCGCGTTCGACACGCTCCTCCCTCGCCACTTTGCTTGCTCGCTATGAAATCGCCGCGGGGGCACGGTCGCAGCGCAGCGCCATTACCACGAGAAGCGCTGCTAACCACGTGAGTATACCATGTGATCTTGTAAAATAGAAGACGCCACGACGCGTCTTGATTGGCTGCGAGAACTTTGTGTGCTGCACATCACGTTGGTGGCCCTCGTTCTGATCTATTTATAGAAAGTTCCTGGATTCTCGCCCAATGGCCGCGCGCAAAAGCTGACGAATGACGCTCCATCGGCGGATATTTCGCGTTTTGCCAGAATTCAGTTCGACGCACGCAGAAATAGCCCGGCCGCGCCCACTCAGTCCAGAAAACGCCCTCCAGCCAAGCAGTCCGCGGTCGAGCAGCTCCAGTGCGCGCTCCTCGTCTCCGTTCCGCCCCACCCCCGCAGCAAGCAGCAGTAGCAGCCCCTCCCTCGACGTCCGCGTCGAGCCGAGCCCCCGCCACTGCTCCCCCGCCCCGATTTCCCCGGTCGATCGCGACCTCTGGCGACCAAATTGAGCAACTCTGAGTTCGCTGACGCTTCGCCGAGTCCACTGGTTGTGGGAGTGGAGAGCAGCCCCGCGCCGAGCCTTCCGCCAGGAGTAAAGTTGCTGCAGACAGCAGATCCGACGGTGACCGCCTCGACGAGCGAGCAGCGAAGTGGCGGCGCAGTCGACGGATGGGATAAGTTTGCTGGCCTAAGACCGACCGACACGCGACGACAGTGCCCTGCCTACTAGAGAAGAGAAGAGAGAAGAGAGCAAGTCCACCCTTCCTGCTTCTGCCCAACCGACCGACTATCTACCCTTAAACTATATAGACTCGTGATAGAGACACGATGATCGCGCCGACGAACAAGCCGACGATGGTCAAGTGGGAGCACCTGTCCTTCGTGATCATGGACGCCCCCAACGACAGCAACCTGCACATCTACCTCAAGGAGCTCAAGAAGCACAACGTCACGGACCTCGTGCGCGCCTGCGAGGTCACCTACAGCAGCGAGTCCGTGGAGGCCGCCGGCATCCACGTGCACGAGCTCGAGTTCCCCGACGGCGAGTCGCCCGACCCGGAGATCTTGGACCAGTGGCTCGACCTGGTGGAAGACTGCTTCAAGGACAACGCCATCGACTCCAAGAACAACAAGTCCATCGCGGTGCACTGCGTCGCAGGGCTGGGCCGGTGAGTTTAAGTCGCTGACTAGCAGGTAGATGAGAATTCCTGACTAACGCACGTTCTCCTTGCTTTATGTGTTGCAACAGAGCTCCCGTGCTGGTGGCTATCGCGTTGATCGAGTACGGGCTGGACCCCATCAACGCCGTGGAGCACATCCGCAAGTTCCGGCGTGGGGCCATCAATCTGCGCCAGCTCAAGTACCTGGAGAAGTACCAGCCGCGGCGTGGCAACAAGGCCAAGTGCACCATCATGTGAAGGGGCGATGGGGGGAAAAGACGCCAGGCGCAGGCTGTGAGTGTGCCGGCATCTTCACGCATCTGCTCTGGCGTTTCTCGGCTGCTGGCCTTCCCCCCACAACTTTTATTTTTGCTGTTTTACTTCTTCGCTCTCCCCTGGTCTGGCTACGACGCGCGTCATAGCGAGGAAGAGCGAACGCTCATATCAAGACTTATCCAGCTCCGACGCCGGCATGTCGGCGTCTACAGATCATATTCACAAACACGGCATTGCTTAATCTACTATACGCATTTGGTGTCTCTGCTGCCTGCGTTGTGGTGCGATTATTGTCAAAAGCTTCGAGAGGCAGGATCAACTGCTGCCGAGCGCTGCCCAATGTAACAATGGTGTGCCGGTGTAAGTACATATAGCCACGTCATGTAGAGCGTGACCAACTTAAGCCAGTCTCATGAGCTCGACTAGCACACCATGCAGAAGCGATTTGCACCTTCTTCTTCTCTGGAACTACGATACACATTCGAGAAGAGAAGAAAATCGCTATACTAGGGACAAGGAAAACACCCAGACCTATGGATACCTGTAGGATTCCAGAAAAGGCCACGAAGCTGCGTGCACTTTGCATACTCTGCTTGGCTCGTAAGTGTTGAAGCTGCACTTCAACATCTGTCAGATCCCAGGATAAGAAGAAGAAGAAGAAGGAGAATCCTGCAGTCATTCTGATTGTTGTGCTCTTCCTGCATAGTCTCTATTGGTCGGCTTTAATATACAAGTGCCTCGTTGCCTGCATACTGCTAAAAACTGCAAGCTTGCTTTGTAAATAATGTTGCGTGGCGCCAACCTTACTCGAAGGCGAGGGTTGCTTGGCCACCTGGCTGCTTCTTGATGAGCGCATTGCCGTTGTTGCTGCTCGTGGACCCCTCCGTGTGTCGGGCCCTTTTCGGCTGGAAATCCGCAAGCTCGCTGAACCACTTCACGACGGGGAAGTGGCCGTTGTAGATGGCGAAATCGACGGCGACTGTGGTGCAGCCCTCGGAGCGATTCGCCCACAACCACTGCACCGTGGCCAAGTGACCCCCTGCAGCAGCAGTGTCCATTGCGCCCGTCGTGCATCCTTCGCTCCGGTTCTCGTGAAGCCACTTGACAACATCCAGGTGGCCGCCAGCCGCTGCGCTGTCCATCGCGTGAACGGAGCAACCCTCGCTGCGGTTTTCGTGGAGCCACTTGACGACCTCGAGGTGGCCTCGCAATGCTGCTGCATCCATCACTCGGGCCGAAATCTTCATCTCGGGCATGTAGGCAGTGAGCCACTTCACGATGCCGAGGTAGCCCTCGGTCGCTGCGATCCGCATGGACCAGTCGAAGCCGTGATCGCTGATATCGGCCTTCCGTTCGCCAAGGCGCTTCAGGAGTGACAGGTATCCGGCGCACGCTGCCTTTTGGACGGTCCACCGAGGGGAGCAGTCCAGGAACGACTCGATCAGTTCCGGTACTAACCCGCTGGCAATGGCGCCAACTTGGTCTCTTACGACCACCTCGACACTCGTCATCCGTTCCATCGTCATGTTTCGCTCTGCTCTTCCTCCGCTTGGCTGATCTGGTGTGGTGCTTCCTGTATTGTGCGCTGAATCAAAAATGTCAATGCACTGAGACCGAGGAAGCTGCATCCCATGACCCCCTTGCGCCACTGAAGACGATGGGTGTTGCCCTGATGCAGAGCCAAAATAATCGGGCTGAACATCGTCTCACCTCCATATGCACCTACCAGCCTCGGGTTCTGATCAGCGATGGATGGATGGATGGACCACCGTTTCGAGTGAGGTACATCCACTCGCGCAGCACCGAGGCGCACGCACCCCGCCCTCTGCAAGCGTGACGAAGGCTCCGAGTAACGCCTGCTGACCCCGTCGGCGCCCGGCAGGCCGTTCGTTGCCAGGACGGAGGTAACCCCGCCACGCTTGCGCTGCCCCCGGGGTGTCTGAGACACAAAAGTCGCAGCATCCGTCAAACACCCGCTTCAGCTTTGCTTTTGCAGATACGCAGCTGAAGTGCACTTCAACTTGGAAATTCTCACTTTACTGATTAGGATCTGATAAATGCACTGCACGACAGGAGCTGTTCGATCCAGCCCGTCGGTCTCTCGGTATGGTACGCATAAGTTGGTGTCTGTGGGGCCTCGTCTTCTCTCAGTTCCGGCACGAGAGGCCCGTGCTCATCCGCCGTGGGCGGTGCCGGGGAACTTCCAGCAGCGTGGCGCTTAGTCGTCGCTCTCTCCGCCCCCAGCGAGTACTGGGCGACCGCGGCTGGCCGGCGGCGTCTTGCACCTCGACGTTCTGCTCGTTCAGCCAGCGCAGGATGTGCATGTGGCCGTTGAGCAGCGCAAAGTGCGAGGCTACGCTGGTGCAGCCCTCTTTGCGGTTCGCTGCGAGCCACTGCACGGTCTTGAGGTGTCCACCGGCAGCCGCGCTGTCCATCGCGGCAGTCGTGCAGCCCTCGGAGCGGTTCTCGTGGAGCCATTGCACCACCTCCAGCCGTCCGTAGGCCGCGGCGCTGTCCATGGCGGCCGTGGTGCAGCCTTCGTCGCGGTAATGGTGGAGCCACTTGATGATGTTGAGGTGGCCGCGCAGAGCTGCCGAGTCCATGACGCGCGTGGAGCACTCCATGTCTGGTTGGTAGGCGGTCAGCCACTTGACGACGCGCAAGTCGCCGCTGTCGGCCGCGGTCCTCAGCGCCCAGTCCAGCTCTCTGGGCGAGATCGGCGCCTCCTTGGCGCCCAGTCGGTCCAGCAGCGTCAAGTACCCGGCGCAGGCGGCGCGCTCGATTGTCCACTTGTGCGAGGAGTCCAAGTACTCGCTCACCATCTCGGCCACGTGCGGGCAGCCGGCCAGCGCGTCCTGCGCGCGCATCACGACGTCCACGGTGGTGAACACGGGAGTCCGGAAGCTCATGGCGGAGTGGGTCTTCTTCGTGGCAGCGGTGAGAATTCGAATCTGACCGGCGGTTGGAGCGGCGGTCGATGCTGCTCGCTTTCTCGCTGTCGTGGCGTCGGCTGCAGGCTGGTTGGTTCAACTGGAGGTGACAGCGCGGCAGGCAGTTCCGCTTTTCTCCAGCGCTGACGTACCCCGCGACCCATGGAGCTGATTGCGGCGGTTAACATCCGGCTTCCAGGGCAACTCCTGGCCGACACAAGGCCCCACGAGATGACGATCGTCGCGAAAAGGAAGCCAAGTTGAGGCGCGGGCGGAAAGCAACTCGACGACCGCGCGACCCGCTCCGGACGCAACGAACTCCGATCGGCACGGACTGCACGAACCCGGTGGCAGAACCAAGCTCTCCGTCCGATGTGCAGCGCGTCGTCGCCCGGCAGCAATAATTCGGCTAAAATTGCCGCGCCGCCTCGAGCGCCGCGAGTTTCCTGCGGCGGCGGCGGTAGCGAGGAAAGGTAGGTAGCAAGCCGACGCGGTAAGTAAAATGGAGATACGCGCCGCCGGCCAGCCGGCCTGTGAGCAACAAGCAAACGAGCTCATTAGCATCGAGGGCGGTTCGTCCGTTATGCGGTGCCGTTCCCCAAGTTGAAGTCAGCCGGCGCTCGTGTGTCGCACACCATCTTTGTGTGTCGCACACCAATGTGTGCGACGCACATTCTGGGCGACAAGAGCCGGGCGGCTGCATAGATGACGCTCGTTCGAGAGTCTGTCTCGATTCGAGACAGATGCCATCCGTCCTCGGCGCCCGATACAAACGTGCAGTCGTTCTAACCGCGCGGCGGCGTTGAAGTAGGCGGGGGGGGGTCGCCCCTAAAGCTGCCAAATAGAATTTACCCAATGAAAAGCTGCCGAAGGAGATCGCTGCATGCAGCTCATAATCCAAAGTGCCAAGAAGCCAAAAACCTAGCAGCCTACGCAGCGAAGCCAAGATGCCGCAGAGCCGCGAACTCGCCAACAAGAAGAACGACCACAAGGACCGCCATTCGCGCGGCCCCATGGGCGCGGGCGCCGGCCCCAAGAAGGGTGCGTGGATACAGGAGAAGGAAAGATGGCCAGCTATGGTGCAGCTAGAGCTAACTTGGTGCGTATTGTGTGGCGCGTGATGCAATGCAGGCGGCGCCGGTGCGCACAACTGGGGCGTCTCGACGGAGGAAGAAGGCGCCATCGCCGCCGTGGACCGCAACGACCCCAACTACGACAGCTCGGAGGAGAACTAGGCGCCGCGTCGCTTCGCAGCGCGGGAGCTGAAGGGACCGGGAGAGAATGCAGCACGCAGCAGTAGCAGCGGGGCAGAGTGACGTCAAAGTCGTGCTGGCACGAGCGTCAGTGTGTGCGTGAAGGAGAGGAAGGGGAGAGAAAGAAGACGAGAAAGAAGGGCTTCCATCGTTTTGAGGGTCGTCTCCGCCGGGATGCTTCAGCGAGAGGAGCCCACACAGAAACAGAAGGATAATTTATCGAAACCCATTATAAAAATCTCAATACCCGTACACTACCAACCGCTTCGCCTTCGTCCCCTTCTTCGAAGCCTCATGACCGCCATCCACAGGCTAATGCACGCCAGCAAGACGATCGCCATCGCTGCATGCATGCAAATGATCTTTCCACTGAGGACAGCTGGCGGGTGTCCTCACTCAGCGCTGTTAATGTCCGCCACACCTTTCCCGTCACTTCAACAATCCAATCTCACAGTGTCAAATATCGTCTCTCACAGGTATTTCACGTACACCACACCACACAAAAGCCAAGCGGCACCAATCAACATTAATCGCATCCCAGCAACCATGGCCGCCATGCCGTCCGCCGACGCGAACGCGGCGTCCGTGACGACGATCCCCAACTCCATGTGGAAGTCGGCGCCGCTGATCCAGGAGGGCTCGCTCGTCATCCTCTTCGAGACGCACAACTCGCTCACCTACTGCTACGCGCAGCGCGACGCCATCTACCAGAACCGGCACGGCGCCTTCTACCACAACGACATGATCGGCCAGCCCTTCGGCTCCAAGATCATCTCGCGCAAGAAGAACGCGCGCGGCTACCTCATCCTGCTGGCGCCCACGCCCGAGCTCTGGAGCCGCGCGCTGCGCCACCGCACGCAGATCGTCTTCACGCTGGACGCCAGCGCCATCATGTTCGCGGCGGCGCTGCGCTCGGGCGCGCGCGTGGTCGAGTCGGGCACGGGCAGCGGCGCGCTCACCACGAGCTTCGCGCGCACGGTGGCGCCGCACGGCCACGTCTTCACCTTCGAGTTCAACGCGCACCGCGCCGAGATCGCGCGCGACGAGTTCAAGCGCAACGGCCTCGAGAGCGTCATCACGGTGGACTGCCGCGACGCGTGCGAGCAGGGCTTCCCCGTGGAGCTGGAGGGCACCATCGACCTGGTCTTCCTGGACCTGCCCTCGCCCTGGAAGGCCGTGGGCCACGCCGCCAAGATGCTCAAGCAGGGCGGCTTCTTCGCGTCCTACTCGCCCTGCATCGAGCAGGTGCAGAAGACCTGCGGCGCGCTCAGGAGCGCCAACTTTGAGTGTGAGTTGCCGCTGTTATTGTAGTGTGTGTATGTTTGTCTGTGGGGGAGGGTGCTGATAGTTTGTTGTTGTTGTTGTTGCTGTTGCTGCAGTGATTCGGACGATTGAGACGAGGCTGGTGCCGTACAACTCGCGGAGGATCGACCTGCCCGTGCCGGACTTCGGCTTTGGCAAGAAGGTGAAGACGGAGAATGGGGCTGCGGCTGCGGCGGCTGCTGCCGAGGCAGCGAAGCAGGCGGAGGAGGACGCCGCCAAGACGGAGGAGGAGAAGGAGAGGAAGAAGAACGGCGGACGCAAGCGCAAGTACGTGCCCGGCGGAGTGGGCGAGCACATCGTGGCCAAGAAGGACGACGAGATCCGCGGACACACGGCCTACCTTACCTTCGCTACCAAGTTTTTCGAGTAAGCGGCGTCATCGTGCCTTGGGTCTCGTGCATTAGGCCCGAGGTGCCGCGATAGAGATAGATAAGCTGTATAACAAACAGTCCATATTGCATCATCTACGTTTGCTCGGATCCCGGCGCCAAGTGTTCACGCCGGTGTTTACCCGAAGGTCCAGGACACGTGATTATAGACCCCAGCAAACGTCAGTTTTGTACACTCGTGGATCATTCTTCACTTTTCCAGGTCAAAGATGAAGCTCCACGGCGCTGCAATTGCCGTGTTGATCCTAACAGCGATTCCCAACGGCAAGGCAGCGAGCATCGGACATGATAAAGTCAAACCATTCCCGCAACCAGAGCCTGTCACAATTTCCGAAAAGGCTGCCGTCACGTTCAAACCGCAGCTCCTCATCACAAACGGCTGCCACTCGTACCCTGCAGTCAACGAAGCCGGCGAAACTAGCGGTGGATTAAGCCCGACTGGAGGAACCAGCGCGAAATGCGGTGGCTCGGCCCTCGGCTCGCAGGTGTACGGCCGTTCCAAGTGGTACAATGACATTTGGGCCATGTACTCTTGGTACTTCCCCAAGGACTCCCCGTCCAGCGGACTTGGAACTCGCCACGGTTGGGAGAACGTCATCGTCTGGATCGACAACCCCGCCGTCCCTGCGCCCAAGATCCCCTCGTAGGTCAAACATATCTGAATTCCAGTCCATGAACATGAATTCCAAGGGAAACAAAGTATACATAAGAGTGATTGAAGCGCTCGACCTAACACGTACGTGTACGAGTTCTCAGGATGCCCCTTCATCCCCAATGGAAGTAGCCTAAGATGTCCTTGAGGAAGATTTCCCATCCAATGGCAATGATCACCTGGAACACGAGCATCCAGATGATGATCCACTCCAGCTTCGCCCCCTGGTGGTGGGTTAGTTGCTGGTTCAGAACACCCACTCTGTGAAAATACAAAAATTAGCGTTAGCAACCGAGAGATGGACATAATACTTTGGTGAGCCTCACAAGTCACGTAGGATACTGAGACGCTTGTTCAGGATGGCCACGCGGTTGGACACGTCCTGGTACTTAAGCATTTTCTCGTATAGATACTTGAAATCATCGTTGTCCTGGGACTTGAGGAAGTACTCGGGCTCATCCAGAATGTTCGAGTGGATGTTCACATCGGCCAGCTCGATGAATAGCTGGCCGATCAGCTTGGACGTGTCGTCTTGAGAATACTGGATGGACCCAACTGACGCGAGACTGGACGGAATGTGCTTGGTCGAGCGGATTCGATCTTCCACCCGAGTCTCGAATGCCCCCAAAGTAGCGGACTGTGACATCGCGAACGAAAGCGCAATCTTCTCGGCAACGGTCGTCGTGCAGAGCACAATCGAGTCTTTCGCGATACTGGATCGGTCGCCGTAGCTGAACTCCATGTCATGCGCGTCGACTTGGTCCATCAAAGCAGATGAAAACGGTGTCAGCATCATAAGTCGTCGAGCTTCCTCCTCTCTCGTGAGCCCCCAGAAGACACAACAGCCCGTGCTAAGATACACAGACAACTCTAGGTAAGCCCCTCAGTTGTACGACCGCTAAATAATACCCCAGCAGTTTACTTACGCAAAGAAGAAGGCGTGTTTCTGCTGGAGAGCTGCCGCTCGTTGAGCCATGTAAGGGTCTTCATTGTCCATCCCTGGAACCTCCACAGTTTGTTCTGGCGTGAAGCTCGAGTGCAGCACTTCCAAGTACATTGTGTTCTTCCAGTTTGCAAGTCCGAGGCCGACTTGAGTTGCAGTTGTAGACACCCCTCCCTCCTTTTTCGCCTCCGCAGCTTCAACGCGACGACTTTCCCTCGCGCTCTTGTCCATCCACTTGAGCAGCTTGAACAGCGCGATCTGCTCGCACGTGTAGTAGACAGCAACCCGCCTCTTGTCAGTGTGCGTGGGCGGCAGCGGAGGCTTGAACAGATGCACCCGCGCCAACTCCTCGTCGTAGTCCGGCGCATGTGCACGCCAGCGCCGTCCACTCGGCCGACGCGCCAACATCCCCGACGGGATCGAGCCGTTGAGTCGGTGCATCTGCATATTACAATATAGTCAAGTCAATCTCCGTCATTAAATATCTACGTTCTACTGTACTTTACTAAGTATTCTACTTCACTCTACCCACCGCTCGGTCTTTGGCTTGCAATCCGGATCGACGAGCTTTGGCCTCCGGGAATCCGACCGCACGCACAGGTGCAGACGAAGTAGGAGGGGTATCTGCAACACTTTGAGCAGGTTTGTGCACCTCTGGAACGGTTGCGAGGGGGGCATCCAGCAGCACAATTGGGATCGTGGGGGCCAAAGCCTCGATATCTTCCGCTTCGTCGCTGTCCTCGTCCTTGTCGCCATCGTTCGGGTCCTCGAGTGAGACGGGGATCGCAGCAGCCACGGGGCTGAGCTTGTGGCGGGTGCGACGTCGACGCCGCGCGGGTTTCGAGATCCCCGCCGAGATCTCGATGGAGGGCGGCGACTCCTGCATTATTGGTAGCCTTCAAGACGGGGTGGTGGACTAATTTGTATATTGTGCTTTTCAGTTGTTTTGGCGAATCGGACGTGTAAAACAGCTACCTACTAAGATGGGCTAGGTTATCGGAGCAGATTAGCAGGTCCGTCGTAGGGAATTAGGACCAAGAATTGCTAGTCCGATGGAAGCACTTGCGCAGGTCCTACAAACAGCCGAAAGCCCGAATGTCGCCCATTTTCACGGCATTCGGGGTTTGAGGTCTTACGAAGGACTCCTGCCAAGTCTTGTGGCAGGACTTTCATACGAGCTGACTCTAATACGGCGTATGTCAAACGCAGAATAAACTTAGGGAAACACGATGCAGTCGATACGTTAAACACTCCAGTCTTCGCCCTTCGCCTTCGCGGGTTCCGGCATTGCTTGCTTCCCTAAACAAAGCTTGCTCGGCTTGGACTCCAACCGGAGTCCATTGAACGGAAGACTCCGGGAGACCGCTCATCGGACTCGTCCGAGATTTGCATCTCAGATTTAGAGACCGCCAACCTCAGATTAACTGACCTCCAAAGTCCTACGCAGGACGGCAAAATGACCGAAAGGCACAATACGCCCTTTCAAAGGGGTACGATATAGTAAATGCCCTTTCAAGAGTAATATGTGAGGGGCTATAGTCTCTATGATGGGGTTTACAGTTATCAAAGTGACGGTTTTCCACTATCAACATGGAGGGGCAATGGGGCTTCTTGGCTCCGTGGTGCCAGGTGCTTCAGGGCGAGGTGAACTACATGGGCAGCGAGTGCAGCGCGTCGCCCTTCATGGAGCGAAGCTTGTGCGTCTGGCTACCGGAGCGGGACCACCTGGAGGGTGTGACTCGAGGGGTGGATATCAGCGATGCAGACCACGAAGATTTATTCCGGAAACAATTCCAGAAAACTCGGGAGGCCATGGCGCTGTTGGCGGCTGTGGCTCACGTGGATTATGGCGCGTGGAGGTTCTTACTGGAGAAGTTTTGTGGCGTGGACTTCGGCCTGGAAGGGGGCCCAATTTACGAGAAGAAAATTCCAGTTCGGTATGTTGTCGAGCTCGACCAGCGATACCAGAGCCGCCTGTTACGTGGCTATCACGACCTGGAGATGCACAAGTACGACATTGTTTTCTTCTTTGGGGTGCACCAGCGCCTGCACCCCAGTGAGGAATATCGGGAAGCGCTGCAGCGGATCGCTGCCCTGGACAAGAATCCGATCTGTGAAACATCCGGCTTTGACTTTGACGTTCCTGTGCGCGTGGACTTTGGACTCCCCGAAGATGCTGATGTCATAAAGGAACTGATCGACGTTGGACTTGCGGAGAAAATCGTGAAGAAGCAGTGACAAAAGTACGTTGAATCCGATGAGAATCAACCTGTAGCAAGTGGAGAGTGGAGATGCACTTTCGTTATGGACCGGGCGATTGTAAACCTGATAGGCCACGACATGACCCCGGCGGTGGGCCCGGCGATTAAAACCCTGTTGCACCAGAATGCGTGGTTTTCCATGATGTCGCTGGACTTTCAGAGCCAGCTGATGGCGTCAGCGCAGTGCTACGGCCAGGTCTTTTCAAGTGTATTTGGTGGCACTCGCCGGTCGCTGCAGCTCGCGAATACAAGCTGCCACCCCGGTTTTGAGCCTGGGGGGGGGGGAGCTCGGATCCGCTGCAGTTAGGCGAGATCGGTGTTAATTGGGATCCAAGACTGCAAACGCATCATGCCGCAGCGATATGCTCCGCAATGACGCACAATCAGATGTCAAAGAACCTAGTGCTGCGGCTCTGGATGAGCACCCACAGCCCGGGCAGAAACAAAGAGTACTGGAAGTGGCTCGCTTATGCGCTCTTCTCCAAGCGGGCTAGTTCGTCAGTGGAATCGTTGGCGCTGATGAAAGTTTGCAGCATGGGTTTGTCAGATATGGAGGCATTTACGTCCATACTAAGATCCGAACACCCAGAAGAAGTTATTTGGCGTGTCGCCTGGCCTCGTGAAGTCGAGAAAAGCGACACTAAACGCGGGCACACTGGTTCGATGTGTGCTGGGTGATCGGAATGAGCTCACAGAAACCATAGCATTCGACGCGATGTCCGAACTGTCAGTGACGACGGCAGTAGCAGCTGGATTGACTGTATCGTTCCCGGTTACGGTCGATGCCAAGTACAACGGTGCGATTTAGTGCTTGACGGTGATGGTGGAGATGACGACACACCGGCTGGAGGTGAAGCTATATCGTCGCTCAGACTTGAGTTCAACAAGCAGACCCCCTCGATTTCCGACGGAATGATGCATTTATTTGCTGCTATTGGATCTTCACTAAGATATCTGACCCTGGATGTACCAAGAAGAGAGCTTTTCATGATACTCCGGCACTGTCCAAACCTGGAGGAATTATCACTGTGCGGTGGGGTGGTCGATGCGCGATTCAACTTCAGCGACTACCATGAAAAGGGGGAAGCGCTACCAGAACTCAGCGCCAACTGGGATTCCATCTCAGCGGTTGCAACAGTCCTAGCAAACAACGACAACTCCCTAACCAAGTGTACGCGTCGGGTCCGAGTTCGCTTCATGGATTCCACAGACGAAGTTGGTACGTCCGTGGATTTACGAGAACACGAACGCCGGGTTAGAGCGGACTTTGCAGCGCTGTTGGACATGTTGAAGACAAACAAATTCCTGGAATATCTCGAAGTGGCCGTTGCTCCTGCTTACGAGCAGCACCTGCCGAGTTTCAGAAACCACCACCTTGAGCCAATATGGCGCGCACTCAACCCGTTGCCACTGAGGAGCAAACTGGCTTTCCTCAGTCTTTGTACTTGGTCACTGGGGTCTAAACCCTCACTTGCGAGACCAAAACGACCTCGAACCCAATCACCAACTGACCCAACGAGCCCGCTGAACCCGCACGTGCTGGCGAATATTTTTGAGTTTTCAGCCGATCCTGTTCTCCGGGAAGTCTACTTTCGCAAGTCCCACCGGATCAAATCGGAACTGATATGTCTATCTAGATACAATACATTTGCAAGTGGACTGCAGGTTAATACTAAGTATACCTTTACCCACAGTTCGGCCTATATCAAGTCAAGATATCGACGATTATCGAACGCTTCTCGCGCTGTCGCGATCATGACGAGCCCTGCATGTGTAGCTTCCAAGATGTTTCTCGTCGTCGAAGCATCTCGTTCAACCGGTGTTTTGAGTTTGGCCACGTTGAGGTTTTAAAGGTCTTCAATGAGGCGAGCACGTCCACCACGTATGACGAAGATGGAAACATGAGAAGGCGTGTGGGCCAATCGAGTTCGTGGTGGTCTGCCGAAATTGATCCGATGTGCTGGGCTGCAAGTGGTGAACATTTAAAAGCGCTCAAGAGGACGTCGATTTCACTTGTAGCCTCGTCGATGTAGTACAAACGCCACCGATTGTGCTGAATGGAATTCGTGGCGAGTGCGCTTGGACACCGGTCTCGTAAGAAACAGCAACACTTCGAACTGTAACGCGTAATCGTTCTCAATCACTAGCTGTATATGACCTTCAGAAAGTTGCTGAATACCCAAGTGACTATCGGGACATTGTTGGAAGTCGCCTTTCTGCTGAGAGCTTCGGCTGTGCATGTTTGCTGTCGCTTTTCCTGCAGCAACTTCACGGTCTCGAACGTGGTCACACTATTCATCGCTATCGTCGTACAGGGGGCGGTCGTGTTGAGCAGCAACCAGTGGACCACCGAGTCATAACGATAGGAGGATAGCCGCTGGACCACACCAAACCGGCCGTCTGTCGCGCCCAGCGCGTTTACCGTGCATCCCTCCGTCCGATTGGCGTGAAGCCACGCCACCACCCAATTTTTTGCGAGCGTCTCCAGTATTCCCCAATTTGTTGACCACCAGCCTCGCTCTGCAATATGCCCCATAGAGTCGCTTGCGCAACGGCTCGAAACGAGAAAGCTGCTGTGCACCAGCAACCACTCGCCGTTGTCCTCTCTCACCACGTCCCAGTTGTCATAGCCTGCGTCCTGCACGATCTTCGCTGGTCCAACCCACTGGTGGGCCAGCTTTGTAATTCCTTTGCCCTTCGGCGGCCTCAATACCCACACGAGGTCGCCGACGGTGAACCTCGTAGTCTCGCGCACCCTCTGATTGTAGTATCTCTCGCGCCTGCGCTGATCCTTAGCGAGTGCCGCCTTAGCCACCTCTGACGCCCGCGTCAAGTTGTCAACGAGTGCCTTGTAACGCTCAGCAAACGTGCCAGCCCTCGCTGTCCTGCTCATCCTTGTCCTTAGCAGCTCGTTGGGTGCGCGCAGCTTGCGCCCCATCATTACCTCGTTCGGACTGAAGCCCGTACCCGAACGCTTCGCGCCGTTGTAGGCGTACGCAGCACATGGGAGCCATCGATCCCAGTCGTCCTGCGCCGCCGCTACGTAAATAGAGACCATGTCCTTCCAGGTTCTATGGAACCTCTCGACCAAGCCCAGTAAGGCTGGCCGATACGGCACCGGTGTAAGCTGTCTGGCCTGCAGCATGTCGACCAGCGCCTCCGCCACCTTTCCGTTCAATTCCGGTGCACCGTCCATCACGACCTCCATCATGGGTCCGTAGACGAACACCAACTTGTCCATCATGAACTTCGCTACGTCCGTGGCCGTGTGCGCCGGCGTCGCCGCTACCACCGCGTAGCGAGTGACATAATCGACGGCCGCCACCACGTAACGGTTGCCATCTGCCGTGACTGGTAGGGGTCCAGCCACGTCCGACGCCCACCGATCGCCTGGCTCGCCAATGCCTTGGCTTCGGAGAGGGGGTATGACCTCCTTAGCCTTCGCCTTCCTGGATCCACAGTCCCTGCACGACTGGACCCACCGCTGCACATGGGCCCTCATGTCGGGCCACCAGTAGCTCGAAAAGATTCGCGCGTACGTCTGCGGTGTGCGCAAGTGGCATGCGTACACCGAGTCGTGGTTCTCACGCAGCGCCGCCGCCCACAGGACCGTCTTCAGCACCGTCCGCGTGCTCCCGTCGCTCTCCTTGATGCACACCACGTCATTCACCACCACGACCGGCCGAGCCCCGTACTTGCCCTTCCGTCGCAGCCTCTGCACCGTCTTGTCACGAGCCTGTTCCGCTCGGATCAGCGTCTCCGCCAGCTGGCCTTCGCCGCCAGCCGCCGCGTGCTTCTTCACCTCGAGCCTCGCCGTCACTTGGTCGCACTCCGCCGCCTCGGGTCACTTCGTCCCCGTGCTGCTCTTCGCCACTGCGACGCGCTTCGTCGCCGCGCTGCACCTCTCCGTCGCGCCGCACTCCGCCTCCGTGCGCCGCTTCGTCATTGTGCGTAACTTCGTCACTGCGTCGCTCTTCGTCACCGCGCTGCGCTTCGTCATCACGTCACCGTTCGTCATCACGCCGTTGTTCGTCATCCTGCCGCTGTTCGTCACCTTGCCGCCGTTCGTCATCGCGCTGTGCTCCGTCATCGCGCCGTGCTTCGTCACCGCGCTGTGGTTCGTCATCGCGCTGCTCACCGTCGCCGCCAAGTGCGTTGGCATTTCCTCGTGCCGTCCCGCCACCTCGCACTTCGCGGCCGGGCCGGATTGCCGCTATCATGCCCGCAGGCGCGCGGGACAACGCATCTGCCACCACGTTGTCCGCGCCCGGCCTGTAGGTCACTTCAAAGTCGCACTCCTGGAGCTGTAAAGCCCATCTGTGGAGCTTCGCGCTCAATGTCGTGGACGACATCAGCCACTTCAGGGCCGAGTGGTCCGTCACCAGCTGAAACCGCCGCCCGTACAAGTACGGCCTGAACAACTTGACGGCCCAGATGACCGCCGCGCACTCCAGCTCGGAGATGCCGTGTCGGGCCACCGTCTCCGAGTTCATCTTCGACGCGTACGCCACGGGCTGCTCCCCGTGACCTTGATCCTGCATCAGCGCAGCGCCGAGCCCCACCACTGACGCGTCCGTGACCAGCGGGAACGGCCGCGAGAAGTCCGGGTACGCCAACAGGGGGCGCTCGGTCAGCGCCTTCTTCAAATCTTCGAAGGCGTCCTGCTGAGATTCGCCCCAACGCCAAACTACTCCTTTTCGTAGTAATTTCGTGCCCTGCTCGCGAACTCCGACACGAAGCGACGGTAGTACCCCGCCATGGCGACGAAACGCTTCGCGGCGTCCGCGTCCTGCGGCGCCGGGAAGTTCATCACCGTGCTTACGAAGCTCTCCATCGGTCGCACCCCGTCTCCGTCGAGTTCGTGGCCGAGATACTCGAGCTTCTCGGCTCCGAACGTGCACTTCTTGGCCTTCAGCGACAGCCCTGCTCGCGAGAGTCGCTCGAGGACCGCCGCCAACTCGACCACATGCTGCGCAACGTCGCCCTTGGTGAACACGATCACGTCGTCGAGGTAAACCAGGCAGCTTTGCCAGACAAGCCCTCTGAGGTCCGCGTCCATCATGCGCTGAAACGTCCCTGGGGCGTTGGCCAGGCCGAAGGGCATCCGTACAAAGCGGAAGAGCCCTCGCCTGGTGACGAACTCTGTCTTGTCTCGGTCCTTCTTCGCAACGGGCACCTGCCAGTACCAGCGTCGTGAACCTCCTGGCCCCATGCAGGTGGTCCAGCGTGTCGTCAATCCGCGGCAGCGGATATACGTCCTTCACCGTGATCGCGTTCAGCATACGGTAGTCGATGCAGAACCGCACCGAGCCGTCCTTCTTCTTCACAAGCACTACGGGGAAGCCCCACACCCCGTGTCCTTCTTCGATCACTCCGTCCCGCAGCATCTCGTCGACGTGTTCGTCAATGATCCGCTGTTCCTCATGTGCGTGGCGCCGCGGACGCACTTTGACCGGGGCCTCCGTGCCGGTGTGTATCTCGTGCTCGACGCCCAAAGTCGTCATCGGTGGCCATCCGTCCCGCGGTTCCAGCATCGGTGGGTAGAGCCGTAATAGTTGTAATAACAGATCCCGATCTTCGGCACTCATCTCTCCCACGTTCAGGTCCGCTTCGTTGCTCAGTGGTCCTGTGTTTGCACTCAGAGTCTCCAGCCACTCGCTCAACCACTCACAGTCGAGGTCGCCTTCCATGGCGAGCACCGTCATCTCGTCTCCGATTGGCACCCACGTACCCAGCTTCTCATTCGACGGTAACTTAACCGTGCTCCCGTACAGGTTCATCACGGGCACCACGATCTTTCCGCCACGAACCGTCGTCACCGTCGGCCCCAGTAAGATATGCGACTCACCGTGTACCTTGGGCGTGAACAGCCCTTCCGTGCCGTCACCGCCAGCTCAACATTGTGGCAGGTGCCTGTACGCACCCGCGCCCGACGCGCCATCCGCACCTTCGCCGGTCTTCCGCCGCGTTTGCCGTTCGTGCACCAGAACGGCACCACCTTCCTGATGTCGTCCTCGTACCACTTCATCTCGCAAGAGACGAAGTCAATTTTGACGCCGTGCTGCAGCATCCAGTCCTCCCCCAGCAAGAACTCTGACGACGCGCCCTGCACCATCAGCGCGTCGACATGCATGCTCTGGTCGTACTGCGTGCGGAACTGGAAGCGCCACACCCCCAACACCTTCGACACCGCACCAGTGAAGCCTTCCACGTAGTCGACGGGAGGTAGCTTGCTCAGGTGCTTGCCCAGCGACTGCCACTCCTCGCCCACCACGCTGTATTGGTCCCCCGTGTCCAACTTGATCTCCCGCTGCTCGCCGCGCACCCGCACATTCACCATCGGCAGTGAGTCGACGGTCGGGGCTTGCTCCGCCCGTAACTGTCCCACGCGCACGGGTCGTAGCTCGCCGTCGATCGCCTTGACGTACGAGTGTGCGTACACGCTCCTGCTGTTGTACTCGTACTGCTTCGCGTGCTTCGAGCGAGTCCCTCGCTTGGTCGAGACTCGCCTCGCACTTGGTGGCGTGAAACCCGTCGCTTCCGCCTCCGCGCAGCTCATCGTCGTGCCTTCTCCAGCGCTCTTCTGCTCTCCGAACGCAAAGTAGACGTTTGCCGGGTGCTGCGCCCTGACGAGCGCTGCACGCAGCTCGCGTTGTTCTTTGGCCTGTGCCTTCCGCGCCCGTTTCTCGTAACGACGTCGTGTTCGCGATCGCCGCAGCTCGGTCTCGCCTGCAGCATGTTCGTCACTCTCGCCCACCGTTGGGTCTTCGGCCGTGCTCACCTCACCGCCAGCACGGACAGAGGACCCTGCCGTGTTGTTCGTGGCTGACTCACGGTGACTCTCTCACTGCCTCCGTTCGTCCGGCCGTTGTCGTCGAGCCTTCGAGTGCTCGATGCGTCTTTGGCGCTTGCGCGCTCGCCGCGCTGCCTCCACATCCTTGGCTTGTACGCGTAGCACCTTGGCCTTGGCACGGTCGCGTACCCGTAGCTCCTCCGTCACCACCTCTTGGACATGCAGCGTGCCGTCTTTCGGTTCGTCACCGTTCACCAGGGTCTCGGGCATCGCCGTTCGTCCACGTCGTGGGTCGTCGTCTCCGTCGGTGTCACGTGGCATGGCGCCGGCGGATGCCACGACGCCATTGCTCTCCTCGTACAACCGCTGCACGGTGCGCAATTGCGCCTCGACCCGCGCATTCAGCTCTTCCTTGCTGGGGACGCCGTTGCCGTCGAAGCCGCACGCCTCCAACAGGTCGTGCGTGTCGACCACGACGCGTCTGTCGTGGCCCTCCGTCTCAGTACCTCTGTTCGTCATCTCCGTCACTGCAAACCTCACGCGCTTACACGCGTTCTCGTCGCCGTCGCCCTTCGTCACGGACGCCGCCCTCGGCACCGCTCCTTCCGCGTCGGTGGCCGCGTGCGCCGCGCCATCTCCAGTCGACACTTCCTCCGTCGTCGCGCGCGGGGCGTCTGGCGCCACCGCCGTTTCCGTGGCCCCGTCCACCAGCGATACCGTCACTGGCCCGTCGTTCGTCACCGCCGTTACCCGTGCCGCGCCATCCCCAGCGTCAGGCACGGCGCGACATGCGCCCGCGCTGCTTGCACTCGCTGCTCTCGTTGCGCCGCTTCCTCCGCGACCACCGCTTCCTCCAGTGGCCGCTCCTCGTTGTCGCACAGTGACAGGACACACTACTACAACTCCGTCGTGGAGTGGAGTTGCTTTGTAGTTCAACAAAATACTTGGCTCAATAGGTAATTGCAAATGAATGTGTAAGGATTACTCGTTGAATTCTTTTTTTAGCCAGCTTTCGACGTGGTAGGTAGAACTTTCGCCCCTAGTTTATTTTGCGGAAGATAGGCTGCATCGTTGCTTTACACGTGGTAGTTTTAACGTTTTCCTCATGCGTCCATCTCACCGGCGTAAGGGGGGCAAATGAATATATTTTGCCTCGACTTGAATTCGAGGGCGTGGCGAGCGGCCCCAATGCCTTGATTTGCGAGTCCGCGCTGGAATGGTGGCGAGGCTAGATCATTCGCTTGGCGAGGTCCCTCGTTGATTTGGCCGATTGCACTGGATACTCTTCGAAACACCGCGACATCCACCGGCGCAGTAGTTTGATCGCGAGGCCATCTGCTTTTCCAGCGAGCAGAGCGCTGGCACCTCCGCTTCTCAAGGAGTGTGTCGAGTAGTTGGACTCGGGTACTCCAGCCTTTCGTGCCGTTCGCTTGATCACTGTTGCTACTGTTTTCGTGTCGAGCTCCGCGCATAGATACTTGTGTTGGACAGCATTCAGGTCACGACGCGCTCGGAGAATGTGTTTTAAGGCTCGGACCGGGCATAGTGATCGATCGCCAGATTGGTGCATGGTGCGCCGTGATCCCCGCCCGTACTGGTCGTTTTTGGCTCCTCGTAGGCCGATTGTGATTGCGCTTGCGCTTGACGCGGTGACTTGGTTACCATTCGAGTCAGCGAAGGAAACATCTTTGGTCTGGAGACAATAGAATGATCGCCGCTTGCCGATGGCGAGATATTCAGATCTCCTCAACAGAAAGAAATACCCGATAAGGACGCTGCCCCACAAAAGGCGATCCCTCGGCTGCGTGAAGTTGAGAGAGCGCCGCAGCAGATGGAGGAATGCGGGCGTAACGGGTTGTTTCTTGCGGACTGGGTCGGACATCCTCTTGATGCCTTGGCGCAGGATGGTCATTTGGGGCGACTGACGAAGCTGCAGGCCACAATAGCGACGGTGATACCAGATGACGCTGGACAACTTCGACTGGATCGTGTTGTGGTGGTTGCCGCGGCGTGCATTGTTTCCACCATATTTCCAGAGGTAAATTGCGAAATAAATCAGCTTGTTGGAACTTGCCCGACCGGAATCTGGTAGCCAGGTGTGCCAGCCCATCAGTTTTCAAAAGCGGCGCCATTGCTTCCAGTTTGCGTTGTATTTCATGTTTGACGAACTTGCCAGGGCGTGGCTGCACAGAATCGCTCCCACACGCTTGAGAGATTGTCGAAGGGAGGTACGACGTTCACCTGCGTTCACGCACAAGAAAGATCAGACCACGTTGCCCATAATGGATGAGATTCAGTCCACGCCCGTGATCCCGCATCCGCCATTGTGTTAAGCTTGCCAGGAATGTGGATGGCAGTGAAGAATAGGCCATATTTGAGCTCAACCATAGAGATCAGTCGATTGTAGAGCTGCGCCGTAGGGTGGCGGCTGTACCGACGACTCACCCACGAAACAGCGCTCATATTGTCGATGTGAAACTGGACGTGGGTGGGCTGTGTCGGAGATGCATTCTGCCAGTGCGGTCCCCACAGGAGTGCGGCGAGCACAGCACTCTGAAGTTCGCGTACGTTGATCGAATTCTGGTACGACCCACTCTGGAGCTCTGCGCATTCTTCGTCACTGTATTGCAGTCGGATATACTCACGCCGGCTGGTGTCCAAAGCACACAGACCTGTGTAGGAAGCATCCATCTCCACGATTATGCACGGGGGCGTAGTTGCAGCAAACTGTGATACTGGAATCCCATTAAACCGGTCTCGGTTGAGCATGACCGCTCTGAACCACCGCAAATCTTCGATGGTATCGGTGTCAAGGGCGCGGGCTCCGTAAGGCAGCATTGCCACGGTTGCCGTGTGAGCCCTCTGGTAAAAGGCCCTAGCGGATGGAAAGCACGAGGCCACGTGGCGAAACACACCGAGAAGCTTCTGGAGGTCGGATTTGGAGGCACGTCCGGCATCGAGAACTTGGTCGACTTTGGTGGTAGCCCTCTGTAGTTTTTCCGCTGGGATGGATACGGTGCCGTCGGCGGCGTCCCACATTAAGCCAAGCGCAACATTCTTGGAGCGCCACGGGGTAAACTTCCGGTCATTGATTGCTGTCGGCCCTAAGACAGTGGTCATTGCTTTTCGTAGCGCAACATTGGTATCGTGGCATCTTCGACCCTCATCAATCTCAACACACGTGTGATCATCACACCATACATTCCCACGAAAGGGGGACGCATTGTGGGTCGAGGAGTCCGACGAGTGCGAACCCTCATAAATATCATTGATGGCAGACCCCGCTAGATAGTAAAAGGCTGGCGACCCACACCAGCCTCAGGCCAAATCGATGACTACGTAGTCGTCGATGGCAAAAGCAAACATGTGCACGGCATCCTCGTGGACAGGCACGTGACGAAAGGCACCGGAGACGTCTCCGAGCATCAATAACACGTCAGCATCAGGCTGGGCCGTGCGTAAATCGTGGATCCGGCGCGCAATATCGCGGGGAGGGTTGTAGGAGACTGGCGGGAAGTTGGAGCGGTCCGTAAAGTCGTTCACCGATGCCCCATCAGGATATGAGTAGTCGTTAATCATCCGTGTCTCGTTGACGGCCTTGTCAACCACTCCAACCGGGCTGAGGAATATCTCAGACCACAAGTCGAGCACACTCGCGTTGAGTACGAGATAGCGGCCATCTCGCTGACCCTTCCTGATGTGTTTGAGGACTTCGGCAGAATGAACAATGGCGCTCTTGTGATTGGAGGGCCGAATTACTTGCCGATCCGCTTCGTCATTGTCCAACGTGGACGTACCCCTTCCCTGACAACGCCATTCCACTGGCAAAATAGGTCTGGGTTTGCTGCTGACTTGTTGGACAACTCATACAAGGCTTTGTTGGGCCTACCATCCTCCTTGGTCTGCCCGCGTATCAGACGCACGAACATGGGCAGCGACAGATTTGACCGATACGCCAACATGGTGAGGAACTCGACGGAGTCTGTATCAATCTTGTCGTCCACATGACTGGTAGGAGCAGTGCGGATGCATATTCGGCCAGGTTGGAGTGTCTGTCCCGCTCGGAAATATCAGCGAGGCGTTGTAGTAGATGCAAAGTACTTGATAGATCTCGAACATCTCGAGTCCTTGTACACGAGCGCGATTTTTCACGAACATCAACACTTGATGCAGCTTGATCTGCACAAGCGGGCACAGCACGCAAACACGGGGCACCACGGACATCAATCACTGGAACAGCAGATGATAGTCATTGTTGCGACTGTTCTGCTACTCCTTTGTACTTTTCGGTGATGTAGGCTTTCACGATTACAGGAAGGAGCTTGGGTTGAAAGTGCGCGCACTTGCTGTCAAAGCAGTTCCCATTCCCGTCGCCGGGGCAGCCGACGACCGAGGTTGCCTTCATACACAGGCGCTTGTCACCTTGACGCGGTAGTGCAGATAGCACGGCAGCTAGGATCGATGACGTGCGGGGCTGTCTGTAGACACGGCGGGTGTCATCCTGACCGTGGCGGGCCCGCGGATGGGCATGCTCGAGCTCGCGCTGAGCTCGTCGGAGCTCTTCCAGTTCCAATAGATCCTCGTCCTTTCGAGCAAACTCTTGCTTACCGATACTCCGGGCCGCGTCAACGTCGCGCGAGACAATCATACTCCGAAACTTGCTAAACTTGCTCGTGATCCAAAACGCCATAAGCTTCCAGCCGACACTGTCGGAGTCGGACAGGCCTTGGTAAGAGTCGATAAAGCTGATCGCATCGTCAACAAGGTTCACAACCGTCTGAGTGAAAAATGCTCAGCAAATTTGCGAAGGGACCGCAATGATCTGCTGACATCGGTGCGCGACCTTGCCGTTTGAGCTGGGCGCTGCGTGTTGCGTTCCGAGAAGTCCGTAAAGCTGACTGTCGAATCATGGGCATTTACGCGAGTCATCAAGTCTGCCGGATGGCAGTGCATCAGTGAGAGTCCATGGACGCCAAATCCAAAGTCGAGAAGACCACGGCACACGGGTGGCACGGCGAGGAAGGGGGCGTGGACTCGTTGCTGCATACGTTCGAAAATGTAGTTGCACGACTTACCTCGAAATCGCGGGTGTAAAATTGTCCGGCTTACGCGCTGCTGGGTCGCTGATGGTCGAAACGCACCCCGACTGGGCTCATTGTCATCGTCGTTTGAGCTAGGCTCGTCGTCCTCGGTACCATAACCAACTCCATAGTCAAGAAGATCGTCGTGTGCCGATGCACCATCCCGTTCCGGGGCTCTTGATCGCTTACCAAGCATACGATTCTGATTGCGCAACGCCTGGATATCATCATCCGTTGCCTTGCTTGTGATACTCAGTAGGTCATCAGGCATGTGAGATGACATGGGTCGCTGTGGTGCAGCTCCGGGGCCTGATCGATCGGCACGTGGCAGTTGCGGGTCGTTGTAAATGGCTAGAGCGTTCTTTTTGCGCTGACCCATGAGGCAATCGAGAACGTGCTGCCGTCGTACTTGCACCGTTGCCAGATCGTGGGGGCGGATGAGAGGCACGATTTCCTCGGGTATGAAGGGAACTGTCAGCATGGACTGCACCGACGCTGGTAGCTCTCCTCGACGCCTGCGGCAGGCCATAATCACTGCATTCTGTTGCACGAGAAGCTCCTTGGCGTTGAGAACCATGTCTGTCACTGTCGCCCCAACTTGAAGGGCGCACGTTATCGGGTCGGCCTTGATGATGCGAAGGGGTTCACACAGTCGTACCGTAGTAACTTCCTGCCCGACTAGCACGCTGAGCGATGGGCCGGCCGCCAACATCTCGTAGCGGATCACGACTCCATATGCCCACTGGCCTGTTGAAGGACCGCTGGGTTGAACGAACGCGACGGGTTGTCCCACGTAATCTCCGGGCCAGAGTTCAGCCCCGGCGGCATCGACGACGCGGAGGTCTATCTCAGCGACTGGAAGCTGGAGTTCGTGGCCATCCTCCACGGCATCAGGGCCCACAACGCGCACCGTCGCGCTATCTCCTTCAATGTGGAGCACCCGAACGTAGCAGAACTCGGTGAGCGTAGGAGCGTGAGCGGGGCCAATGAAGGCGAGCGAGTTGGCGGAAACGGCATACGGGGACATGGTCGCTGGCGTAGATGCAATGGCTGGAGACTAAAGGCGCGGGCTGCTCGAAGAGAAGTCGACTGAAGGGACACGTCGGAAACCGCTGAGAAGCTATTTCAGCACCTCAAGGAAGCATTCAAAGTGAGATCTAGACGGCGGCATTCGCCGGCTCCCCACTAATAGCTACATCAGCCTTAGGTTCTTACCGCCTATCGGAAAACTAGTCATCCTCACGGACTGACCCTCATATCGTTCCGCGATATTCTGCCGTCTTGGAGAACTTTCATTAAAGGCAGCAGCCTGCTAACTTCAACTAGATCCAAAATATTGTCGGTAACACTGGATTGTACGCGAACGATGAGGAGTTCTCCGTACATTAATTATGCTGCATGGCTAAATGATACTTTAGATACAAAACAAACGATTCTGAAAAAAACCTCGATCCAATTCTTAAGTGCTATACTTCAAATAAGTTCGTGCTGTGTCTTCTCTCACTCGAGAATCCACCTAAGTCTTGACATGTCGATCCCCCCTTCTCCACCTTCAACTGGCAGAGTGACAACTCGCCAGCGAGACGAGTTCATAATGGAGAAGAAGACGTCGAAATTCTGGTGGCAAGAGATAAACCATCAAGGACGTAGCGAGGCTTATTACACTACAGAGTCGACTGTTTTAGCGCTGTGATGATCGAAGCTCGGTACTCGGCCTCGGGCAGGACGGTGGACTTGTACATGACCAAAGTGCGGTCAGGTCCGCACGATCTCGTGGTCAGAAACGTGAACTACCAGCTCGAGTGCTATGGAGAACGGCAAGGTGCTGTTTGTCGGAGGTGGGAGCTTGGAGCTGGTCGTGCCCGCCACGCAACAGCGAATCGTGCGTCGGGTGGACTCAGCTGTGCGGCCGAGGGTGAGAGGCCCCGATTCGCCCTCGGCTGGTTATTGAGGTGGAGTTTCACAATCGAAGCCTGAAGGTGAGCGACCGCCACACCCGCGAGTTCTTTAAGTTGATCCCACGAATCCGAGGTGCGCTGCTGTTCAAGGCTGATGTTTTACTGGACGCTGGTCCGGTTAACGCCAATGGAGTGCCGGTCGACCCAACACCGTTTCCTGATGCGCAGATCGAGCTATGGGGCTCTACGATCGGCTTGAGTAGTTTTCAGTTTTAACTATGACCTCATAGCCAGCAACGTCGCTGGCGCTATCCAGGGCGGCATTCGGGTTCGGCCATTCGCGTCATATTGATTAAAAAACATAAGACCGTCATGAAGGACATGAGCGTTTTACCTGATTTCATGGGTTTATCGCGTAGTCTAAGTATGAAAACCATGTCTTTCAGTCCTGGCAAAGGTTTTGCAATGGGCGCGATAACGTACGTATCTTATCGCTCGTCTTGCACCCGTTGCTGCTCTTCCGCACTTTGTAACATATTCTTGATCGTTGACTAACGCCGGGATGAACAATAGCTAAATATGAGAGGACTAGGCGATTTTGGGGTACTTCGCGCTTACCACAACAAGGCTGCACATGGGTCATGAGTGGCAAAGTTTTATCTAGAAGCAATTTTATTCTCTTAACATACGGTAGGCTCAATCCACTAGAACTGCCTAGTTATTTTTCAGTGCATATACGCGCTTTCGCACCCGCATGCTGACCTTCCCTTGAGCAGCTTTACGCGCTTCCTTTAAGCTCACCTTCTGTTTTGCTGGCTTTGTATTAGCTTGCATCTTATTGACCGGCCGGAACCGAGATTGCGTCTGACTAAATCTGCGCGCTATTGGAGCTTTTGATTCAGAGCCGTTCACGTCCCTGTTGGATGGCCAATAATTGGGCTGGGAATGGGCTACAAAGACCACCACGGAAACCCAGTTAGTATCACCCCAGCCGCAATAATAACAAGGCACAGAACTTACCGTTCGTCTCGGAATCTTCCATCCTGGGTCGGGTATTCCGCTGTTCAGTACGCGATCTACTTGTAGCTGCCGAATGATGTCGCTTGGCACCTGCTGTCAGTTGTCTTATCTTCTCAGCATTCTTCATCTCTCGGTCGGAAGCAGCAGCAGCAGCAGCAGTGGTTTCTCTTGGTTCTTATTTTGCAGGCGTATTCAGCGCTCCTAGTTCTAGGAAACGCCTTACGGATTGGTGTGCTGCCGTTGCCTCTTTCTGCGCCTTTTTCTCTACGGCGATTCTCTTCGCTTTTAGAAGCGCTGTCACTCTAATAGCTTTTTGAGCAGCAGCAGCAGCATGACCCTCCGCCTCTATCTTGGCAGCCACTTGCCTGGCTTTTAGATCCGCAACAGCTCTTTCTGCCTCTTCCGCGGCAGCTTTCGCTGTTTGTTCTTCTTTCTCTGCAGCTATTCTTCTGGCGTTTTGATGCGCAGCAGCTTTTTCTGCGAGTACCGCCGCCACAGCAGCTCGTCGAGCTTCTTCCTCCGCGGCGACTCTCCTTTATTTAAGATGCGCAACTACTTTCATAGCTTTTCGACCAGCAGCGGCGTGATCCCTTGCCTCCTTCATTGCAGCCACTTTCCTCGATTTGTCATCGACAGCAACCTGCTGGGCTTGTTTCATAGCAGCTTCGACTTTCTTGCGCACACTTCTCTCGTCTTCAAGTTGCTGTTCCGCGTCGACAATCTGCTGCTTCAACTCTTCAAGAGCGCCATGAAGTTCGGCCGCCGAGACTGGAGGCGGATCGCTTGGCAAAGTCATTCGGATGATGATCACTGCGTTCGATCTTGCTTGTGCCTGCTCCGTCAAGATCCGTTCTTGTCGAATAGCATGATTGAAAAAAAGTAACGTAGTCTTGGCTTCCTCCAGTTGCTGCTTCATGACGTCAACCCCGCCGCCAGCTCTGACGGGTCGACTCGTACTCAGCACCGTAATGTTGAAAAGTGAGGTCTGAATTGTCACGATGGCAATGGAGTAGTGCGACAAGAGCTTTCAAAGCCCCACCACATACGGCGTATATTTAGGCGCGATAAGTGCTCGAAGCTGGGTGCTTATCAACTTATCTGACAAGAACAGAGCGGTTTTTCTGATGAAAATAACTCTTCATGTCGTTTTGCCAAGGCGGAAGAACGCCTTGCGCCCCACGCGCACTGGTGTTTTTGACACAACCGATCCGCTCTAGTAGTTCAGAAGCTCAAGTCGGAGGCATCTGCAGTGGCGGCTCAAGTTCTCGTCAAATGAGCAGAGAAAGCCGGCACAGCCGTGGTGTCGATTCCGACCAAGTCTCCGCCTCGACAACATCGCACCCAGCAATCCCTCTGGGTCCACCCTTCGAGGGAATTTCTGTGTTGTATCCGTGGGACGGCAGCTCACTAATTCTTCGCAACACGCAGGAGGTCCCCGACAGTGTGAAAGAATCGCTGATATCAAAGCTCAATTTTGTTCCAAGTTCCCTCGCTGGAGATACAGCGGCATGCCGAACGAAATTTGCTGGGTACAACTACTTACGGAATGGAATCAGCAGTGTTCAACTGGACGATGCAACGCTGTTTGTTGCGCTCGAGCTGCTGGCAATTTCTGCGCAACGGTATCGAGACGCGAAGGAAGAGCTGGATGGGTATCTTCGGGCATGCAAACAGACCAGGACGGCTGTCCATCCGTTGGCGTTGCTGGCGTGATATCGAGTGCAAAAATGTCAATCAAGTGCGGCCGTGAACGCACCGCTGGTATTTAAGAAGTTTGGCCTATTGTTCCCCGATGCTGTCAAAAAAATGTGGTTCTCTGAGACTGAGCGCGAGATAAATACCCGATGCACAACCAGCCTGTTCACAGGTTCAAACAATAAGCTGGAGCCCAAGGACGCGCTGAAAGAGGAGTGGAAGAAGATGAAAAAGGACCAGAACGTCCGTTCCGATGCAATGGATGAGCTGCTCGAAATCGTGGGTCTTCAGAAGGCGAAGAACGAAGCTGTACGGGTGTTTAAGAGCTCTGTGGCCTTGCAGAAAATGCCTGCAGATGTACGAGCCAATAATATGATGGCGTTCAACTATTGCTTTGTTGGAAACCCTGGAACCGGGAAAACCACCGTAGCTCAACTCCATGCGCAGATTCTCGTCGACGCAGGTGTCCGAAAAGGCAACTTTGTTGAGTGCGCGGCACAGCAGATAAAAGATGAAGGCGCAGACGAGTTTCGTGACAAATAAGACCAGGCCACGGGCAGCGTTCTGTTTATCGACGAAGCATACGAACTCGATCCAGTCGGCGATATGGCGGGAAAGCCGATTGTGGCTGAGCTGGTAAAGACAGCGGAAGACAAGCGCGATGAACTCTCCATAATTCTTGCAGGCTTTGAAGATGACATCCATCAGAAGCTTTACGCCTATAACGATGGGTTACCTTCGCCCTTCAATGAAGTATTTTTTGAAGATTTCGACAAGAACGAACTTCAGCTCGTGTGGCATCAACTCGCGGAGGAGCGAAAATGGACATAAGACCACAAGGTTGCAGCCGTTGCCTGCACTCGACTAGACAAAGCGTCCGGTCGTAAGGGGTTTGGCAATGTCCGGGACGTTCAGAAGCTTTTTGAAAGGGCGGCAACAGCGGCAATGGCGCGACCGGATTTTGATAAAGGTTGATGTGCTTGGGCTGCAGCCATTCTCAAACCCCAAGTTGCATGGTATAATGAGAGAGATCAAAGGGCGCATTGGGTGGAACGAGATAAAAGCGAAGATCGACCAGTTGGCGAAAATCAGTGATGAAAACTACGGGCGCGAGTTGGAAGGAGTTGCCCCACATCCTGTGGTTCTACATCGGCTGTTCTTGGGTAATCCGGGGACGGGCAAGTCGACGTGTGCGACCTATTCCGGTCGCGTGCTCAAGGCGTTGGGCTTTCTGTCAAATGGAGGCGTGATGCTGAAGAAGGCAAGTGACTTTACTGGTAGCCACGAAGGGGACACGGAGAAAAAACGAACCAGTTCCTCAAAATGGCACAAGGAAAAGTCCTGGTCATCGACGAGGCTTACTGCCTAGATGGCGACCTCTATGGCAAAAAAAGTCCTCGACACACTTGATCAGAATATCCATGGCACGGTTAGCGACGATATTGCGGTCGTCCTCATCGGCTACGGAGATGAAATGGAAGAGATGATCCGGAAGCAGAACCCTGGGCTTACAAGACGTTTTCCTACTTAAGAGGCTTTCCGATTTGAAGATTTTTCTGACGATGAACTCACCGAAATTTTAGAGAAGATACGCCACAAGAGCGACGTGGATTGTTCCATCGATGTGTTGAAAGAGATGACGCAGCAGTTATCACAGCTTCGGATGCAGCCACATTTTGGAAATGCTGGAGCTGCAGAGCGACTCCTAGAGCGTGCGATAGGAAATGCCATTGGACGCCCGTCAGGCAGCGGCAGAACCACGCTGACGCTAGAAGATGTACACCAACGTGATTCCACGCAAAACATTCTCGAGGATTTGGATCATCTTTACCGAGTTGATAATCTCAAGGAACTGCTAACACACCTGCACTACGGGAGACTGGTTGCAGAGAGAGACAACTTATCCATGCCCGAAGTCGGTCACTTTGTCTTCCGGGGATCCCCCGGCACGGGAAAAACCACTGTCGGACGTGTTATGGCCACAATCTTGCACAATATGGGTGCTGTGGGGACGAGCAAGCTGGTCGAAACATCCGGGCGAGGGCTATCGGGTGCGTACGTGGGTCACACCAAGGACAAAGTTGTAAAGATGCTGGACAAAGCTCATGGTGGTCTTGTTCATCGATGAAGCGTATGGACTTGGAAAGGGCCCGTTTGGAGAGGAGGCGCTTGAGACGTTGGTTGAAGCTATGACTAAACCCAAGTACCGCGGGTGTGCGATCATAATTGCAGGTTATCCTCGCGAGATTGACGCTATGTTCGACCTGAACGGTGGCCTTAAGAGTCGATTTACGCGCTATGTGAACTTTCAAGACTGGACAGAGGCTGATGCAGTTAGTTTTATTCGCGACAATGCACGGAAGAACAACCTTTTGCTGTCACCCGAAGCAGAATTGATTCTCACCACTGCGTTTTCGAAGCGCAAGACGTTCGAAGGATTCGCGAACGGCCGCGACGCCGATACAATGCTAAAGCAATTGGTGGAATGCCGAGCTCAGCGGGTGGTTCCTTCAGGTGAGCTAGAACGGACAATAATCGCAGATGATGCGACAGAGGCATCGCAGACCATGATCGTTGCGCCGTCCTCCTGCTGCTCCGATATTCACTCAGTCCTCTACGTCTGACATGTATCTACCAACGCAGCAGATGTGCGGTACAGAAATGCCGCGCCACATGCTACAACAACAGACCTCAACACCGAACAGGAATTGAAGTCGGGAAGGAAGTCGAAGTCGGGCACCAAAAGGAAAACTAGATTTGCGAAGTTTCTCGACCAAACACCTCAGACCCCCGTGTATCTGATGCAGACTGGGAGGCCCTCCAGAGAGCGAAAGAGGAGTACGCGAAGAAGATCGCTCTGCTACAAAAAAAAGATATACTGTTGAAGGAGGAGCAAGGAAGAGCAGCTGCCATCAAGGAACGGCTACGGCAAATCTCGCCGTGCCCTGCTGGGTTCGAATGGTTCCGCTGCGGCGATGGGTGGCGATGCGCAGGTGGAAGTCACTACGTCTCCGAAGCGGAGCTCAACAATCACTTCACTTCGTGGTCGTGAGCTTCATTCCCTACTTTCTGTAGTCGCAGCTTCATCACTTGGGGGGGGGGGTAACGATTAACCATGTTGTTGGTTATCTGGACTTCTCAACATGCAGAATTGTACACTAGCTATCATACACAAATGTAAATACTGGCGTCGTAGACTACAACGGCGGAGCCCGTAGGCGCCCCGAGGCGTTGGTATAGAGGGCAGACTGCCGGAGATTAAATAACCGCTGGTGGGTTGCAATGAAGCGACCCAAGCAGGATGAAGTAGGGAACTGTCTGAGACATCGGCGAAGTCTTGCTCGTGTTGGTTGGTCCGACGACCGCAAAAGAGCTCGAAAATGAGCTCCAAAGACAGAGTAAACTCGATAGATCGCCGTGGCTGGGTCAAGTGGAGGCCTATCCTCGAACTGGTGTTTATTCCGGGCTGTCCAAATCACGTGGATGACGATGCAACGCGTGATCGTCCAGAGTAGTGACAGTTGCTCCGCGCTCGACACCCTACCAGGTGCCCGGTGGGGCTCCTCCAGAGTACAGATCATGGCCCAGGTGACAGAACCATCGACAAAGTTGGTCCAGTCCTGCGTAACGACGGCCCAAAGCGCTGCTGCGCGAGGGCAGTCCAGGAAGAGATGCTGTGCTGTCTCCACCTCGGCACAGTTGGGATACCCACAAGCAAGATCACTGGAGCCGGGTATCCGTAAGAAATAGAAACGAGATCTTGTGGGGAGCAACATCCAGCTGAGGCGGAACTGCAGATCGGAGTAAACGGGAAGGACAAGACTGCGAAGAAGCTTAGTCGCCGCAATTGTCGCGGCCAGCTTCGAAGCATTGGTACCGGAAACTTGGTGTGCGAGTGGGTGATCGCAGAAAGCAAATTGGGGGGACCCAATTAGCCGCCACGCATCGGTCTTCTGTAGCCTTGGAAAGAGAATAACTTGTTGCTGACGACGAACTCCGACCAGAGGAAGTGATGGTGTTAGAATGCAGGGACCTTCATAAAGGCCACCAGATCTCGTAACATTGCCATAAATACTACTCAGATCCACGTAAAGGTTCATCAGGTGCCGAATACGATATGGTAATGATAGACTCGAGACCACCAGCATAAATCGTGACAGAAAAGCTGGAGCCTCAGGCCACCCGGCGTTCATGAAATCGTGCAGACAACGACATCCGGTCTCAGCAGCACATTGCATGCGAAATTTCCGCGTCGCCCCCGCCTTGCCTAGAAGCGTGGCTGGAGCCTCCCCACCGTGCCCCAACATCAGAAGGGGGTGGGTTGAGTGCCAAAGATACAAACGCAGCAAAGATGCTTGAAAGTGAACAGGGTCAACGAGATCACCTCGTTGAAACCACGCAACCGTAGACCACGCTTTCCATGTACGTTTCCACCATGTAGAGAGGAGATCAACTCTGACCACCGCCGACCGAACATTATACGGACAGGTGATAAAGTCGAATGGATGCTCCGTGGAGCCGCCTGGAATGTCAGACCCTCGTAGTTCGGCGATAGTGGCTCACCAGGGTTCATTGTCGGGCATTGTCACGAGTTGTTGTAGCAACCTTAGCCGCTGCACACGGAAAATAGTGGCGAGGTGAGGAATCTGAAGCCCTCCGTTACGAAAAAAGGGGTAGCAAATTGAAGGCTTGGCCAGCTTCACAAAATGACGGGATGGATCCCCTCGCCTGGTCAATAAGTACTGCTCTGACAGCGATTGGAGACGCTTAACCATAGCATCGGGTAGCGAAAAGTGCGGGGTGAAATGCCAGAGGACAGAGAGAACCATAGCTTGAACAATTAGCAGTCTGCCACTATACGTACGAGCTCGTGGGCCCCACCGGGTCAGTCTCGTACCAACCCGGGCTTCGAGCGAGGCACAGACAACCTCGTCGGTCACATGGTGGCCAATAGGAATGCCTAGGTACTTGACAGACTCGGATGTAGCAACACCGACTAGCGACGTAGGAGCCGACACTCGAGCTCCATGGAGAGCCAAAAGCTGCGACTTGTCAAGATTCAAACGGGCACCTGACCCAGCACAATATTGCTGCACAATTTCCACTTGGCGAGATAATCCAGCTAGTGAACAAGATAGGAGCGTTGAGTCATCAGCGAAGTAAAGCCCAGTGGCAACAAAGTCAGTTGAGACAGATATGCCGTGCTTGGGGACAGACCGGAGTCGACAAAAGAAATAGTAGCGATGAGAGAGGGTCGCCCTGTTTGAGCCCTCGTGTCGGGAAAAGTATCTCCTGCAGTGATCCGTTCACCGAGAGCACTACCTGGACGTCGGAATACAGGAGCTGGATCCAGCGGCGAAACCCCGGTCCACATCCACATCCCACCCGCTCCAGCACCCGAAACAAGTAATCCCAGTTCACTCTATCGTAGGCCTTGGCGAAGTCGAGAAAGAGGGCAAAGCCCTGGTCACCGCGACGGCGTATCAGACGCTGTAAACCTTGAATAAAACGAACATGATGATGTAGAGATCGCCCTCGCACGAAGCCTTTTTGCTCCGTGTGAATCAAGGCTGGCAGGAAACGTTGAAGTCGATATGCGAGCGTCTTAGAAAGGATCTTGACGTCGACTTGCATGAGCGATATTGGTCGGTAATTTCCCGGATCCCGTCGATCACCTTTTTTGAAAAGCAAAGAAACACACGACTTTCGTTGCGAGGATAGCAGGCGTCCGTGCTCCAGCTCGCTCGCAAAAACCACTGCCAGAACCTTCCCAAAAGCGTCAGGGGCAAGCATATAGAGGGCGAGCCCCAGTCCGTCCAGACCAGGGGCAGACTCACGTCTGAGATGTTTAATCGTTGTCGCCAGCAGCTTCATCACTTGAATATATGCACATTTACATCTTCATCCCACTCTTCGCTTTTACGTTTTCTTCTGCTTAGGTAAATGCAGGTAAATGACAACATCGATCGAGCTGCACTGCCTGCTACGCGGAGATCGAAGACGACAATAGCTACCAGGTGGAATGGGTCGCAGGGACACTCCGACCACAGCAATCGAACAAGCTAATAACTTAGTAAAAGCAAGTCTTGATTGATACTGCGCTCGTCCTGTGTGCTCTCAGCGTTTTCCCGCGAAAACTCAGAAGAATAAAATTAAAACCTTTAGTACTGACGCCACCTGCAACGGGGGCTCTGCTTGCAGCCGCAAACTACCTGCACTACGGGCAAATTAAGAAAATTTGTAGATGGTGCAGCGTGAACACTCGGTTCAAGCTTTGTCCACTCGAAACGGGGCTTCTGTCGCGTGATCCAGAATGCAAGCATCTGGCTCCCTGGGCCCATTGTCTGCAGTGGTGTTCACACCGACACCGCCTTATATAGCAACGCTAGCGTTTGCACACTTCTGAGAGTACTTATATTGCGAATTCGGAACGATTTTTATCCGTTCATCTTCTAGTTACTCTGAAAAATGTCAAAAACTGACTGGTCTTTCTTCTACCAAATCTACCCTCCTTGAAAAATTGTCTGCCTAGCTAGGCCGAGAAGCGTGTGCGAAGATAAATTCGACACCCGCCGTCTTGGAGAACTTTCATTAACGACAGCAGCGTTGCTAACTTCAACTAGATCCAAAAGATTGTCGGTAACACTGGATTGTACGCGAACGATGAGGAGTTCTCCGTAAAGTACATTAATTCTGCTGCATGACTAAATGATACTTTAGATACAAAACAAATGATTCTGAAAAAAACTTGATCCAATTCAGTACTAATCTTCAAATAGGGTCGTGCTGCGTCTTCTCTCACGCGAGAATCCACCGACATGTCGATCCCCCCTCCTCCACCTTACGCGCCAGCAACTGGCAAAGTGACAGCTCGGCAGCGAGACGCAGCGATGGATGAGTTCATTCAGCGCGTTCAGAATGGAGAAGAAGACGTCGAAGTCCTGGTGGCGAGAGATGTACCGTCACGGAAGTGGCGAGGCGGATTGCACTACCGAGTCGACTGTTTTAGCGCTGTGATGATCGAAGCTCGGTACTCGGCCTCGGGCAGGAAGGTGGACTTGTACATGACCAAAGTGCGGTCAGATCCGCACAATTTCGTGGTCACAAATGTGAACTGCCAACTCGCGCGCTATGACGAGGCGAACGGCAAGATGCTGTTTGTCGGAGGTGGAAACATGGAGCTGGTCGTGCCCGCTACACAACAGCGAATCGTGCGTCGAGCTGACTCAGCCGTGCGGCCGTGGGTGGCAACGACATGAGAGGACCCGATTCGTCCTCGGCTGGTTATTGAGGTGGAATTCCACAACCGAAGCCTGGAAGCGAGTGATCGCTACACTCGAGAATTCTTCGAGTTGATCCCACAAGTCCGAGCTGCGCTGCTGTTCAAGTTCTTCCGACGTGAACCCAGAGGAGCGCCGTTCGCATGTGTAGCCATTCTATACCGTCGCAACGACCAAGGTGAGGTTTTGATCGCCGACGCCGTGAGCTTCGGGAGCGCTCCGCTTGGTGCTGATGCCCAAGATTTCATTGGCCACGAATCGCTGCGGACATTGCCCTTCGCCCCCGGGCAAGTTCGAGTTCTCCAAAGTCCCTGGAATGCTGATGATCGCGGTTTCGTGCAGATTATTGCGGCGGATATTTTAGCGGGCGCTGGTGAAGTTAACGCTATTGGGGCACCGGCCGACCCAGCAGCGTTTCGTGATGCGCAGATCGACCTTTGGGGCCTCTACGACCGGCTTGAGTGGTCTGCAGATTTTAACTTCGAGCACTATGAAGTGTAAGTGCTTAGTGTAGGCGACAACGTAGTGTAGGTGGCAACTTGGAAGATTTTTAAACAGGTCTTATGCAGGTCTGGTCCTGTTTTGGTCCTACGACATCTAAACGAGACCGAACGGGAAATAAGTATGATTTCCCCGGTGGTCTCGTTTGGATGCCGAGACCCAAATGGTATCACTACGAAAAACACGCTAATTTTAGACCCTCTTCACTTTGATATATAATATCGTGATATTTAGTAGTAGTAGTTGATGATATAGCTTAGTAATTTGGGGCTAGTTGACTTAGAGTAATGCTGGGGATTATAATTTGGTTCACAACATGTCTGAAATTCGGTACATATCCGTGTGGTAGACGAATATTGCATAACAACAATGGAAACGGTGTACTAAAGGTCAATATAGGATAATTTCTAGATCAATTTATCTTCCTCGTACGTTTAGTATCGAGGACCTTTAAGTTTACGAAGCTATTACTATCGTTTGAATAGGCGGTTGAAAAATGTTATGTAAAGGCAACGACGACAAATGGAGGGGCTAGCCACCCCTTTAGCGGCGCCCGGTAAAGCGGCAGTCGCCATTTGATCAGAGCTGGCCCCTTCATCCAATGTTTGTTATATTCAAATCACCGTTAGTTTGCTGAGAGTACTAAGGACCTGGTCGGGGAACACTCGTCTCGGCTTTCGATCGTCTTAGACGATGTGGCGACATTTTTTCTTATTTTTGATTGGCCAGTTATTAGCTCGGTCGGCTAGGTTCTTCGTCTCCAGAGTGACCAATCTGAGACGACTAAATCACCAGTCTCACTTTGGAGAGGAGCGTCTTCACTGCGTTTCGATGGTGCAGAGCGAAAGCATCGTTGCTGCAGTTGCTGCGGCCACGGGGGCTCTCGCGACGGCGGTCCACACCGCTGTGTGGGCAATTTCGAACCCAAAGCAGAACATCCTTGCCCTGACACCGCTAGAGTTTGAGGCTACGAGTGGTTTCGACAGAATCTCAGATTGACACTGCTGGTCAGTGAACACTTTGCTCTGGTTAACAGAGAGTGTTGATGCTAAGACGGCCCACGCATACTTGATGCGCTTGGTGTCCTTCGTATTCTTGAAGTTGTCAGCTAACTCTGCGTAAAGGAGGCGAAAGAACTCGCTCACATCATCATCGCTCCATGATGCAGCTGGCCTGGTCGAAGCTTCTTGTCCTCCACGACCACCGCGACCACCGCGACCTGCCCCGCGACCACCACGGCCTCCACCATGCGGGGGGTGCCCTCTCGACGCCGCTCCCGTTGGTGTCCGTGCCGCTTACGCTTCTCTCAGCAGCGTCTTCAGCTTCAGCGCCGCCCACAGGTGGAGAAGTAAGGGTGCCTTCCATGGCTGCGAGTTCTCGAGTGTGATGGTGCTGAGTCGAGCAGCTTGACACACCAAAACTAAGACGGTCTCCAGCCAACCGACCACATCGGCTCGGTTCACCTTAGGGGTAGGCTTACCGGAGACGAGCGAGACTGAGACGATCATTCCCCGACCAGGCCCTAAGTGTACCGGACTGAAGACTGGATCTCAAAATCTCAATCTAAATCGTAGTTTGGGCCATTCCAAGTTTAGGCTTACAGAGGTGGTCTATGTAACAGGGTGCTACCGTTAGAACATCCCAAGATTTTTAATATTATTGCATGGTGGAATTATTCCATCAAAACTCGGCCTTATTGTCTATTTCAAATCTTTAGACTATTTATTCCCAACATCATGAGATTGTCCAGGGTTGGGAAGTTGTATATCGACACTGAAAAGACAAAAACGGAAAACTTTCTATAGTGAAGGTTTCCTATAGGCTGGATTTCTGAACATTCTCAAGCACTATGCGATTGAACAGGGAGCTCCAAATTCCGTTACGTGGGATTGTGCTGCTAAGAATACACAAGTTCGAATACTGACGGACTCTTATTGGCTGAACCAATTCGATCTATTAGTAACATTTTGCGATTGAACGGGGGTTTCCAAACATACCAGTAGTTACGTAGGTTTCGACTGGTAACAATTTTTTTTTGCTGCTGTGGGGCTTTGCTCTAACGATGTGAATTTGTGTTCATTCGGATTTTTTCTGACAACCCACCAGCTCTTCGCCTTCGCCGCCTCCACCCTGCAACCCTTGCTCTGCGTCAAGTCGTGATGCCAACCACCACCGCATCAACTCCGACCTCTTCAAGCCACCGCAACGACGGTGAATTCGACCAGCAGTGGGGATTTGGCTTCAATTCGGATCGTGGAGGAGCGTCGGCGAGCGACAGTGATGCTGACAGCGATGCTGGCTATCTATCTCCTGTTTATGAGGATCGAGAACCCTGTTTCAGCAGTGATGACGACAGCGATGATGAAGACTCGCCGACTGGGACTCCCCCGCGAGATATTGAAGTTGACGATGACTCGGTCTCCAGCGGTGGCTCAAGTGTGTCCATTTAAGGGGATGTGACCAGGCTGCCCGGCGGACTTGTTCTCGGTTCTTCCCGCTATGGACGACAGCGAAGCCAGCAGCAGTTTGGACGACTCTGACGCATACGACCCTGAAATGGAGACGGTTAGCAGTGAGGACGAAGGCGACGAGCTCGCCGTTCAACCTTCTGCGTCAGGGCGTCAAGGGCATGCGGGAATCGACCTCGTCGCGACAGCGCATCGCACCGTCATCCAACTCCACGGCCATCAGTACACGAAAGCCCGAGAGTCCTCGCGCACGATTTCCTTCCGGTGCAGCTTTTACCGACGTACTCCGGGGTGCAAAGGGAAAGTCGACTACAGTTTTGCGCGAGATGTGTTCTACAATTTTACGCCACACACTTGTGAAGGGACGGGCCAAGCTCCAAGCCGATACGTTGACGTCACCGAGGAAATGAAGTCCGAGGTTGATCGATTGTCGATTCGGCACCTTTCACACACGGCGCAACAGATTTGGTTGGCGGTCCGCGAGCAGCTTTTCGTCAGAGACGACAGCGCGGTTGTTCAAGGACTGACACGACATCAAGTCCGGCAACGTGTGTACCGCACGAGACGTGTTCATTTCGGTGGAAACGTGCATGGAATGGTCGAGGTTGCACCGCAGAGCCTGGTTCAAGGGACTACATTGAATTTTTTTCCAGTTCCACCACGTCTTTATGGAGGGCGAGCGGCTACAGCGTGTGCTGGGTTGGGCGGACCCTCGACTGCTGGAGTTACTTCGGTATCCGGGCTCGCAGCTGTTCGTCGACGGAACTTTCCGGTGCGTCCCGAGGTCGTTCTACCAGTGTGTCGTGTTGATGGTGAGCGACGCAGCAAGTGGCGTGTTCGTGCCTTACGTTTACGCTCTTACGACTGGCAAAACCCATCAACTATACCAAAAGTTGATGCGGTTCATGAATGACTGCACGGGTAGTCGCCTTGAACCTGGGAGTGTCGTCTGCGACTTCGAGGCAGCGCTGATCGATTCAGTGACCGACCAGTTTCCACACGCCAGGGTCATCGGATACTTGTTTCACTTGAATCAAGCGACCCGACGACGCATGATGAAGTTGCGTATCCGACCCCAGGAGATCTCGATTGCGATGGAAGTCGGCGTGTTGGACATGCTAATCGTGATCGTACCTGCTCATGTCGATCCCCACGGAATCAACTATGTCTCCGAGTTGATTATGTCTCGCTGCCGTACCAAAGAGATTGAGTACTCGGCGGTTGGGTGGGATCGTTTCTGGAAGTACTTTCGTCGCACATGGATCAACATTTTTCCAGTCGATGTGTGGAATGTTTATGGCATGGATTTGAGAGTGGTAAGCCGAACCAACAACCCCCTGGAGCGGTTCAACCGGGAACTCAACGCAGCCATCGCTGCGCTACACCCAAGCATCCCCGCTTTCGTATCGACAATCGACACATTATCGCGGCGGTACGTGCAACTGCTTGGCGATATCTCTAATCGCAGAGCTGTTGCCCCAGCTCACGGGGAGATCGAGTTGCCAGTTGCGGTCGACTTGACATCGCGTGTTAACGCTGCGCGTCGTGAAGCCAGTAGGTCGTCGAACTCACGAACCAGTCGCGCTGGTCGTGCTGCTTCAACTCCCGGTGGTCGTACAGCTTCAACTCGAGGTGGCAGGGCAACTTCAACTCGTGGTGGCGGGGCAACTTCAACTCGCGGTGGCAGGGGTGATCATGGAGGTCTAGCATCAATGCGTTCCCAGGAAGCCCAAGTGGATAGACCAAGTCGGACGGCCCGGGCAGCTAGAGTCGAGCGACGTACATGCCGGGTTACCCGCAGCATGACTGACAATTAACGGTTGACAGCAGGTTGAAGGCTCTGACACGGTTTGCTTTTTATGCAATTTCCCCTCCAATACATAATACATCTAATTTCCGTTTACCTATACAATTATAGAGTTTTTTAAAAACCCTGTTTTGTTAGGATCTTTTTTAGGTCCCATTTGGAGGCTAATTTTATTTCGGCCCTGTTTTGGTCCTACGGACCAAAAAAGACCAGACCTGCATAAGACCTGTTTAAAATCTTACCGGCAACTTTACATATTTGTTTTGGTGCGAGCTTGAGTGTAAATTTGTCCGAAGTGGGAAGGGTAATGCTACATGTGGACCATCAAGCCAATAGGCTCAAGTACTAGATAATCTCGAGAGCTCGTGGTCGAGACACATACAGAATAACAGGCGAGAGGAGAGAGCTTTACCTTTTACATGCGTAGTGTACAGCCAATCTGATCAGCAGTGCAAAATACAAGTGAACCACAATTACCGGCTCAACCCCCCTGCCACCTCCGCTTCCACCGCCAGCCCCATCTCACAACTCTCACTTGGGAAACCGAGTTCCTGCTGAAGCACCAGAAACTGGTTCCTGGAGACGAAACTCTGGCGAAAACAAATTAATAAGCAACCTGGCGCCGTCCCTGGACTTTGTCGACTTTTGCTTCTTCGGACCGTAAGGTTTAGCGGGTTGGTGCGGTGCTCGCCCTGAACTCGAGCTAATGATGTTAATGTGGGGCCCATCAGAGTGAGCAACGCCATTCTGTAAAAGTCAACACGGAAAAAAGGCACCAGCACCGCCAGCAGTAACATCACGGTCACACGCGAAAACATGCGTAAACTTACCCCCTCCACCCGTACAGCTCGCGGTGGATTTAACAAACCCACGCTACCTTGGACAACTTCTTCTAATTCAGCGCTCCGCCAGCTCCGTTAATTCACAGTTTCGCGATACTGACATTTAGTTTCGCGCTACGCGGTAGGCTTCCAAGGTGAAAATGAAGAGAGGCAAAATCAAGAAGCCATCACCAGCCCAAAGCTAGCAACGGAGGTTCTTTGGTGGATACATGGAACGCGATGGAATATGAAAACTACCGATCTGACCCAATGGGAAAACTTTTGAAACTAGTTGGGCTTCGAGAGGTGAAAAAAGCCGCGCTTGATCTGTCCAGCAGTGTTATAGCCCCGTAGATGCCCGAGTGAAAAACGTGATGACATCCAACTACTGACTCGATGGAAACCCTGAAACTGGGAAAACCACAGTCGCTCGTCTGTTTGCTCGAATTTTAAAGGACTAGGGGATTCGAACAAACGCAAGTCCGATTGAATGCACCGCACCGTGCAGAACCTTAAAGACGATGGTCCTGACCAGTTTCGAGAGAAGATAAAGAACGCATCGGGCGGCGTGCTGTACGTCGATGAGGCGTACGGGCTCGATCCGGTAGGGGATATGAAGGGTAAACCGATCGTGGCCGAGCTTCTAACAGCAACAGAAGATAAGCGCGGTGAGATGTCAACCATTTTAGCGGGCTACGAAGACGACATTCATTAGAAGTTGAATGCATTCAATGGCGGCTTGCCTTCACGCTTTATCGAGGTGCACTTTGAAGACTTCGACGAGAAAGAGCTTCGTCAATTCTTGCTGCGTTGGTCGACTTCATCAAGCACTTGGCGTAGTTTTAGGATTTTCAGAGGGCTTTTCTCCAACTAAATCCGCAGTGCCGCAGTGGTAAACACGAATTTCCCGCCGAAATCAGGTCGCGCCATCGCCGCTTTGACGGCTCTTTCAAACAACTTGCGCACTGCACGAGCATTGTCGAAACCTTTACGCCCTGAGGCCTTTGATAGTCGCCTGCATGCCACCGTCGCCATTGCTGGATCAAATCCCCACCCTCAATCGGTTGCAAGCGTGTTCCAAACTTGCTGGAACTTGTTCATCTCAGTGACGAAAATTACGACCGCGAAATGAAAAGCCGGTGGCACTGAATCGCCTCTTTTTGGGGAATCCGGGCACTGGAAAGTCAACGTGCGTGCTGAAGCTGCTGAGATTTCTGTCGAAAGGAAATGTCGTTATCAAGACGGCAAACGACTTTCGCGGTAGTCAGATCGGTGAATCACAGAAGAAAACGATTCGCCTACTCAATATGGCTCGCGGAGAGTTCTTGTCGTTGATGAGGTGTACAACCTGGACGATAGTTTGTACGGAAAAGACGTGCTCGATGTTCTTGTTAAAAAGTCCATGGCACCGAATCCGACGACATTGCGGTCGTACTGGTAGGCTATGAAGACGAGATGAAGAAAAGGTTGCGCACTCAAAATCCGGGTCTGCGGCGTCGTTTCCCGCTCGAACACGCTTTTCATTTCCAAGATTACTCAGAGCACGAGCTGTTCAAAATCCTGGAGTTGAATTGCAAGAAGAGCAACGTGCGGTGCTCTTTTGATGTTGCTGATGCATTTCTAGGAGAGCTGATGAGGCTGAAGATGCAACCACGTTTTGGGAATGTCGGCACAGTGGAACAATTACTGATGCATGCAATCAAAACGCAGTGGCGCGACCAATAGTGGATGGAATGCTCACTTTGACGGTGCAAGATGGAGCAAGCCACACCTCAGGTAATGGAGAAGACCCGTTAAAAATTCTTGCTAGCTTGTATCACGTGGACAAGATCAGGCAGCGGTTTATCACAGGCAAAACTACGGTCGCGCGCGTGATGGTTAAAATTCTTTACGAAGTGGGTGCTATAGGTATGAGTGAGTACCTTGGTCGAAACCAGTGGCCGTGGGTTAACAGGCGCGTACGTGGGCCAGACCAAGAACAAGGTTATCCAAGAAATCGACAAAGCCCGCGGTGGAGTCCTCTTTCTTGATGAGGCCTACGATCCAGGCAAGGATGTATTGGGGAAGAGGCTTGGACAACCAAGTACCGCGGCTCTGTGATTATTATTGGGGCAAATGAAGTCAACCTCCGACTGCATTTCCATCAGTCTCGGTGCGATGTGACCACTGTAGTGATGATCGATGGGTCCACCCTTCACGACTATACTATAGTGCAAACAGTACGGGCGTGTTGCTGGAATATATTTTGGATGTGGAAAGGTATTTGAATAAAACGAGAAGATGCTATTGATGCTTTTGCAACGATAGAGACCGACCAGATAATAATTCAAACGACACATTACGTTTACTATCGTTATTCCAGCGCCAGCGTCGGTGACGATGGACGGTGCAGATGGCAGTCTTGCCGTCCACTTCAGGGAGTTTCGGGAGGACATGGCTCGTCGGATGGAGATGCACGACAACGCCCTTGCTCTCAGCCAGCGTCATCACCAGGATATGGAGAGGCAGATCAAGAATCTTCATGCTGAGCTCGAGAAAGCAAACCGGTTGATCGCAGGTCTCCGAAAGACGATCCAGGAGCAGCGCGACGTGTTCGATGCGGAACGTGCAGCTTGGAAGAAGGACCGTGCAGCCCTGTGTGCGATGCTAGAGTTTCATCGCGCCAAGCTCCTACAGAAGGTGCCCCCGCTGCGGAAGGACGAAACAAATTACGTCACTGTACCCGCTCGTGGAACACCATTCGTATCGAAATCTCCTTGCGCTCGGCCTTCAGCTCGGCTAGCAACGCCGCTATTTCCTCCTCCATAGCTGCACACTTCTTCTCCCAAGCTGCACGGTCCCTCTCCCAAGCTGCACGATCCGTCTTCCAAGTGTTGGGACGAGGCTAAAACGAGAATACTGGAGAGGAGATAAGTGCTTGGCCTTACTGCTGGCTGTCTTCGCTAACAAAGTGGCTGGACTACGCCTGATACATGTTGTACTGGTGTTCACCCAAACTTTTAGCGCGCTTCAGGGCATCTCGCACCTCGTCTTTTTTGGGAGCCTGGTGAAGGTGGGTGGTACTCGGCCTCAACCCACCGGTCCAGCTCACTCAGTGGGGTTTCCAGCAAGCGCTGGATTCGAGACGCCCATCGCTGTGAAAGGAGACATCGTAATCGACCGGTTGTAATTCGCTCGAATCTTCTGAGCGATCTTGGGTGTCGCTCGGAATGCAGTCAGTAAAATATGGCAGGGTTACTCCAGGGTGGAGTGACACGGACGCCTTGTTTGAGCAGAGCAGTTGCCAGTCGTGTACTTTTTTTGTTTTTTTTGGGGGGGGTGCACTGCGAGAAGATGTCGACGGCTGAAATTCGTACAAATGGAGAATCCTGGACTGCGTTCCATGGGCTGGACAGGTTTTGCGGGTTTTGGATAGCTCTATTCCGCAACGGGGCTAGCGGTAAAGCTCGGTACCGTGGTGCGATGCTTGTGAGTATATATCCCTCCGTTTCTCCTGAGAGTGGATGTCGCGAGTCGGTTTGTCGGACCGGTTTGGGGCCGGCCGCCGCTGTATTAGAGTAGTAAGTGCTGCCTGTGCTTATAGGTTTACGGGGCACAAATAGCAAGGAGATCACTAAGCAAAATGCAATACATGTTCCTTACGACCTGTGTGGTCCTTTTAAGCAAAATTCACGACTGACCTTCCTTCTACTCCTAACTCTTCCTCTCTACCTCTACAGATCCTTGCGTTTCAGTGCCTTCGGGTGACTCCGTTCCCGCTCACCCCTCCCAAAGACTTGATCCGTTCACCTTGACGGCCCTCAAAGCCGCCCAACATGCCATCCGTCCCCGAAGTCCCGCCACGACACTGCGAGGCACATCATCCCTCCAAGATACCTCTGGGTAGCGGCCCACGGGTCTCCACCTTCGAGACAACCCGGTCCACGGCCCACTACTTCTCGCACGCGGCCACAGCAGGTGGACGACCTCAGGCACTCATCGTCGCCCACGCAGAGTTGGAACGGTCCGAGGTGTTCCGACTCGGGATATCCCCCCCGACTGCATCTCGGCGTCCTCGCCGAGCGCACGCAGCTTGATCCACTTCTCTCCTTACTTGCCAGGCCCTCCGTTTGGCCTGCAATCCACTTCGCGTCCGCACCCGCACTCTCGGCGCATTGCCCCCGCCGTCCATCCTCCAAAATGCCTCACTTAGACGCTCAGCCTGCTCCTCGAGAGCCGCGCACCACGCAGCGTAGCCCTCCGTGGCCATAGTCAGCGGCGAACGCTCGCCCGCCGACGCCTCGTACAACCTCCACAACTTACTGGTTATGCATACCAGCGCAACCCAAACATTCACCACCACCAACCAGTAGTTAGTCACTATTGCATGCTCGCCCTCCTCGGATGCGAACCAGCAATTAAAGACCACGACTACAACGAACACGCCGGCCACGCCCTGGCAGATCCACTCGACGACTTCGTAGGCGAACAGCACGGCGTAGAACGCCGAGAACAGGATCAGGGACGTCAGCGTCCATACCACCTTGGCGACAAGCTTGGCACGGGCGACCGAACGGCCAGACTCCAGACTCGCGCCCGTGCAGTACTTTGAGCACGCCTTCCGTCCCGACGCCCAAGTCTCAGGCAAGAAGACGCACCACCACTCGTGGAGGGCGTCAAGCCACTTGTAGAGCAACCTCCCCAGCCCGTCTTCATGCTCGCCCTTGGAATCCAGCACAACCAACGGGGTGCCTCGTAACACTTCCACACGCGAGTTCGGAGCGGCTGCATTTGCACGGCAGGCCCACGGACATACCTGCAGTAGCGCATGACGCATAAATTGGCCAGCACGCTCCACTTCAGGGCGAAGTCGACGAACGCAACGGCGATCCGTGAGCCGATGCTTCGCAGGGGCCAGTAACCGTCCACGACACTGCTCCAGCAGTGAGCCACGCCAGCTCCCAGCGACGCTCCACTGCAACTTGACAAGCTGCCTCAGCAGCGACCACCACTATTGCCGCCAGGCCGTTCACCACGTCCGTCGCCCACTCCATCGTTCCAGCAGCACTAATTCGTAATGGCGGCCACTTCGACGCCGTCCGAGCCGTCCGGACCGTCCGCGCGCGCCACTAGCGGCAGCCCTTGGCGGTCACCATCGACCTGCAGAGGCGCAGGGCAGCCAAGGCCCCGTTACTGCCAGTTGGTCACCAGCGTCGCTCGCGGGTTCTTCGAAAGTGACCAGCCAGTTGGGCGTCTCTCTCAGACGGTCGCAGCCATCCACAAGTGTGGAGTCACATTTCGCCAATTCACTTGAAGTCACGTGGTAATCAGAAGTTGCCGTAGCCGCCCCACTGAAAGTTGCCTCATTCCGCAATTTTCGCCGCGCCGCGCACTCCGCAGTCACCAAGCATCTCTCCGCTCTCTCCCAGGCCTCGCCTCGCCTCGCGTCCGTCATGGTCATGAAGACCAACTCCGACGTCACCGACTTCGACAACCAGGTGGGCAGCCTGGACATGGCCCTCGAGCTCGACGACGAGGGGGACGTCTTCATCGCGCAGCGCGAGTTTTGGGCGCGCCTCCGGACCCGTTTTCCGTCAACAATGCGTCCCAGGGGCTAGACGTCCTGGAAGCCATGGCCATGGACGCCCTGTCGGGTGGCGACGCACGCCGCCTGAACCAGATCCTCGTGATCCTGCCGCACCCCGACCGATGCAGGCCGGCGAGCCTGCCGAGCACTCCGTCCTGTCGATCCCGCTGCCGCCGTTGGTGCCCACACCAGAGTCGACGTCACCGCCACCGCGTCCATCGACAGGGACCAGATCGTCGCCACGGACGTCTTCCAAGACGAAACCGCCATCGAAGAAGAAACAGAAGGCCGCGGCCAAGAAGAAGGCCGAGGCCTACGACTTCCGGTTGCCGACGACGGCGCCCGCGCGACTGAAGATCGACCTGGCCGCACTTGCGCAGCGCGCCTTAAGCAAGGGCCTCGCTCCGTTCCTCTTGGCGTACCCCTGGGGCAAACAGCGGTGCTGGTACCTACCCCGAGTTGCACCTCGTCCACTACCGTGCCAACATGCGCTTCCGCGAGCTGTTTTTCCTGTGGGTGCTGTACGCGCCTTGTCTGAATGCCGACCAGCGGCGCAAGGAGAAAATGAATGCCTGCCGAGCGCTGAACGACCTCATTAGCTACAACATCTAGGAGCGAGGGTACTTCGGCTTTCTCGACGACTTCGAGAACGGTGCTCATGACACGCTCATGTGGTTGGGAGGCAGAGCGGCCAAGCACTCTGCCGGCGCGGCTAAGAGCAAGGGCGCGGCGCACGAGGACCTCGGCGTTGTCTTCGCAAAGGACAAGATTCTCTACGAGCGGGCCATCGAGCGAGCGCTCGACCCCAAGATCGTCGACGAACACGGCTACGCCTCGATTCCGGAGCTCCTCGAGGAGGCGGAACTCATCGACCCCACGCAAGCGCCACACCTGCGACTCTCCGACAAGGCCCTCGCTTGCATCAAGCTCGACGTCACCGGCGGGCCACCCACCGTGCCTTCTTGGGTGGGCAACCGAACCCGCGGCCCGTGGAAGACCCTCTTGTCGGACGCGTCGCTCAAAGACACCATCGAGGAGGTGGTCGAGCTCCTGGACTTGGGCATGAAGGTGGCCGTGTTCGACCAGAAGCCCTTCAACCCCGACGAGCACGGCGATGATGACTCGGACTTCGAGGACGAGGACGGAGCCTTCACGGCGTTGCCTCCGACGTCCCCCGTGCAGTACCGGGCTCCCGCCGTCAAATAGCGAGCTACCACTCCGTCCAAGCCAGGAGTTCCGGTTTCTCGCTCCAGCAAGTCAGGCGAGTCCGAAGACTCCAGCAACGACAAGAAGAAGCCGGCGGCCAAGGACGACAGCGACAAGAACGACAAGGCCCAACCCAAGACCACCAAGGCCCCCGTCGCGGCCAAAGAGACGCTGCCGGGCGACGAAGCAGACGACGACGGCGAGGTAGCGAGCGAGCCTCCGACCAAGAAGCTCAAGTCGCGTTTCGCAAGCGTCGACAAGGACAAGTGAGTCATGCGCACACCTCGGATCTCCGTTTATCTTGTTCATTTCGTTGTAGTCGAGTCTAGTGCAGCCGCAGCACTAATTTTGCAGGTAAAACCAAATAAAAACATGAACTTGACATGCATATCCACCATTCTTGAGCTGCTCGTAAATCCATATCCACAATCACAGGTTCTTCAGCTCAAGAACGTCACCAACTACGCCAGCAGCAAATAGTCATCATCGCCTTGGGCGTTAGCGTCCGCCAACCGCGCACTTCGACGAAGCTCCGGCAACCCTTTCTTCCTCCTATCCGCTTGCTCAAAAGCGGTCACCAATGACGCATACTCGGGCATCAAAGCCTCCCTGGGCAGCCAGAACACCTCATACGAGCTGGTCATCGTCAGGTACTTCACGCCCTGACTGTCCTTCATCTTCGCCACTATTTCCACGATGGGGGCTTCCACGCCCACAATAACAGTGTCCTCATTTCCTAGTAACCGTTCCGCGTAGCTCGACGCAGGGAGGTCGGCCTCTTCCAACGGCCCCTCTTCTTCGTTTTCATCCCTAGTGCCCAGACCCTCGGGCACTTCATCCATATAAGGCCGGATCCACTTGCCACAATACCTTTTGAGCCTATTCACGTTCACAGTCACCGTTTTGTTAGGGTGAGTCGGGATGTCGACCCGATAAGCGTTCTCGCCGACCTTGGCTACGATCCGATAGGGACCGTGCCAAGCGAAGGCAAGCTTCTTCGTGCGCACTTCGCCCTGAACACCGGGTAGACCCACAT